GCTGGTCTCTGAATCCAGTGCTACCTTCATAGATCATACAACTTGCACAGATATCTCCTCTTCAATACTGGTCTGTGAGTGAGTTCACAAGTTGCTCTGGCCATGTGTTCTCCGCTTTCAGTGCAAGGGGAACATTCAAGGACACCTATAGGCACATTTTAGTACTAGAAGCTAACAATGTCCCTGCAAACCTGGTCAGTGGACACCTGTTTGTGATGCAGGACCTTGTCCTTGGTCTGAGACTCTCAGTTCTTGAAGAAGATGGGAAAATGTCCCTCACACTTCTTTTTCTGATGTGGAAATTGAGACTCAGACAGGATGTGAGAGCCGTGTAAATACGTTGGTAATCCCACGGGTACGCCACCTTCCTTCCAGCTTGCGCTGATGAGCTTTCTATCACAGATGTGTCAAAGAGCATTTGCACATGCAGATACCACAATTCAGCTACCACTTGTCACACCGCTCTGCTCCAAACACGTGCTCTATTTCCCACACTATGTCCTTATGCTCAGAAAAGGGCGTAGATACAGGTTCCTCAGCCCAAGAGTACTGAGAGACATGGAGTGCCAGGCCCAGGGTGAGAACCCAGGTCTTCAGTGTGTGTCTCTCTAGGGAGTGACTCTGTGTCCGAGTCACCTTTGTGGCACCACGGGCAATGGCTATGCAAATGTGCCAGCTAAGCCTGCTCCACGCGCACCCATCAGGGAGGCAGGCACCCACACCTAAAAGCTCTCTTTGTTCTGCCGCATGGGTTCCAACCCTTCAGACCAAGGTCCTGACACTGCCTAGCTCCACACCAACATAGCAAGGAGTCAGAGCTCAGCTCCTGACTGAGAGCATCTCATGATTGCCCCATGTTCATGTTCATGAGTTCAAAGACGTGTGTTGACAGCCAGGCAAGCTAGGAGTGAAAGTGCTTGAAAGTAGCATGCTTCCCCTCCCACCCTTGTTTCTCCACCTCTCTGGGCCTGCGACCATCACTGACAGGGAGGGAAAGTGAACACCTCCTCCATCCTCTCCCACCTACAGCCCCAGACTTGTCGTGGGTCAGCACTCCTGCAAATATCTCGTCTTCCTACTACTTTTATCTATGTTCTTACACAGCCTGCAGGGCATGAAAATCCCTGCTCCTGAACATTTTGTTCATCTCTGTATATATTTGATGTCTTCTGCTTTTATCAGGCAGATTTATCAGGTTACTCTCTGTGGGACAGAAGTTGGAAGGGGAAGAAACACTGGAATATTGTCTGCTGTGTAGGTGGCCTTAACACTTTCTGGCCAGCACAGTGACCCCGTTGTGGACTGTGATCCCAAAACTTAAATTCTGTTGCTTAAGTGCCTCTCCTCTTTAACACAGTTACAGAGATTAACCTGAGGGCAGCATTTAGCCTATAGCAACAGCATCCCTAGGGATGCTGGAGAAGGAGGAACAAAAAGAGCTCGATGCTTTAATGTCAGCCCAAAGTTGCCATTTTGATACAAAGCAAAGCCTCTTATAGACTGGTAATGTGAACAAATTCAATAAAGAGATCGCTGATACAATAAACAGCAGTTCCCCACAGAGCCATTTTAACAGACGTTTTTCGGAGTAGAACCACAATTTAAGGGGAAGATAACGGCAGATGTAATACAATGTTGTAGTTTTGAGAAGCACATGTATATGTATGGCAGGAAATTCAAAGTAAAGGTTATAGTTAAAAGAACATTATTTGGAAAGTACCAAAAATAACCTTAAAAGCGTCTAGAGATGTTCATAATGTATCCTGGCAGAAAGCAAACTTTGGCAGCCATCAGGGCGATCTCTGCCCTCATCCCCTCACCTCCTGCTGGCTCTCAACCCTTCCCACTGCTCAACTCCAAAGGGCCACGGGGACAGGACACTGAGATGGGTCTCCTGAGTCCTCCACTGAGCTCATCCCTGGTGAGTCGGATGGTTTGTAAACCACAGGCAAGGCATCCCAGTTAGCCTGGGACTCCAGCCCCAGCAGAGAGTTGGCAAAGGGAAGGGATTTGTTTAACCTGAACGCAGCTAATGGGTTGATAAATCATGGGATAATTCAATGCCACAACATACTTTTGCCCTTCACAGTTCTTCACTCTGTCTGTACTTAGTGAAAGTGTTCCCCTGTTCACCTTTGCCATCCTGAAGAGACTCTCAGTGGACATGCAACTGAAAATGAGAAGTTTCAGCAGCACCACTCTGCTCTAATGAAAGCAAGAGGGGAGGAAAAAGATCAGCCTGCCCCAGCCTTGAGGGCTAAAAAAAAAAAAAAAAATTTACACTACCTCTGACAAACTGATCTAACCCAAACAACACCTTTAACCAAACCTCCAACTCCGCACTTTTACCTGCCACTTTAACACTGCGCAGCAGAGTTCACGGGTGAGTTTGCATGCCTCAGTCACCATTATGAGGACAGGAAGGTAATCACAAGAACACCTCGTATGTGTCGCTGACAATGTGGTTTTGCTTGGCTTTTTAACTTAAAAATGGTACCATTCCTGACAATGTTGATGTAAAGGAGATAAAAAGTGCCAAGTTCTCAGTTGTGCAATGTCCTGGGCAGTCAAGTCTAAAAACCATGCTGAAAGCAAGTGTTTTTATTTGTATTAGATAGGGTCTGGATACATATATGTTACCTTACCCATATGCGAAACCCTGTCTTACTCTATGTAGTTGTTGCTTTAGTATATTCTCAGTGTGTTTCTGACAGAAATTGAACATACTAAAGGCAGTCTGTGTGTTTATGCATGGGTGTTTGTCTGTTAGCTGATCTGTCAGACCATTCCTCCTTCCCCCACAATTTTGAAAAAAATCAATCCATTCCAGTTGCACTTGTCAACTGGAGAAGATCGGTGGGGGGAGAAGATCGGTGGGATTTTCTTTTCTTGATTAGCTGAGCAATAAAGGGGTGCTTTGTGCTTTCTTTCCCAGAGAGATCGCTCATCTGAAGGAAGGTGCAGATTTCTCCGTCTGAAGGACAAACGGGAAAAATGATGGTTAATACAAATACTGCATTGCAGCTGCAGAGTTGGCGATACCAAGAAGTTACTCACAGAGCACTTCATTGCTTCATCGGATGACTTCTGAACCAGAGGAAGTTGTGCTTATTTTAAGAGTTCCTGGGAACTTCAGCCTGTGGCCTGGTGATACATGGAGCTTCTTGTACCAGGATTTGGTGTAGAAAAGCCCTCAAAGCCAGGAAACAGTTTCAGGACAAGCCAAGAGCAGGTGCCACACACAACGTTATAATGCAGTGCTCTTATCAGTGCTCCTACTACTACTATCAACAGAGCCTGTCCTGTCTCCCAGTTTCAACCCAAGCCCCACACACAGACCTCTGCAACAAGTCCCCTTCACCCAACCTTCACAGCTCCCACCAAGAATATATCCATGCCCACAGGGCCTAACAGCTGTCTCCAACACCCTGAGGACATGCAGGCCATTTCTCTGGGACTGGCAAATATGATCTAAACAGGTGCTGGCAGAAATGCTAAGAGAAGCTCAAGGCCTCAAGACCTTGAGACCCATTTCTTGGCCCTTCTTCAACTCATGGGCCATTACGGCTCCACCCTGGTGGGAACTTCCAAGGTGCAACTGGTACATTGTGATGACCAGGGCAGGTGAATGTACAGCTCATCTTCACCCTTGCTCCTCTTTGACAGGGGCTAACTGGTCAGATTCCCCATGTTTCCCTCACAGAGGGTGGCCGTAACTTGCCAGTGGTCAGATAGCTAGCAAGAACATCCATACGATGCCTCTGAGACTCCTAGACCATGCCAAGCGTGGTGAGGAGAAAGGTGTTGTGCTCCAGGCCTCTGCCTTTCTAAGTGAGTGCTTGATGCTGGGTTGGAACCTGAACTGCAAGGCTCTGCAAGGAATGGCCTTGACCAGCATTGCACCCTCCTTCAGAGTGGCTCCACACATGGTTTCAAATCACTGTTTTTCTTCGACACCCTCTCTTTTTGAGGTCTGATATCTTCTGAAATCCACTTTCTGGTTTGGACTGCCTGTGACTAAAAGCTCATCCTCCTCCCACACCCTTTTTCCACCACATGAAACCAAGATCCCCTAGCTGTTACAGGAGGCCCCATCCTCTTGCTCTTACAGTCCTCAAAGAGAAACAGCCTGGGGGCTGACATTAGCCCCTTGCAGCTTTTGGTCAACAAGACCTGCTACCGGACCTGAACTTTGGCCTTGAGCTGCTTGCTGTAGGAGAGAAAGGTGAGCAGTGCAGAGCATGGTGACCACAATATATAAAAAAGGAGATTCGCCTCTTCCTGCCCCACACCAGTGGCCATCTTTGTACAGCCCAGACCAAACAGGAAATGCGATGTGCTGCTTTTCAGAGCTTTTTGTGTTTATGGAAAAAGAGAGGTGTGTGGGGAGATGTGTGTGTGCACGCCTGCTTGTGAAATAGGCAACCAGCAGGCTGGGGACTTGAATCTGTGTGTGGGGGTTGCCAGGGGAGGGGAGGGCAAAGGGTGTGGGGGAAGACGCCTGTTGTGAAAGGATCTGCTAATATTAAATGTTCCGTGGAGAACTGTGAGGAATTGTGTCTGTGAAGGTGAGGGCACACTGACCCTCAGAAGAAGGTGGACATATTTTTTGCACCTTTTCCGGCCTGCTGAACGGACAAACCACGTAAAGCAGGTACCGCAGCTGCTGCAGGGCCGCGCTGCCTGGCCGAACTAGCTGAGATGGTCAGGTCAGAGGGAAGGCTTCCTTCTTCTGTGGGGCGAGCAGGGTGTTTGGCCGGGTAAGCACGCTGCAGGACAGCTGTCCCTGTGGTGTCACACCATCTGCAAGTGTGAGGGCTGTGCCTCCAGCTTGCTCAGCCGCAGCGCTGGCCTCTTTCCACTCAAGCTCTGACCCAGGATGGATCCTCTGTAACTGGGGCACCGGTGGGGAGGCTGGTTTCATTCTGGTGTTGCTTAGGTCAATGACTCGAGCTGTTTTTCACAAAGTGGTCCACAGCGTTTCTACTGTGGAGTGACTCCTACTCCAGTTTCAAATTGGTCTGTGCACATGTGCAGCCCCTGAGAGTGAGCCTGGGTGTCTTGGTATCTGAAAGAGGAAGCTATGGGTCTCTCGACAGTGTCTGGAGAGGACAGGTTCTTCTCTCTCTCTCTCCTTTGCTTCCCAGCAATAGTTACAGACTGGTCCCTAGTATATCTGAGCACTGCAAGCTAACACCTGATCCCTCCACCCTTGTTTCTGCACCTATTGCTTTACCAGCAGGAAGTAGGACGTGGTTTGGGGCTTTTTATTCTCGGCCTTGCTAGCCTTTTCGATACTTCAGGGCTTCGTCTCAGTCTGACAAGGCAAGCAAGCAGCAGCTTCCTGTGCAAAGGTGAGGAGACAGAGAGGTCGAGCGCAGACAGGAGGAACGGCTCCACAGCAGACCTGCCCCTCTCCTCTCCTCTCCTGCCAGAATTGCTGGCTGGCGGCTGGACATGCACTGAGCGAAGATCCCCCCCAGACCCTCTCCCTTATTCCCATTCTCCTCCCGGTTTGGCAGCCAGCACCTTCATCCATCATCAATCCCATTGTCCTGTCCCCGTGGACCCCTTCACCTGGAGCGCCGGGTGCCTGGAGCTAGAAGGTAAAGGGGGTGATGCCAGCCCTGTCCCACACGGGGGTGGCTGATCTGAGAAGCGTCTTGGAAGGAGTTTCGGTCTGACAAACTGATTCTTGCCGTTGGGGAGGGCTGAGCATATATTTATCTCTCTGTCTTTCCACAGTCCTCTCAAATCAAACCCCACATCTCACAACCACGTCGGCGCTTTCTCTCTCTTTCTCTCCCCTTTTCTCTATGAATGCGCTGTCGTCCTGTTTTTCTTCCTCTGAACCTAATCTTTTATCACAACGGGAATCGATATCATGCCTCATGCCAGCCCTTTAAAAACCCTCCACTCTCGCTCCCCCGGCAGTACTCAGCGGGGTTCAGCGGGTCTCTACCTTGGTCTCCCCAGCCCTGCCTGTGCTGCAGGCTCCCTGAGAGGTGAGGATGGTCCCTTCTCCTGCGGGCAGAGGCAGACCTCGAGGTACGGGTGTCCAGGTGGATGGGGAGAGGGGGAGGCTCGCTTGAGAAGCCCATAAGCCCTGTGTGTGTAGTACAGCACATAGCTGTATGGGCTTTGTAAGACAAGGGGTTTCTCTGGGTGCCAGAGGGGAATGAGGGATGCTGTAGCTACCTAATTGCAAAGCCGGAGTTTTCTGCTATACCTGAAAGCACACGTCCATCCAAGGCAGTGCGGGGTCTACTTGGCAAGGATGGTGTGTGATTTGTGCATTATTTTAATGTTTCATTATATGGTAAAGCTTTGCCTTTCCACAACTTGGTAAACTTCCCCCTAATTTATTTTTTTTCCCCAGTCCCAAACAAGCCATTGAAAATCTACCTCCTAAACTGACTTTTCTGATAGTTGAAGCCAGAAAGCCCTCTTACACAGCAAGCACCTAGTGATTTCAGCCCTAGGGCTTACCAAAAAAAGCAGCTCTTCATAACGCCAGCCTCGTGCAGCCACGATAGCACTCTCTACCTGAGTCAGCAAGCAGCCTGAAACAATACACGCGGAGGGCTGTGCACTCACACACATTTCCAGAAGACATTACCTCTGCAAACAGCCTGTCTGTTGCACTGTGGATGGTTTCAGTGCTGAGCAAAGCACCCCAAGGCAGGAGAGCAATGAGGTGCTGAGGGAAAGGCAGAGGAGAAGGAATATGAGTTTCTGAGCCTGGAAGATTGACACCAGTTTTGAGCCCTGGGACACTGGATACCTCGTATGGGATGACAACTTCTTAACTTTCATTGCTGAGCTGTGTTGCGGGGGGATTTTCTCTCTTTCAGTGTGTCCTCAGTACAGATGAATCCCTACTTGCTGCTCCTGTGCCACCTCTGGCTGCTCAGCCTCACACCTCTCTTGCTGGCATCGGTCTCTACGCAAGGTAAGAAGTGATGCTCTTCACCTGGATGAACAGAGGGGTGTAGGATGGAGTGCCTGGGCTGTGGCGTGTTGTTGTGCAATGTCTGTGTTGTAACATACAACTGGAGGAGGCTGCAATAATTAAAGATCTTTTACAAGCACACCAACCTCCAAGGACATAGAGCAGTTGAAGAAGTGAGCGGTTCTGCCTTTCTTACTTGGAGACAGCTATCCAGATGAGGACTCTGTAGTTTGGGATGTGGCAGAATTGTCTGGGGTGATTGTTAATGCCAAAAGTCATTGCTAATTCAGCCACGTTGCTGTCCATCTCTTCTCTGCTGGCAGGTACCTCCAGTCTTGCTTGTTGGTATGACTCGCGGGCAGCAATCTTTTGCGACTGGACCCCAGGCAGGGACCTTGCCGATGCACCGTGCCAGCTGGAGATTTCATCGAAGCTACCATTTTTTGCAAGGTGGGTGACCAGAAAGGTTGAGGAAAGATGATACTTTGAATTAAAAGTGTCCTGGAAAAATTAGCGCTTCACATCAGTGTAGGCTCTCCCTCCCCAGGCCCGGTGTGGTGGAATCACACAGATGAGGGCTTTCCATTTGAAGTCTGTCTGACCCCAGGTATATGGAGATGCTGGCCACTGCTCAGTGTTTGCCATCTGAGGGCTCCAAACTGCCTAGCAGTGCTCATCTTCCAGCTCTGTAGCATTGTCTGTGCTTCATTTTCCAAAAATCCTTCTTCCCTGGTAGCTACTCTCTGGACTGGAGGGTATTTTCGTCTGAAAAGGAGGGTGTGTAGAGACGGGGGCAGAAGGAGGTGGGATTGAAATCATACAGAGGCCATCTGCCCATTGCCAGGGTGGACTGGATGTAACAGGAAAGTCGCACGCTGAACGACAGTACATGAAGGAATATATCATTCCCTTTACCATAGCCCACCCTGGCCCTTCCACCTCTCCCATTCTGTGATGTTTTCCCCTCCCAAGTATCTCCCAGATCAGCAGTAGGTGTGTGGCCAGAACCACAGTGGATGCTGGTTGATTCTCTGTGGTCTCCATGTGTGACATCTTGAGTCAAGAGTTACTGGTCTACCCAGGGCATCCCTGGGTGCCCGGTATAAGAAGAGGCCCAGAGTGGTTCTAGCAGTGGGTGGGTTGCTCCTGACCATCAGCAGAGACATCTCCAATGGGGTGAGATTGGCAGATGTGCTCTGGGGTCTGCTACACGGACCTTGACAGCCAAATACTTCTTTGCCCTATGGGATTGAGTCGAAAAGTTTGGATCTGGAATTTGGGCTGGCTCTGGAACTGTGCCGTTGGTTGACCAGGGCTCTAGGACATCTAAGGTTTGTGTGACCAGTTTATTTTGCTTCCCATTGAAGTAAACCACTCAATGGGAGAATGAATTTTCTTGGTCCCCCAGAACTCTTTCAACTGTCCCCCAAAGAGGGTAGGGTTAGAGCCGTCTCCTCTAGGAGAGCTTGAGGCAAAGACACCAGCAAGTCTGGCCTGACCCTATTGCTGGAGCAGCCAGCTCAATCTGCTGTCCCCTCAGTTGCAACCACATGGATGCTCTCCCACCTCTCAGCTTAGCCTGTCCAGCCACACTTGTCAGAGCAGAAGAGGGGTCATGGCACAGCACTGCCAAGTGTGGGGTACGGTCCTGGCTGGCTGGGATGTGACCTGGTTCAAGAGATACAACTCACTTGGTATCTGCAATGCTACAGGGCTGTCAGTGGCTTGAAAGAGATGTGTAAAACCCTAGAAACAGGCATCTGTCTCCCATATCAACAGGAAGCAGAGGAGGTAGCCAGAGGTTTGGAAACCTCCTATCATCTCTGGCATTGAAAAGCTGGGATGCATTAACTCTCCATGTGCCAGCACGTAAAACTTGTCTGAGTGATGTAGTAGGGAGGGAAAGTGGGATTACATCCTAGCTGTAACCTGCTCAGCAAGTAAGGTAGGATGCAGTGTTCTTTGAAAGGCCTTTAGAGTTAGATAAAATCTGACTACATATAAAACAGACTTCCCAGCTCACTGGTGTTCTCCTGCTTAAAATCCAGGTCACTTTTCTCACCGGAAAAATACAAGGAACATTGTGAATTACTTAAGGCAGAACACACAACAGAACTGAGGAGATGCATCAAGACCTTCAGCAAAAACAGTAACGTGAGTAATTCATCTATTCATCTAGGATGTCCTGGCTAATGACAAGGTTGGTTTCTCAATTTGAGGCATATAAAGAATGTGACACCCAAGAGTATTATAAAAAGCCCAGACCTAATCCTTGACTCCAGTTCTGGGCTTGGACTTATTGCGTGTTGTCCTGCACTGGGGACTGGCTTCATTGTGAGTGGGGCCATGTTGTCCTGACACATGCAGGACGGACAGATCATATGCGGTGTCCCCCATCACCGTTATCTGAGTTTGGCCATAATCCCTTCCTCTGTGGAAGGATGGCCACGATCATCATCTCTGAGGTCACCTCTGGACCTCATTTTTCCTTGAAGAGGTCATTACCATTTTCCAAATTATTAATTACTGAGAAACCCAGTTAATCGCGTCAAATACAAGATGCAAAACAGCACACCAATGAAGCCAATGGTGATGCAAATCCCCTACTTACTATTATTTATTTAAATCAAACTTTTTTTTTTCAGGCTTATTGGGTACGTTCCTCAGTCATATTAAGGAATTGCTGTAGTTCCTGTATTTTCAGGGGGAAAAAAGAAAAAAGCTAATTCTCCTTATTGGGATAGTCACAACCAGTTCTAACAACAGCCAGGTTTTCTTAGTTTTGTATATTATGTGCAAAGACAAATTGCAGGATTCATAAACAGATTCAAAAACTACGCTGTCAAACTCCTTTCTTTCCAATCAAGCTAATTGACCTATTTCTTATTTAATACTCTGTGATGTACCCTTTAGAATCATTGTGGAACCGTGTTATATCGGCTCATCGTAACTCCACTGCATTTCATGAGTAATATTTATATTAATATAATATATATAGATATTGATAATATAATATATATAGATATTGAGTAATATATCAATATTATCACAACCTTACAAATGAACATGAAATATTTTAGTCAAAACATTTTGTCTCAATAGATGTCACTCACTGAAACTACCGTCTTTCCTGCTTAATAAGCACGTGCAGGAATCCTATTAAAATAGCATACCAAAATATTTTGTGCCCTGCTTTCCAGTGAACAAACAAACAAAAAAAATCCAACCACATCAAGCATAAATCTTTGGTTCCTCTACTCACCACTGAGGCTTATGCCTTTCAACCACAAGTGTCATCCATATTTATTGTCAAGTATTCCTAAACCACTTATGTGCAGGCAATACTTATAAATATGAATGGTGATTGATGAGGCTGCAGTGTCACTAATGCTAAATTTTCCTTGCAGTCTCAATCCTTCACTACTGCAGACCGTCTTAACATGTCTGTACATTGCCGGCTTGGAGAGAATGGGTCTACACCTGCACGACTGGAAGACTTCAGTCCACTTGCAAACAGTGAGTTCTCTTCTGTCTTGAAGTCCCTGAAGGTCCCCCACAAAGTGACACCCAGTTTCTTCTCCCCATCCACAACCATGCAACACCCGTAGCAGATTTCAGTCTTACCTCTTTTTGTTGTCCCCTGCTACATTTAGCACAGATGGACTACATTGACTTCTGCGCCATGCACCTCTAATGTGCAGTGGCATGCCAGCCACTTCCTATGCCATCCTGTATCTGGGACACAGCTGAGTGACAGTGCTTTGTCCTAGGAATTCAGGCTTCAAGCAGGCTACGTCAGCTCAGCTGACCTTCTGAAAACTATGTGCTGCAGGAGGAAGGGAAAGTCTTGCTGCTCCATCCCTCCTACGAACTACATGGTTCCCCCTCCTTTAAGCCAGCTTTGGCAAGCAGTAGTCTGCTGAATTGATTCAACTCACTAATCCAACAGAAAAAAAAATAATACATACATACATATATATATATATATATATATATATATATATATATATATATATATATATATATATATATATATCTGCTTGGGTCATTCTTCTGCTAGATGTTTACCTGGCTTAAGGAGAAATCCAAGGAGCTGCTGGAATGTGAGGCATAAGAAGGCCTGTCTGGAGTCAAGGGTTGAGAAGGTTCACACCAGACAGTCTATGTAACTCCAGCCCTTGTGGCTGTAGCTTTCTGAAAGTCCAGCTGGAAAGAAGTTGTCACCCAAACCATGATCCTTTCCTGTCCATACACTTGCCTTGTGGATCACCCTTACAAGATAAGATGCATGGCCAGGTGGGATTGCACTGACTGCTGTGGCCACTCTCCCTGGAAGCTCACTGGACAAGCTGCCTTTAATGCAGTCCCAGGCCTTTTGTCACCAGTGACAGTGGGTAGGAGGAACGGAGAGGGGGAACTCTCTAAGCATCTCACTTGGCCATGGATGGCTGGAGTCTGTGAGCTCAGCCAAGGCCCCAACCCTACCGACACGGGTTTTTCCAGTGGAGCCTTGTTACAGGCAGTGCACTGGCGTCATTCCTGCTCTCTTTCTCTTTCCAGTAAAACTGAGACCTCCAGGAAATCTTCAACTGGTTAACAAAGCTAAAAACAGCTACAACTTATCATGGAGCCTGAATATTTCCTCTCACTACTTGGATGGGGAGCGGCAATACCAAGTGCGGTACCGAACCACAAGTCAGTCCTGGGAGGTGAGTACGGAGTGAGGGCACTGGGACGTGTCACCATTTGAATCCTGGTCTTCCTTATAGAAATCTCCCCTCAGAATGAAAAAAGTTTTAGTGAATCTGGAGAGGGGATTACTTCCTCACCCCTTTTTGTCTGCAGAACCTGCTGCCAGCATTTGGAGGCAAACAGGAACCCTATTTTATTTAGTGCTGTCACAAAAGAAATCTAGATAGCTTCAGGGTAGACCTGAAAGGGATGAGAAGTACAAAATGAGGGAGATTTATGCCTCACTGTGACAAAACAATGCACAAAATGGAGGGATCTGAGACAGGTCCACTTGGAGGGCTTGGGAAAGATTGATATATGATACTGTGAGCCACGGCAGGATGTTGATGATGCTCTCTTTTTGCCCTTCTTCCAGAAAGCCAAGACCCTCTGCATTAAGCAGGACCAGATGTGGGTGGTATTTGAGGGACTGTCCCCTAACCTGAAATATGAGGCAGCTGTCCGTGCAAAGCCAAGTAACTCAAGTGCCTACAAAGGCGTGTGGAGTGACTGGAGCAAGACAATACTGTGGAAGACAGACGCTGATGGTAAGGATCAGAGTCAGGCAGTCTGACATAGAGGGAAAAGAGGCAACTCAGAGAAAAAAAAGCAGAAGGACCAAAGCAGGAAGATGGAGGAAGATGGGTAGGGAGGATTGTGTTAACCGAAGAGCAATAAAAAATAAAAATAAAAATGAAGTCCCTCCTAATCTGTTCTGTCAGGCTGGCTCAACAGGGCTTAAGGAAAAAGACCCCCTGACTCCAACAGAGTAAAGGGCAGCAGCCCCTCTGACTTCCAGAGGCCAGGCAAAATCCACAAGGTGTAAATCAGGGCCAGTTCAGTGTGGCCATTGATCAGTGAAATGCAATGAAACCAGAGCCTAGGAAGGAAAGCCTCGGGGAGAATGAAAGAGACTTATATGTGTGTAAGTCACTTCCAAAAAGGACTGATGATATATGCACCAGTCGTTACCATGAGCCAGAGCATGGAGGGTACCTGCATCCTTGAAATAATAGTGACCTGAGCGAGTCTCTTCTGTGAATTACGGGCTGTGCCCTCCGTCACATCTTTTCCAGAAAATAAGCAGCTAGAGGTTATTCCCCTTGCATCACCCCCACTCTGCCCCTGCCCGGTCCCTCCCTGTTGTGCCTAGCGCTGGTATAAACAGAGGAGCTATGTTTAGAAAGGGCACTGTGTTGCTGTGGCGATCAAATTCTGACAGTGTGTGATGTCAATGAACAGGATACAGCCGCAGCCGGTTGTCACAGCAACCAAGACCCAAAGATAACCAGGGTACCAGAGCCAGAGGAGACAAAGTGATCTTGGTAGCATCCCAAGGACAGGCAAAGACAAGACTCTCTACAACTGTCTCCTTTATCTCTTTCTGCTCCCTTACCCTGCAGGCCCAGACCAAGGGGCACTAGTGATGGAGGGAAATGGGGGTGGCATGCAGAGACGGGCACCAGAAGAGCAAGACTAAGCAAAGGTGCCCGGGAGAGATGTGTGAAAGAGACAGATTAACAAAAGTTTAAGATGATTCCAGAAAAGCTTGAGGAGTGCTGGCAGAGCTTTCAGTGAGGAAATTCAGTCTCTTTCTCCTAACTCTACAACCCAAGTACCAAAATCAGTATATGGCAGAAAGCTGTAAACCTCCCTAGCCTTCTAAAACTTTCCTCCACCCGTCCTAATAAAGAGGCTAGTCCCTTGACCCCTAACCTTCTCCATCCTTGGCCCTGCTACCCTCTAACCCATCCCATGAACCCCATGACTCTACCTCCCCACTGACTTACAATGCTACTCCAATTCCCCAAGCCCAATTAAGCTGATTTTAGGACTCCCTTTCTTGGCATCCAACACAACAGAGATGAACTCCTTTATCTGTCCTTTGTATTATATTATATTAATTATATTATTATAATTAACAGCATATTGTAATAACATGATCAGTTTGAACAGACATGGAAAAGTTGCAGATCCTACCTCCAAAATCCCGGCTAATTTTTCATAGCAACTCCCTCTCTCTCTCTCATCTTGCAGAAACATCCCGGCCAGTTCTGCCAGCTCTTATAGTGAGCACATGCATCTTCGTGATCATTGGGACTGCCTTCCTTATTAACTTACGGACCCTGAAATGGTAAATGAGTGTCAAGTTTTCCTCCTTGTTGCTCTCCTGTATATTGTGCATCTTCTCATAACCTGGTTTATTTTTTATTTGGCATTACTCAGCATACAGAGGGACTCAAATATACAGTTCATAACCCAAGCTTTCAAAGCTGACATTTGTCTGAGTAGATACATCACCACCCAAGATGATGTTAACACTGTCATCATATTGTGCCATACTCCGGAGACCCAGTGCCATGGTCTGGCTGGCTTCAAAATAGATGCCTCTGTACTTCTATTGCCCATGAGTTACAGTGGTTTTCCCTGGCAGGGATGCACCAAAATCACCTCTCAAAAAATAGGTTACTGAGCTGGGCACTCTCTCAGAGGGGTGGACGAAGCAAGCCTAGGTACCATGACCTTCTTAAATACTCCAGCAAGAGCTCAGTGAGGATGGGTGGTATTTGATCTACAGGAAAACTCCTGAGTGAGGAGTACAGTTCTTCTACTAAAGTGTCTCATCACATGCTGGTAAACATCTATGTGATGCTTTAAAGATCTCTTCTTTTTGCCAGCATACACAGCTTCTAGTCAGGACTGAAAGTATTTCACAAGGTTACCCAGTGCAGTAATACAGAGAGTGACCTGTCAGCATGGTGAGGTTAGAAATGGCTTCAGGTTTTCTCATCTCAGGACAGGGACAGAGAAGCAGGTCACTGGTGTTGGTGGTAGAAATGTTCTCAGGGAAGAAGGCAGCAGAGGCTGGGATGGCTGGAAGGAAAGAAGGAGAAGCATATTTAGTAGATGGATACTGAGAAAGTCGCTGTTTTACCTTGAGTCATAACACAAAGGTGAGGAAGTGCTAGCTACATGGCAAACAGAGAGATAAAAAGGCCTCCTTTCTCCACAGAGGGTAGTTAACCTGTGAGATTGGATGGAAGATAATGCTGAGGTAAGACCCAAGGAAGGATTAGACATGCACGAATAAAAATAGCATCTGCAGCGATGTAAAATAGTTTATATGCAAGAACTAGCAAATTCTTATGCTTCAGGGAGTACACTGATTGCCTCCAGAGGTCAGGAGGGTCTCTCCTCAGAGCATCCCACAGCAAAGCTTCAGCAAAGAGCTGACGGGATCAGCCGACCTCTTTGAGGGACAGATGAGATCACTTCATGCTGCCTCAGGATGACAACACACTGGTTCCAGTAAAGCGGAGGTCACTGGGCTGGTGCATGACATGCTCAGATAGGTTTGCATGTCCAGTAAGTACTAGCTGTACCGCAGAGTATCCTGCTAACAGGAGAGACAGTGGTGACACAGCTTTGCCAGTGGTGGTCCTGCTCACACTACGGGGTCCCCTGAGTCTTTGTGGGGGCAGCAAAACCAAAAGGGGGCAGCTTACAGCAGCTGGACCTTGGAAACGAGGGAGAGCTGCCCAGATCTATCATGGAGCAGGGGGAAATGGAGAAAACTAAGGTGACCACCAAGGTAGGGAAGGTTGTGAACTGTTGGTTGTGCTCCCCCAGGAAAAAGGCTGATAGGAGTGTATTTTCCAAAATCAGGTTTATCTGGCTTATCCCTGTCGCTCATCTCTTAGCTGCTGCATTTTGGGCCTCTCAAGCGCAAGGAGGGTCCTCAGGCTTGTTTTTACTTTACCTTTCTCCTGCTCCCATGTGCTGCAATGCTCTCTCTTATTCCCATCACAATCCCAGAGAGGTCAGGATCAGGCCCTGCTTCATTTCTCAATCTCCTCTCTTCTCAAGGTTTAAGAAGATTCTGAAGATTCACATCCCAGACCCCAAGAAATTCTTTCCCCCGCTCGTCTCTGTTCACGGAGGTGACATTCAGGTATGGGACTGGGGATGGATCCAAGTGGTTGTTAGGGAGAAATGAGGGAAAGGAGGGTCCAGCTGTACATGCCTGGGGCAGATACCAGGTCCTCAGACCTACATGTGCGCATGCAACTCATGTGCCTGTAGCACCAGCTGCTGGGTTCTCTGCTCAAGTTTTATTTTTTGACCTAAAACCTGACACTCGGCTGATACATCTCTAATTTCAGAACCGAGAAACGGCAAACCACGCAAACCTCAGCAAACTGCTCCCCTGACAGGAGAACTTGAGCAAATATAAAGGACCTGTGGGAGGAAGCTTGGCCCCTCAGATCCTTTTCCACCCTGCTTCTGTCCCTCCCCACCTGCCCTAGGCTGCCCAGATTTCCTGCTGTGGTCCCCTTCTTCTGGCTGTGAGCCCTACCTCCTCTCCTATTGCTAATTACCATCACTTTGGGTGGCACTTAGCTATTTTCTGTGTTCTTCTTTCTTTTTCCCTTCCTTCTCCACCCCCTCTTTCTCCCTTCCCCAGTCTCTCTTTGAGTATGGGCAGCTGCAAGAAGACAATTACCATTCTGTGCAGTATTAAAGGGAGCATCAGATGCAGGACGTGGGAGGTGATCCCAAGGGATATTTTGCTTCGAGAAGGGTGGAGACAAGCTGCAGAGAGTCCAGAGGACAGCAAAGCTTTGGAAAAGCCTTAGTGCAAAAAGCCTTTGAAAGCTAAACCTACAGGGGAAGAGTGTGGGGGAGGAAGGTGCAGCGGGCACCGGAGACACTTTCCTAGTGTAGAAAGAACTACAAAAAAAAATGCTTTACTGGCCATAAATGAAAATAAGTAGGATATTATCAAAATCAGTGTATTTTTAAGGATAATGATATGCTGCAGGCTGTAACTTGTGTGGAAATCCAGGCAAGAGGGGCTTAGAAGAGCAGTTCAGACAAGAAAGCTGCATGCATTCATGTAGGTGTATTAGACACTGCTTCAGCACATAGGAATATTTTGCATGACACCTACCTTTTTCCTTTTCCTTTTCCTTTTCTCTTTTTATTTTTTTCCTTTTCCTTTTCCTTTTCCTTTTCCTTTTCCTTTTCCTTTTCCTTTTCCTTTTCCTTTTCCTTTTCCTTTTCCTTTTCCTTTTCCTTTTCTTCCAATTTAATCCTCCATTCCCCACCTAGAAGTCTCATAACATAGTTTTGCAATATCTTCTCTTGATTTTAAAGTGACAGAAGGATATACTCCCTCTGAAACCCTGCAGATGAGACATCATGGATGTGAATCTCCCTCCCACACCTCCTGCAACTCTTGCTTGACCAAAGAAATGGCCACTTAATTGGTGTGGGTGCTTAAGGGGGAGGCATTTTGTTCCTCACTGTGTTATACTTTGGGCATAACAGTCTCTCTCCTATGTTTTTTCCCCATCAGAAATGGCTCTCCTCCCCATTCTCCTCATCTTCGTACTGTGTGAACAGCATAACCCCAGAAATTTCTGTGCTGGAGGTGATGCAGAAGAATGACCAGGAAGCCCAGCTTCTGCTTTCCAAGGGACCCCTGACTCCTGAACCTCCCGCAGAAACCAGTGGGCACTCTGTGTCCAGCTGCTTCACCAACCAAGGCTACTTCTTCTTTCACCTCCCCAACTCCTTTGAGATTGAGCCCTGTCAGGTCTACTTCACGTACGAGCCTTTCACCCAGGAGGGCAGTGGCAGCGAGGACAGCGAGTCTTACCACGCTCTCCCCTCCCCAGACCTCTGCACGCTGGCAGAGGACATGCCCATGTTGTCCCACAACTTCCTTCACTGCTTCAAGGGGATCCAGGGCTTCCAAAACAGTTCCTTTATGACAGAGACACAAGGTGAAGCCCAGCGGCCTGTGGCTATTTCAGCAGCTTTCCCGTCAAGTGAAACCACCCCACCGAAACCAGTTCTGAGGCAGGATGAAAAGGTGGTTGACAAAGTTCCTTCACAACCTGCTGAGGCCCTGTGCCAGCTGGACAAAGACTTTCCTGACCCACCAGGCCAGCATGACAGCAATACCGCCAGTGTGATGGAGGGGAGTGGGAAGGCAGGCCTTCCGACTGATCCCGCCGCTCCAGCAGCACATGTTACCCCTTCCCTTCCTCAACCTACATCTCTAAGGCAAGCACAGGATGAGAATCCCTGCAGAACTGCCTTCCCCAACCAGATCCCAAACACCGGTGCCTATCTTTCTCTGAGGGACCTCCAAAGCCAATACAATCATTGCTCTGTCTAGGATCTGCCTGGGGGAAATCTACAGATGGGAAAGGCCTTCTCGGTGTGGAAGGCTAAATGGACATTTTTCTATTCAGAGCATGAATGTAGCTTTCAGTATCAAAGACATTACGACTGTTCTTTGATGAGGCTGAAGAACAAGGATACTCAAGAGGGATGCAAAACCAGAAAAGGAATAGGCCGGACAAAGCGTAAATTCATGGATGACTACCATGGTATCACTAGTCCCAAGGATAAAACATCAGTGAAACAGACCACTGCAAATGAGAGGACATTTTGCATGGAAAACTGGGCTAGTGATTAGTAAAGCAATGCATGGAGAATAATAAAGACACCTTAAAGTTGTTAAGTGGCTACCACCTAATAGAGACAAAGAAATGGGATTCTTAGGCGTACAGAACAACAAGGACTCACCTTCATCACTGAATCTGTTTCTCTGCTATTACTGGATCTGGTAGCATAGAAGCCCTTTCCCACACTGCTTAGGTGCCATCCCAAATCTCAGTAGCTTTTTTTTTTTTTTTTTTTTTTCCTCCCCAGCTCCCTGTAAGAGGCTGTGCTGGCACTTCTGTGCTCTGCATCTTGGTGTGATAACAGCACCCAGCTTTGAAGCTGAGCGGCCACATATTCCATTTCCCTTGTTCCAGCCTACAAATGTCTCATGGGCGGGAGAAATGCCCAAAGAGGTGGATATGGGATTTCGTTCAGGCCAGTGAGTGCTGGGGCTGATGACAAAATGAAGACATCTCCTCCTGCCTGACCAAAGGTGTCTTTTTTTTTTTTTTGTCTTTTTTTTTTCTCTATGTCCCCATTTGGGGTTTTAATCAGAGTACATTCTGAACCGCTTAGACCAGCTTTAGACTCAGATCTCTAAAGTTAGCTCAGAGCCAGAACTGTGTCAGCTGTCTAAGCAGTGCAGTGTAAAAAGAAATCCCCATTATTGGGTTAAAAATACTGGGGAAATCCCCTTCCCCCTCCCCTCCCCCCCACTTTTCCCCCTAGGTCTGATGATGGCAGTAAAAAGAATGCACACAATTTCCCATTCTTGCTGCAATATTTTTCATGAAATCGAAAGCCTCTCTGCCCTGCTGGCAAAATACAGCTATTTGACTGTGATAAGCTGATTGCAGAAGAGTTCATCCCACATCCTGTATTAGTGGAAAACATTGCAATGGTGCTGCCCATTCCTTCCATTGCTCAAGGGAAACCATTGCCTATTTAGCGGCAAAGATGTGGTAAATGAGCCTAGAAAAGTAACTCACAAATCAGCACCTTTGCTGAAAAGAAAACTTCAATCCACTGACAAAAAAATAAGGATTGCAAAGACTACTTTTTTTTTTTTTTTTTTTTTATTCTGCATTTACTGATCTGGGTTCAGAAACAGCAAAACACCACAGAAGAAAAGTATTAAGACTAAGCAAAGCATGCTGCTCTGCTTCCATCCATTCCTGCATTCAACGTCTGTTCTGTCCGTCTGTACTCTTGCTATATTTCTGGACTATTCAGAAGTGGGAAAATACCAATCCTGTGCTAAAGATCTTTCTTCTAAGAGTTTTTACATCAAAAAAAAAAAAAAATCAAGGTTGATACAAAAAAATCAATGTTGATACTTTTGTCATTTCTTTGAGTATCACCCGGAGCTGATTCTTCCCTACCTCTGCCTGTAGAAATGTGGATCTTCTGCTTTCTCCTAGTCCCACTCTGTTACCTGACCTTGCATTGTGCAGCTTGAATGTCATTAGAAATCTCAGCTATGGGGGCACCCACTGCCTTGGATTTCACCTCAAAAGAGTTGCTCAAAGGACTTGAGCTTGCCTGCAGCTGAGAGGGCTGGGGCAGCTATAACCCTCTTCTCATCAGCTTCTTCACCTGCCTCAAGACGTCAGCTGCTCCGTTGTCTTCAGAAGACAGCAGGCAAAGAAAGCCTCACAGTGTCCCAAATAAGCAAGCACGAGGCTTGCCCAGCTATTTGCTGTGCTTTGAGACTCTTTGCAGATGAACTTCAAAAAGAGACAATGAATCCCTTGCCCTGATGGGCAAATTGCTATCTTACATAGGCCATGGATCCTAGTTGCACTGATGGCTCTCCTGTCCCTATGTAGATCTCCATAAGCTTCTCAATTATTCTTGCTGCTAAGATGAATATGAATAAAAATAAAACCACCCCTTTTTCCTCTTGGAAAATAAAAGAAATACTACGGAATCTATGGTGTTTTATTGCCCTTTGGGGTGGGGGGAAAGGATCAACAGCTCTTCTAAACAGAGGACTAGGCAAAACTTTGTTGGGACCAATATACCTTTAGTCCCACTCCAACTCCCTTCCCCAAGGCACTCAGGCACCTAAAAGAGGGGGTAACTCACTTCCAAGGCTGTCAAGTGCCAGGAAGCAGCCCAGAACAGACGGAGCACCGTGTAGGCAGGTAATATTGAGGCCAGGGCACAGAAAGGGGTTGTTTGTAAAAAGATTTGCCTGGAGAACTCAAGAGTGAGTATACCACCAGGAGCCTTTTGTAGTGAACAACACGTATCCCACTAACTTCAGCAGGTTTGGGGGGCAGCTCCAAAATTCAGGCAAGGAGGACTAAGCTCAAACTGAGGTTTCAGGGGGAGATGGTGGATAGATCCACTGCACAGATGGCTGGGCACTTACACAGCCATGTCCATGTTTAAGAAAGGAGGGAAAATGTGTTAGCTACATAATAAGCACAGCAGGCTTGGGGAAGGGGGGGAGCAGATGGTCTAAAGAGGTGAATCCTTCAGCTGCTGCCGTGAGAAGAAGACAGTTTTGCAGAGACGTGCCGCAGAGATGTCTTTACCATGTTCCGCTCTGCCTGATCCCCAGGAAACAGAATTGGAAGTGATCCTGCTGCAAGCCCCTGAGGACCGTCCTGCTGGCTGGGTATTTTTTTCCCCCCCCTGTGAAAAATGCTGACAGCTTTCGAAGTGGCAAGCTGTTAGCACTGCATTAGCAGCCCCGGAGGGTGTGAATGTGTGACACACAGCGGCAGGAAGCGCTCAGCATAAGATGTGGTGATAACCGGACCATTCTTCCAGGAAGACAAGGTCATGTGGCCTCATACGTGAGTAACCCAGGTTATGAATACCCGAGGCATAACACTCAGCGATATGGGGCCCTTTCTCTGCTGGGCACTCCAGGGCTCTTCAGAAATGTCACACAGGGGAGCGTTCCCCTCCACGGCTGATGTGAACACGGTGCTGAGATAAACCACAGAGAGATGACAGTGTCCAGCAGCACCAGAGTCATACTGAAGCTAAACTTGAGCGCTGTGTGGAAGATATTCGAGCGAACCGCCCCATACATGAATCCTCTCCTTATCTTAAGCTGTATACAGCAAATATAGCGGTCACATATCTCATCTGCCTCTTTCCAAGATGCCTCGTTTACAAATAGGCAACATCATTCTCCACCCCTGCTCACCTTCCTTCTTTTCACTATGGGAGGTAAAAAGGGTATTTGCAGCAAAGGAATTCCTCTGAAGTCAGATCTGATCAAGATTTTGGGTCCTTGGTTGATTCAAAAGGCTGCGGTGATAGATGTGGTATGCTTGCTGAGATAGATCAGATTGAAATACTATATATTTTGTTCTGCTGAAAACACCAGGGAAGGAACTTGCCGCTTTCCAGTAAAGATGGATACAAAAAGGTAAGATCTCTGGGAAATACCCTCCGCTGGGTACTGACCCACTGTGGCAAGCCCTCGTAGTGTAAGTCCAGGAAAGCCATATAAGTATACACACATGCCTAAAGCTAGTCCTTGGTTATCTAGGGAAATTCTGGCTCAAAGCCATTTCTGAAAATGAAATCTAGTCCCTTCAGTCTCTTAGGCAGTTCTGAAAGCACTTCTTATTGTCACTGCATGCCTCAGTTTCTTACACGTACAGCAGTGAGTTAGTCAGTATAACCACATCGACACGTTCCCAGTCAAACGCTGAAGCTTTTCATCTACATTTAACATTTTTCTACTAGAATCCTACTCAAGGTAACTGCAGCAATAACTTTTGGTCTTCTTAGAGTCCCAGATTAAACCTGAAATGGTGACGGAGCTGGGAGCAGCTACCCCCTGCCCAGCTGCCAAAATGAGCCCAAACGAGCTCGTCCCCAGACCAACCCCACTGGCTGGAGCTCAGCCCCAGGTCAAAAGTAGTCTGTGTGTCCTCTCCCCCTGCTTTATTGACAGGATATCTCTATTTACTTTGTCCTGGCTGGAGCACGGCTGCTTTTTGTGAAAACCGAGGGGCAGTGAGCAGAAGGCAGTGCGGCAAGGCGGGTGGGGAGGACCCGGGGACAGAAGACAGCAGACGCTGCAGGAAGGTGGCACGACCGAGTGTGGGGAGCCCCGTGCCAGGAGGGTGAGCAGTGAGGAGCCCAAGAAGGTCAGAGGGAGCATTGCAGGTCAGGACTGACAGACACCGTGCTTTGCTTTCATCTGCGTGACCGCTGCTGGATCTAGCCCCGCTGTCTAGCTCCATCTTCCCTCCTTCAGGACATCTACGCCTGTCAGCCAGGGGCTGCTCCATCCCTGTGCTGAGGATCTCTGCCTGCTGACACCCGATGGGACCAAGGAGGGTGGCTAAGACATACAACAGTCGCTCAGCAACTCCTCGTCCCCTGGGGAGGACAACATAAGCTGCCTGCGCCAGCCTCCTGGGTTGTTCTCACTACAGCTGGAGGTGCTCCTAGCCTGACTTTTTCCAGGCTCCCCCCTTGCAGATCTTCTCCCCCAAAAGCCTTCAAAATCTCCATTTCAGGAAGAAAAAAAAAAAAACAGCCATTGTACAGGGTGTGCTGACCCACCACGGCAGACCGGTGTGGGACAAAGGCCAAGCTGAAGATACATGGCATCAAATCATTGATCGCTGAGGAGACCTTGAGCTTGGGTAAATAGATATCCTCCTCTCTCTCTCTATCTCTCCCCTTGCATGTGTAAGCGGGCTTGCGTGGGGGGTGTGGGCCCGGCCTCACAGGCGGCAGCAGGTTTCAAAGGTAGGTCTGTAGCTCTGGGGGAAACCCCAGTGCCTACAATTAAATCTTCAAAAAAAAAAAAGAGGTTCTTCTATTGTTGTTTCCTGCCCTCCTTCCCCCCGCCCCTCGGTTTGCGGTTCTTTGCTTACGCCTGCTGTTTCTGAAAGGATCCTATGGTAGTGGAGAGGTGCTCCTGCCTCTCTGGAAGGGTGCACCAGAGAAAGCAGATGTGATGCCGTTTGTAGGAGTGTTGGTGTTCACCGAGCTGTGTTTGATTTTCTGGAGCGAGTCGCTTGGTGCTTATGTTCTGTGAGCACATTGCGGTGCCACAGGCCAGCCTGGAAGGTTTGGGGCTCAGTAAAAGGTGGGAGAGTAAGGAGGCTGAACAACCCCTGTCCTGTGAATGTCCCTGAGCACCCACGCAGGCTAAAAGGGGTGTGAGGCCAAGCATCTCCTCCTACCTCTGCAGCACGTCCCCCAGGCACCGCAGGCAGGTAGGCAGGGCGCAGGCATTCCCCAGGAGCTCCGTGCCCTCCCACGTGGATGTGCTCACATCCCGTTCCCTCTCCAGCCACACACACAAAGCTTTTGAGGACAGTGGGTGAGATAAGATGGCTCTTTGGACGATGGCACTTCTTCCTTACCTTCAGCATCTGGGGCTGGCAGGAGGGGCGCAGCCAGAAGAAAGCAAAACAGGCAGCCTGAGGGAGGAGAAAGGTGAGGGAAAACAGAAAACGTCCCCTGGAACAGAGACAGGTGGAGGGCTGGTTGTGGTTTGCGAGCTCTCCCTGCACTTGCACAGCTACTGAGTCAGGGTCAGCATGGGCTTCACCCTGGGACAGGCGATCTGGTGGGAACAGCAGGGGTTTGTTTGCTTTGAGGGGCCGATAGCAAAGTGGCACAGCAGGCAAAGTACAACTGCAGGCTCCCAGGCCGGGGCTGCTGCATGCAACTTCTGTGTGCATTTGAGGGCACTGATTTTATTTTGCGTTGATCTCCAGGTCAATAAAATAACAGTTTTAAAAACCATTCCCCAACTGAGAAAACAACAGCATTATCTATGGAGAATTTTCTTATTGTACTTGTGTTTTGGGCAGAAGCAAATGAAACCTGGGGATTGTCTTTGAAAAATCTGGAGATGCCCTGGAGGCATAGACAGATAGGACAGCGTCCTGGAAGCCTGTCTTCTACTGAAATAGGATTTTAACTCGCATTTCTACTGAGCAAAGTCTTTGATGGTTAGCCCACAGACCTCTTAGGGCTATAGATCTGGGGAGAGGATCACAGAGCTGACAGCACGCCTCCAGAGATGGATGTAAAAGGCTGCATGAAACCCAGCCTGACCGTGGTGTGCTGTGTCACCAGATGCCCCAAATGGAGGCCGAGGAACAGGAGGAAGATGCCAACTCCCTCTCAAAAGACGGATCAGAGACTAACTCAGCTACCTCACGTGACTGCCGCCGCTACGTGCCTCTTGGAATAGTCTTTGTTTTGCTGGCTGGAACTGCTGCAACAACATGGTATTTCCTAGGTAAAAATTCAACACGTTTTTTCCCCTGTGTAGGAGGTGGATGGGGTAAAGTAAAGGCAATGTCCAGCCCAACGAGTATTTGTGTCTTTGGGCAACATTTACAGATCAAATCCGGGCAAATCTGGGCAAATCCCTCTCTCCTACGTATCAGCAAGGTAATCCATTAGTGTCTTCTGTTGGCAGACTACAGACCATGGCACCTGGAACCATCTGTCCTGCAGTTTTACTCCGGCAGCCTCCAGGTCCTCAATCGCCAATACTTCCCAGACCTTGGGGAAGTGGAGTCCAGAGCCTTCTGGTTGGAGTCAGCTAAACTCCAGAATATGGTGAGGGCAATTCCACGACCAGAGCTGGCCCTGAAGCAGTTCAGTGAGTAGCAGAGCAAGGGGTCAGGATCCCTCATCCAAGTGGTGGGTCTGTACAGCAGGAGGGATGAAGCCCAGGGCTGGCTGTAGGTTCTTTGTCACTGTAACGTTGCACGATAGTTACCAGACGACACTCTCGTTGCAGCTGAAGGATCTCATTCGTGCCACAGAGCTGGGTCGATATTACAACTCGAGCACGGTTTATGCCTTCGGGTGAGTAGCACCCACAGCATTTCTGCTTGTCTGTACGTGAAAGTTTCCAGTCCACGGTACTTTCGTTTCACTGAAATTTGGTCACAACAAACTGCTGCACGCCCAACCATGAGCTCTAGGCTAGGCTGGGCAATACGCATCCAGAACGGCTCCGGTATGACAAAGCTGTGGATATTTTCACATTCAAATTCATCCGAGGTCAACACAAAACCCCCAAACTGAGATTTTTTTTCACAGAGACAAAAGTTCAAGCAAGGAAAAAAAAATGATTGGGAAGAACTGAAAAAAAAAATAAAAATCTGGGCTTGGCATTCTCGGTAGAAACTAAGCAGCTGGAAATTAATTTCTCTAATTCAAGGAAGTCATTTGTATGGCCTGATTCTAGGCACCAGACGGCAGAGGCCAGAATGCACCATGCATAAGGTATTTCAGCCAAGAAGCCTGGTCCACCTGGGAACAGGATGAGAGTGGAGTGGGACAGATATGGGACTACAGCTTTGCAGGTCATCACAGTAGTTTGAGAAATCAGGAATAACTTCCAAACTGATGTATACATTCGTTTATTTTTTTTCTATGAAAAACTACACCCCTAAATTTGACCTTTCGCTAAGGAAAATTCCATTTTTGCTGTAACTCCATTTTCTACCTGGGAAAGAAAAGTTTCACTTGCAATTCTTCCTCTGCTTTTTTACCGAGCAAAGTTTTGCTTCAACACCTCTTCCCCCTCCCCCAGCCATTTTTCTCTGCCAGCCGGTTGAACAGAGCTTTCCCAGCCACATCCCCCCACAACTTGAGCCTGCCCAGCATTAATGGCTTGTGGTAAGGTACTGAGTCATAAATCAACCCCATGTCACCACTGGGAGGTGATACAAAAAAGTCTTGAGAGTTTCATCTCAGCCTCTGGTCAGTAGTAACCAAAAGTCACTTCTACCTGAAATGAGACTACTCATTTGGCCATAATTTGACCACGTATAATCATCACTGGAGAGTCCACACAGATATACCTGACTTGTGGCTAAACAATGGGGGATTAATCTGTGGGGTTTGAAACTCCTTGTAGAGGAAGACAGAGGATATTTAATGTGCTATTTCTCTGCTAGGGAGGGGGCTCTGACCTTCTTCTTCTGGTTTACCCTCCAAATCCCTGAGACTAAGCAGAAGGAGATGACGGCTGAGACGGTGAACACAATGCTCCACCAAGAGCTCTCCGCCAGCTTCAACATCTCGGGCAGCCTGTCCTACCAGGCAGAGTACAGGGTCAACCCAGACTCACTGGTTCTGCTGGGTAAGTACCCTCTGCTCAGCTGTGGCCTGAGCCATCAGACGTGGCCCCAGGTTTACAGGGTGCCAAACAAAGGTTATGAGAAGTGGCTAGAAGTCATTGTTGAAGGGGATAGGAGAAATCTGAAGAGGACAGGGAAGAAATGAGGATCAAGACAGGCAATTACATGTGTTGCTTCCTCACAGAGAACAGAAGTTTCACAAATAGCATCATTCCTTTGAAGGATTAAAGATTCTTGGAGATACAGCTGACTATGACCAACTAGTTAACAACTTCCTATTTCTTCTCCTTCTCCCCTCAGCCTTGGCTTGTGTTAATAACTTACGCAGGTCATGGCTTTGACCAGCTCAGCTCAAAATCAGCAAGCAGTTAGGCTTCTTGCTTTCCTTTGGGAGCTTATTCCAGTCTACTCAATTCAGAGAAGAACAAAATCTTCATACTTAAGTCACTGCTAGTCTTACTCCAAAACAAAGCATTGTTGCCACTTCAGTTCCTAACATATGATTTTAAGCATTATTTATCAGTTCCCAAAGCAAAGATCACAGCCTGTTTAAAAAGAAGCCCCCATAGAACTGCTCTAAAATAGGTGTTAGATAAAGGACGTGGGGATGTGTCTATATTCAGTGCATCAAAATCCAATGGAATTTGCATTTAGTCCTTATAATGAAACAGCTTCTCAGCCTGATCTGATCCCTCCTTCAGAGCCGCAAACCACAGAGGTTTTAAACTGCATTGCCTTTACTCTCTCCTGCTAGGACTCACATTTCCAAGTTTTTTTTTCCCATGAAATGCCACATCTCCAAGTTTTTTCCCCAGACGTTATCTTGCATTTTTCAAAGATGAATCTTATTTTAACATATCCCACCCATATTTTCTTTAACCTTTCCCTGCACGTCACAACTGTTTTGATTTGGAGGTAATTTTTTGGTGTCTCCAAACAAAATCTGATTTCCTTAAAATGATTTCACAGATCATTTTGTGGATCTGATCCAGATCTTTGTGTTAAGATCCAGTATGAACCTGAATTAGCACCCCATGAAGAGCTCTCCTCCTGCATTTACCATTAGTCACTTACTTCTGCTTATAATTTGTTTCCAGTGTACCAGACCTTATGTTCAGCCAAATTAAATCAACTTTCTTAAGAAAAATGTCATAACACAATATGCTAAATGCTTCAAAGTCAGCCCATCTTGCATTTTCCATTTATTTATTCACTTCCTAATGTGATCCATAAAAAAAATTAAAAATGATGTTACCATTCTTTTAGCTGTTCCCAGTTCCCTCTAATTCCCTTTGCATCTGTTTCACTGTTTTATTCATTTCAGGTAGATTTGCATGAGCAGAACATGCTTCTTTCTATTTTGGAGTTAACACACCAGTTGTAGTTTCTCTGGCTCCTTCTGCTTTCTCTCATCCTTCCTGCCTCCTTCTCCAACCAGAAGCACAGTCTCGCAGCTGTGGCATAAAAAAATTAAAAAAATTAAAAAAAAGAAACTATACTGCTGGGCCAGGATGAGCTCACACTAGTGGCTTAACCTCTGGCTTCATTTGCTCTGTAAAAGTGGAGTGAAAAAAATTGCCAGCTAATAGCAAGTCATTAGCACTTCATTGCCTTCTGACAGACTCACTGGCTGACCCGCTGAGCTCTAAATATGAATTATCTCTCTGCAGTCTTCTGTAATGCATGGAGCTGCAGACCACTGGCTAATTCATGAAGATTTTTCCACCCCCTGGTGCTTTATTTTTACTAACAGGTACACTCACCCCAGGGTACTAGCTTCCCATTGTCCCCTGAAGACTTTTAGGATTTCCTTCCTTCTTATCGAAGGAACTCAGTTCTGTTACCTTCACACAAAAGAGAAGCAACCTCAGCTCAGCATACCCCATGTCCTTCCCTACAGCAGAGGAGCTTCTCCAGCTTTGTTCTGGCAGGATCCTCCTTTCCACAACATCTGTTTTTACCATGACAAAGCTGCAGAGCTCTCCCTGCAGAATTGCACGCTCTGCGTAGGGGCCACAACAGAGCAAAGGCCTGCCCTAGGCAAGCCCCCAGCAGCAGCTCTCACACCCAGCTGACCTCACGGCGCCTTTAGTTTTGGCAATTATCCCCAGTAGCACCTCATCTCTGGCTGCTCCCAGTTCAGCTGGGAGGCTGGAGCAAGGCCCAGCTCCTAAAAGCACTGCCCATGAGCTTTAGTGTGTGCAGATTTGTAGCCCTTGCTGGTGGCTCTCTCTGCATCTGCCTTACCCGAAGGTGGACTCTGTAGGCTATTTAGTAGCTATCAACCAATTGTCATCAAAGGAGACCTCCTTTCCCACCTTGATAAGCTCCCATGCTTTTCAGTGAAGGGTTATTTGAACTCAGAGAGCAGGGTGAAGGCTCTGGGTTAGGGCTGTGCCCAGTAGTGTGGCTGCCAGGGAAGGGGAATGGTGTCCTGAGGCAATGTCCAGCCCTGGTGGGAAGGGGAAGGTGCCCTTGAGGAGCATTGGGTAATGGGCAAAGGAGAAGATGCAGAGAAGCCTGTGTTGGTCTGGAAAGAATTAATTGAGGCTGTTGGATTTGAAACTGAGGCCAGAGAGGTTTCCCTGTGGGATGGGATGAGAAAAGCATGACTGAAACAAGTCCCTGAGACCAGACAGATAAGTGCCTGGAGAGTGCCCCACACCAAGATTTTAGGGGGTTACCTACGTAGGAAGGGCGTCGTCACCTGCCATGCTAGCAGTCAGTTACCACCACTTTTTGTTTATCTTCCTTTATATATTTCCTTTCTAACAGAATCCAGTGTGAAAGACATAGTAGTGCTGAAATCCACTCTGGGTAGGCCATCTTTTCTTTTCCTTTTGAGTTTATTACTTTGTGGGAGGGATTTTCACCGGGGACAGGTTTTGTTTGGCTTCCTGGAGCTGCAAATCCTGGGAAGGGGAGAAGAAAGCCATAGCAAGGGAGCAACAACACCACTGCTTAGCAAAAATGCCCATGGCCACATCCAAACTGTGTGAAGCTACTACATGGTGGAGTGCTCTGAGCAGCTCTGGTAGCATACAACTATGCAGAAATACCAGCTCCCAAGAGCAATGCAGCCACCTTTGTAAAGTCTTGGTGTAATGGTGCCACAGTGCCAATTCTGGGCCCCAGAAAACCTATTGAGAGAGGCTGAGGGTTTCCCTCCATCGCTCTGCACTGGATGTGGTATAAGCCATTGTAAGTGTATTGTCCTAGTGATGTTTGAAGGTGTTTTTAATAATTTTGGGCAGTGCTGCAAGTGCTGTGGCAATAGATATGCTATTAGAAAGTCACCTTTAAGTTGATTTTTACTCAAAAATCTTGGGCTAGACAGCTGCTGAAGGCTGGAAACCATACAAGGGGGATATAAGGCTGGGAAGAAAATGGTGGTGAGAGGAGAAAGAAATGAAAAAGAAAATGAAGCCAATGGAAGATAACTGTGTTGTGCTGATGTTTAACTCCTCAGACAGTATGGGCTTAACCAAGAGAGAGAGACCAGTTATTACAGAGATATGGAGGGGGTTTCTTCCACGTGCACCATGTACTTTCACATGCATCTCTGTGACACCAGTAAGATGTGACTGGTATCACTGAGATGCGTGTGAAAGTAGACTGAGATCACTGGGATGATTCAGCCTAACCCTGAAATAGGGCTTACACTAGTATCCCAACTGGCAATCCCATATCTTAATTTCCCTTACAGCCACCCCTAAGCCCCATTTTCCCTCAGTTTACATCACCCTGAGGTTTAAATCCTCCTATCTTTCCCCGGCGTTCAGGTTGCTACAGATACAGCTACGTCCAGGAGGACGACATCCTAACGCTGGAGGGCCCTGACTACCTGGCCTCCAGTTGTCTTTGGCACCTCCACGGCCTCAAGGGCTACATGATCAAGCTACACCTGGAGTGGACCCTCCCGGACTGCAGGGACCGCCTGGCTATGTATGATGCAGCTGGGCCACTGGAGAAACACCTCATCACCTCGTAGGTAGCTCCTGAGCAGGGCGATCACAGTGGGGAACCCAGGCAGGATGGCACACCACCACAGCAGGGGAAGGTGTTAGACTACATCAGAGGAAATTCTCTTTGATGCAAAACCTGCCTCTCACTGATGAGCTGAAGTCACTGATGTGGGATATCACACAGCCAGCCCTGCAGTCTGATAGATTACAGCAGCACGAGCTGTGTCTCTGGTGGCTCTTTATTTGGTTCGGTTGGTGTCTCACAACAGGAATGTTCTTTGGATAACGCAGTCCTCCACTGCTTTTTTTTTTCTTTATTTCTTTTTTTTTTTTCTCTTTTTTCATTCCTCTCTTTCATTTGTTTGTGGCTTGCTTCACTCCCACTCCTTTGTTCTCTCTTTCCCCTCAGGATCTACGGCTGCAGCCGGCAGGAGCCTGTGGTGGAAGTCCTTTCATCCGGCCCCGTCATGTCCATCGTGTGGAAGAAAGCCATGTACAGCTACTATGACCCCTTCATCCTCACAGCACAGGTGGTGCCCCTCAAAGGTGAGGAAGGCTGGAGGAGGGCAGCCATAAGTACAGGATGGACACTGGTTATCTCCTACAACATCACTGCTAGAGGTCAATTCGGCATAAGATAAAGCAGCAAAATGCATTACCATCACCCTTCTGTGGACAAGAAGGGGAAGCTAAAAGTCTTGCCAGGTAGAAATGGTCCCTTGAAGGGGGATGGTGGAACATCCCAGTGACCATTAGTGTTAGGTCTTTTATCCCCTGCTACAATGGGATAAGTACACGGTATCCCCAGGCTGAGGTTGAGCTGAAAGGTATCGGGGCTTTTAATGCCTGTATTTACAGCCTGCGAAGTGAACATAACCCTGCGGGAAGGCCTGGAGCTTCAGGGGAAGATCAGCACCCCACACTACCCCAGTTACTACTCGCCCAACACGCAGTGCACCTGGCACATGATGGTAAGAGCCAGCTCCCACCGAAGCATCCACCTCCTCCCTGAAGCCCACGTGGCACTCCCCGCATTAACCTGGGGCACAGCGCTCAGCCAGCATTCTCAATCAGATCATCATGAGAAGCAAAGAGAGGGTAGAAGCCTTGCCTAGCCTCCATTTAATGGGTCTTTCTAAAGCCAAAGCAGTCTAACACTACATGCCAGAGCAGAGATGCCATAACTGAGGCAGAATCTGAAGTCTTGGCTCCAGGGGAGTTCTTCAAGGCAGAACCAGTTTACTTGAAATTACCATGTTTTGAGACCAGTGGCAGAGCCACCCTGGTTTATAGCATGGGCCCAGTTTAGATGGTCCTTCCTTCTGGCCTGAAATATGTGAATTAGTACCTCTCCCCTTCGCATCTACCCTGTTCATTTCTGTTGATGGGGTGGGCTGCAGCACTCACCCACTCTGTGGATGCCATCTCCACTCTGCTCTGGACCCCCTCTCCTGCAGGTCCCCTCCCTTGGCTATGGGGTCACCCTGTGGTTCGACGCCTATGCGCTCAGCAGACAGAAGCAGGACCTGCCCTGTACCCAAGGCCAGTGGATAATTCAGAACAGAAGGTGGGTATTGCTGGGGTCCTGGTTTCTGTCTCTCAATTCCTTTTCCTGAACTGGGATGAAACCTCTGCATGTCCCCAGCTCCGTTTAGCCACCAGGTCCGAAGAGGGAAATCCCACTGCCCTACTTAGTGGTCACTGTCAGGGCTGGCACCTCTTGCTTGTCTACTTCTTTTTTAGCCTCTCTCATTCACAGGCTCCCTAGGGAGCACATTTCTTATAAATTTGCTCCGAGATACCAGCCTGCCTTCTCTGTCTTGCTGTTTGCATCAGGCTTCCTAGTTTTCTCCTGTGTGTGTAACCTTGGTGTCCTCCCACGTCTCTTGTGTTTGCAAATCTGCCTGTCACCACCTCTGCAATAATATCTGCGTGTGCCGTTGCCTCGCATCCACCTCCGTACAGATCCTCCGCCAAGCTCCAGATCCTCCTGCTTTGACTAGAGCCACTTCCCCCTGCGGGACTTCCCAAAATCAGCCTCCATACATTGCTGGGGCTGCTGCCCACCACCGTCTAGGTGCAGTGGAGACACAGCTGCCACACTTTTATCTCCTCAAAGCAGGCTCTGAGTTAAGATGGACCCTTTTTTTTTCCTCAGAGTTACTGCAAACTTGCTCCCTGCTCTCCAAAACCTCCCCCAGCACATCTCATTAACTTCCTATCCACTGCTCCTGCAGTGGTAATTTATTTTCTTCTGAAAGATCTGAACGAGAAGCTACTGAAAATTATCTTCCCCTGGCTTAGGGTTTTCACCTTTTCTCTCCTTACCTTCCTCTCTTGAACTGTCAGAGCCACAGTTTCTACAACATGATTTCTTATGAAAGATAAGAACTGAGTTGTTTTGCATGGCCTGAATTCAGCACTTGCTCTAAAATGGGAAATATCCAAAGGTAGTAGGGTCACTCTGGAGTAATGAGGGCAGAAATGGGTGACAATATGTATGTAGACTGTTTCCATCTCATTTGTAAAGCCTAATTATGCCCTGTTGTCCCCAGTTATTTGGTTTCCCCTCTCTCTTTATCAATTCCCATCACAGCATTCGTGTTGACTGGACGTGGGTTAAAATCACAGCTTCTTCCCATTGCTCCTGTGTAATCTTATGCCACACTGAAGGCATTTTGCTGTACTGGCTACCCCCTCAACACCCCTCCATACCCAGTCTTTGCGGTCTCTTTCCCACCTTCCCCAGCCCCACAGAACCCCCCTGCCCCACTTTGCTGTCTTCTTCTCCCTCACTGCCCAGGACATCCCACCTCTGTTTGCTCCTCAGGTTGTGTGGCCTGCGGACCCTGCAAGCCTACGCCGAGAGGATCCCAGTCACGTCCTCTGCCGATATCACCATCACCTTCACCTCGCAGATCTCCTTAACGGGCCCTGGCGTGCAGGCAGCTTACAGCCTGTACAACCTATCTGACCGTACGTCCAGGCCTCCTCCCTGCTCCTTGGTGGGGTGTGGGGGGGTCCCAGATGCCTACCTGCAGCCTCCTGTGTGCTAGGATTGTGTTAGGAGAAACACCATGCACATCCCATGAGCCTGAGGTGCCAACTGCCCTTCAGACACATGCTTGGACACAATACCACACACACCACTCATATCCCCAAAAGAAGAGGTATTTACATCCAAAGCTGCTTCTGCACAAGTGTTCCTGCCTCCCAGAGCACCCTTGTGCCAAGGCCCAGCTTCTGAAAACTGCCTACAGGCTCAGCCCTCAGCATGGACTGGCCTTGGGATTTCAATGGGAGACTATTTCTGACTTGAAGTGACTCTTGTTTCAATCACAAAAGCTCACAGAGAGAGCTGTTTCCTGCTCACCTTGGAACCTGTGCAAGTGAGAGACAAAACCACACACAAATACGCAGATGCACATATGTAAAGATGGAGAAACCTTCCCAAGGTTTCTCCAGCTCCCTCCTGCGTGGGTGCTGTAACCCACACTTGCCCCTGAATACGTGCACCTGGCAACACGTTACAACAGCCCCTCCACGGCCCTGACCACGTTTTAATCCCCAAGAACCTACTTCTGTTTCGCTGCAGTGCTCAGGAGTCACAAAACAGAGCTAGGGCAGAGGCAGAGCGTGCCAGGCAGGTGGGTGATCTGGCAGATTTTGGGGACTTTACGGAGTGCCTCCTGCGAGCTGCTGCGGCTCGTGTGCGGTCAGGAAGGTGTGCAGCTCCATGCTCCACTTTCAAGCTGCGGTGCTGTGCTGCAAGGAGGTTTCCAGTCACCGGGGACTAACTACGATCTGGTGGTTTCACAGCCTGTCCCGGTGAGTTCCTGTGTTCGGTGAACGGCTTGTGCGTCCCGGCCTGTGATGGGATCAAAGATTGCCCCAACGGGCTGGATGAGAGAAATTGCGGTGAGTGATCTGTTCTCCCCGCCGGTCCCTGGTCCCAGCAGGACGCGGCTCCTTGCTCTTCCAAAGGTAGGGAGAGATTGGGGAGGAACGACGTGGCCCCTGCCTCCCCCTCAGGGAGATTAAATCTCTGAATCACAAACGCCTCTTCTCGCTGCCAAGTGGCTTCAGCCTGCTCTGGAAGAGGAGCAGCACTTCTTCCTCTTGTGCACAGTGCAGTCTTCCCTCGAGAACCCCCAAATATCCCTGCACCAAGAGCTCCGGACAGCCTGAAAGAGCCCCCTGCCCATGCTATCCAAAACCTTGCCTTCCCACCACCCTGCCCTGCCAACCAACCTCAGCCCTGGCCTACAGCCCCCTCTGCTGTCAGAGCACTGTGTCCCCCCCTCCCTGCCTCCCAGGGCTCCTACAAAACCCCATTCTCGTCGGAAGACCTATCCAGGCTCAGACAAGACATCTGATTCTCCTCTTGTTCAACATCCATCCCCCAGCACCTCCAGCCCCTTTTCTGTCAAGCTGCCTCCCAGCTGGGCAGCCCCCAGCCTGTTCTTGTGCATGGGGTTGTTCCTTCTCAGGTGCAGGGCTCAGCACTTCCCTTTGCTGAACTTCAGAATTCAAGGCAAGGCAAGGCAGTCACAGCATCCTGTGCATCTAATTGCTGGCTGCTTCCCCCCCCCACACCTTGCAGTGTGCCCTGCAAAGTTCCAGTGCCGAGAGGACAGCACCTGCATCGAGTTCAGCCGAGTCTGCAACCAGCAGCGGGACTGTGCCAACGGGACCGATGAGGAGCAGTGCAGTGAAGGTAGGGAGGGTTTGGGGGGGAGGGGGGGCTGACAAATGCCTTGCTCTGCTCTCAAACCACGGCTGCTGGTAGCGTGCCTCCCTCCGGTGAGATAAGGGCACCAGCTGGGAGCTGGCCTTCCGGGCCTGCCCACAGCATTTGCTCATTTTGTGCCTTATTCAGGAAATTCTGTCGTATTTTATGTAGTTCCTCCAAGCTCTGCGTTGCCTTCTTCCCTCTCTCAAAAGACTTCAGGCCGTACCTACAACCTGGTGCCTTTCCTCAGCCCCAGCTTCCCTTCATCTTCACAGGGGTCCCCTGTGGTCCCTTCACCCACCGCTGTGACGACGGGACCTGCGTGAAGAAACCCAACCCCCGGTGTGACACCACGGCGGACTGCAGGGACCTGTCCGACGAGGAGCGCTGCGGTGAGGAAATAAATGCTCACTCACCCCTCAGCCAGCCAAGCAGGTTCAGGGTGCCACCTAGCTCCAGGTTGTTCTCACCCCTGCCACCCCAATATAAGCATCCTCCCTCCCTCGGCCCACCTTGTCCTGCTCCCCCCAGTGCCATTGCTCCGTCCTGCTCTCCTGGCTGAGCTGTGAGGAGGAGCTGCCTGCTCCCTGACCAGCTGCTCCCCGTCTCCTTCGGGCAGAGGCATCAGGCCAGGCAGATACATCTCAAAGGCCAGGTCCTACCCACAGGCTGCCCTTTGGACCGCTGTGCTGGCTTACGTGAAGCGATGCCATCCTACAAAGCTCCAGCCAGGGAAACCACCCGTGGTACTAGCGGGGAAACCACCCGTGGTACTGGCAGGGAGATAATTTGTGTTTTGATTGCCCTGCTTGATATTTCTGGAGTTTCCACAGGCAGCAAAAAGCTGGGGAGGTTTCCCCTGACCAGATGGTAGCTAGCACAGACTGGCACTGCCCCGAAAGCATCCCCAGGAGGAAGGGCATGGCTGTGCAGGCATCAGTGGGGGAATATGTGCTTGGAGAGGTGCTCCCTAGACCTGTCCTGGAGAAGACGTACAGCATCTGCTGTCTGGGGAGGGCAAGGGTTTGAGGGAGTAGAGGTCAAACTTTTCAGCCAGTGGGAGCAGGAAAGGAAGGGCAGGCACATCATGTTCCCTTCCCCTACTGAAGCACCTGCTGTGTCTCCTCCTCCTCCTCCTCAGACTGCGGGCTGCAAGCCCCTCTCAGCAGGATCGTGGGTGGTGCTAACTCAGTGGAAGGGGAATGGCCCTGGCAGGCCAGCCTGCAGGTTCGGGGCCGCCACATCTGCGGGGGAACGCTCATTGCGGACCGCTGGGTGGTCTCAGCCGCGCATTGCTTCCAGGACGAGAGGTAAGTGGAGAGAGGAGGGGGATGGACAGGAGTAAGGAAACTAAACCAGGGAGCTTTTTGCAGCCAGAGAGGCAGTCTCGGGGAAAACAACATGTGTAATGTATGAGGTGGTCAGGACTCGGAGCCTAAAAACATCCTTCTTCTTGCTTCCTCCTCCTCTGGTCCAGGAGGAGGCCCTTTGCCCCTTCTATTCTGGAGACAGGGTCTGTGTTGGCTGTTCTTTTCTCCTGTGTCACCTCACTAGGCTTTCTCCAGCTTTAAACCCTGCTTCTGTAAGAGGCTGTCATTTCCTCTTAGAAGTTTTTTGGGTCTTCGTACCCTTTCCCAAGTCTCCTTCTTGCAGCTCTGCTTCTCCAGTTCAGTCCTTGCTCTCTGCTCTGTTTTAGTCATTTGCACATGTCCAGCTCCACTTATATGTCTAAACTACGCATACCTTTTAGCTTTTCTAAGGAAAATAAAGATAGAAGATCAAGTTGCCTATGTGTATGGGTGCCTGCCCAAAGCTGATCCCCCGGTAAAGGCATGTCAAGGCATCAAAGAAATATCCCAACCAACTTCTTGAAATTAGTAACCAAACAAAAAAAAAAACCTTCTAAGGGAGATGATTGTCCATCATGACACCCCTTAAAAAGAGTATGATAAAAGCAGCAAGGCTCTTCCCATCCTTCCCTGTTCGTGTGATGTGTTATCTTCTCTGCTGCATCCTACAGACTGGCTTCCCCCTCCATCTGGACTGTTTACTTGGGCAAATATTTCCAGAACACCAGCAGCCACACAGAGGTGTCCTTCAAGGTGATCCGTCTCTTCCTCCACCCCTACTATGAGGAGGACAGCCACGATTATGATGTGGCCCTGCTCCAGCTGGACCATCCCGTCATCACCTCGCCCTTCATCCAGCCCATCTGCTTGCCTGCCCCTTCCCACCTCTTTGAGCCTGGCCTTCACTGCTGGATCACTGGCTGGGGAGCCCTGAAGGAAGGAGGTAGGTGCAACATCTTTGCTGGTGTCCCTCTGTAGCAGGGCCAAGGTGGAAATAGAGGTTCTGGTGTGGGGTAGGTAGAATAGGGTTTTGTTGACTGCAAAGGATCATGCCTCCTTCACCTCCTTTGTTTTTTGGGCATAGTGGCCAAACCCTGGACACTCCAGGGTTTGCATAGTTTGCCAGATGAGCTTAACCTCTATTTTGATGAGATGGGCATGGGCTGGGGGATCAGGGTAAACAGTGGGAAGTTCCACCGTTGCTCACTGGTGCTGCTCTTGGTGCTCTACCCCCCAGGACACATCAGCAATGTCCTGCAGAAGGTGGACGTGCAGATCATCCAGCAGGATATCTGCAGCGAGGCCTACCACTACATGATTTCTCCGAGGATGCTCTGTGCTGGGTACCGCAAGGGCAAGAAAGACGCCTGCCAGGTGACAGAGGGGTTGTGGGAGCAGGGTGGGCTACCACGAGTGTCCCAGGCCTCCCGAATGCACTCCATAGCCTGAAATAAGGGTGAAAAGACCATAAAATGCCTGACTCCTCGATCCTTCCTCTGATCTAAATGGCAAAAACAGCTCCCAGGGCAAATTCTTCACGGCATCGTTGCCTTAGACGGGGTACAAATACACATAAAATTCTCATTCCAGCCCATTCTCCACTCCTTACCTCCCACTCCCAAGTCACATGCCTACATCAGTCTCTTCCCCCCTCGTTCTCATTAGCATCTGTCAAGCACAGTAACCACTCTGTTCCTTCATTACAGTCAATCAATCTCCAGCAATTCCTCTATCTCCCATCCCTCAGGATATCCACTTAAATTCCACCAGCTTCCTTGCTCTCCGTGTGTTTGCAAATGCCTCCTGGAGCAGAAGGAGGCAATAGAGCTGCCAGCTTCCTGGGAGATGCTAAAGGAGAGGAATTGGCATGATGAAGGAATGCAGCAATGGGTCAGATGTTTGCACAGGAGACAGTTTTTGACATCTGCCTAAGGTTTAAGTGCAGATATCCCAGACATGAGTTGAGGGGATACATGAATCTGTGTACTCCAGAAGCCAGTGAAAACACCCAGCAGGGTAAGCTGGTGGATCACCATCACCCCATTTTTCCTTCCCTTTCTCTAGGGTGATTCTGGAGGTCCACTGGCCTGCGAGGAGCCCAGCGGCAGGTGGTTCCTGGCTGGTTTGGTCAGCTGGGGAATGGGGTGCGCACGTCCAAATTCCTACGGAGTGTACACCAGGATCACCCAAGTGCTGGGCTGGATGAACCAAACCATGAGCTGAGAAAAGTGCATCTCTGCCCTCTCCCCATCAGACCTACGCGCACAACGGCACTCGTTCCTGACCTTGCTCGCTTGCCTCAGAGAGAAAAGAGTTTGTGTGTGGGATGTTGTCAGACCCAGGATGCTCTTCTGAGCAGGGTAAAAAAATAAAAAATCTGACGGTGGGAACTGTAGAGGAAAGCAGGCAGACCCTCTTCTCCCTTCAGTGCTTCCCGAGGGAACATCCCAAGGTGGATTTGGGCCATCTATCCAAAATTCTTGGCGGGAGGGTCCCAAGCTGATGGTTTCTAAGTGCAGGAATGAGGGGAGCTGAACTTTCCATGAACCATGTGATTCAGCCACAGTCTTATGCTGGAACGAAAATGTGACTGATGTAGTTAGAGATTCCAGTAACTGTGAAATCAATCAGCCTCCCTCTTCCTTCTTACTGCTCGTCCTCCTTCCCCCCTTCCCCTCCCATCACTCCTCCTCTTCCATCTCCCTAATTGCTTCTTTTCTTAGCCGGCATGTGCTGCTCAGCTCAGCCAGGCAACGCTTCACGTCTCACTGCCTCCCAGGCACGAGCCCAGCATCACGCCCCGAGGCGCTGCTGCTGCTCCTGGACCCCTCAGAAGACCCCGGCCCCTCAGTAAAAAACATTAAAGCAGCCTCCTGGCCCCTTCCCTCAGCCCTTCTGAATGCCTGTAATGTGAGGGATTGTTCAACTGCTTCCATCTCCTGAAGTAATAAGCCATGAGATGAAGGAGAAGGCGTAAGGGCACAGTGCTTTAGATAGTGACTGCCAGGGGTTGTGTTTTTTTTTTGTTGTTGTTTTTGTTTTTTTTTTTACCAAAGATATGCATATATATATGTGTGTGTGTGCATAAGTATGTATACATATGTGCATATATATAAAGGGTCACTTGGAATTAGAAATACAATTATTTTGGATTTTTTTTTTCTCTAGTTTGCCTTACTCTGTTACAAATTCTTTTGGGGTTTGGATCTTTTTGACCAAACATCAGTCCTGGCACTGGCAACTGGTAAAAGTTCCCACAGCCCTGCTCTCCTTCTCAGCTGTGTCCCAGGTACAGGAGGGTCAACCTGCCAGCTAGATAAGTCATCCTCAATTATTGTTGAGATTTAGGGGTGCAGATACCAATAAGTAAACCAGCTCTGCAGCCCCATCTGCACACAGTGGGGATGCAGCACAGATGCAGCAGGAGATATCTCCGACGCCCAGAAGGCAGGCCCAGCACAAGAAGCTTCTGGTGGCTCCGGTTGATGAATCCAAGCTCCTCTTCTCCATTCCCAACCCCCCTTTTCTACCAGCATCAAATTTCTACCACTTGAAATGAGAGGCGGCAAGGAGGAAGAAAGTGTGAGTTTTATTTAGGAGCTACAACCCAGCGTCCTCAGAGACGGCGGTGAAACGAGCACCCTGCTCCTTGAGGCAGGGATGTCCTCATCCTAGAAGACCCTACATCAGGTGCCAGCATGTTCCCCACGGGTACCCGGACACTATGCCTGTCTCCTCTCACCCCTCTGGCACAGGGCTGCTTTGGGGGACAGGGAGCAAGGCACCAGCGAGGTGACACCCAGCACAGGGACAACCCCACGAGCAGTGCAGGTGGCCCAGAAGAAGGCAGTGGCTCCGTATTCACCCTCTGGGCACAAGCCCAGACCAGCTGCCCGCAGCAGGGAATGGGCAAGGAGCGGTCCTGCTGCAGATACCACCACATCTGGGCACCAGCCCCAGCCAGGTGTTGTTTGGGAAGTTCTGCAGTGGCTGATCACTGCTGTCCCCAGCAGGGGCCACTGTGACATTAAGGAAAGACAGTCTGCCAGGCGTGCGAGGGGGCTCCAGCCCCTGCAGCAGCCCAGGCTCTCCTTGGAGCATCTGCCCTACCTCCAGGCAGAGGTGAGTTTGTAAAAATCGATGGCTGCATGTGGAGAGTGCAGGGGGGCTGGGGGTGTCACTGTGGTGCAAGGGGCTGTCGCACAGTACCGTACAAAAATAAAAATATAAACCAGAAATTAAAAGGCTGGAGCGGAGTGTCGGGATCACATCCTCAGGCCTCTGGCTTGTAACAGCTAGGGAATGAGAAAGAGAAAAACCAGATCAAAGGCAGAAAAAAGCAATTGAGAACAGAGGGGAGAGCAAGAATGAGGAAAATGGAAAGGGCACATGACAGAGGAAATGAAAACAGAGGGGAAAAAAAGAGAAATGAAAGAGGAGTGAGGGAAAAAAAGAAAAAGGAGGGAAATTCTCTGTAATTAACATAGACTGACTTTTAAGAGAGTAACATTCAGATCCCACAGCCATGGACAAGGAGGCTCTTGAGCAGAGGGAGTGAGAAATGGCACCCAGCTAACAAGTGCCCTCCATCAGGATGGAAAACGGCACCGAGCACCAGCAGTTCAAGAAGAGAGCCAAGTTTATCAGCAAGAGAGAGGACTCCTTTGAAAAGCTCTCTGTGCCCAGCTGGGGAAGCCTGCCTCAGCAGGAGGCAGAGCACAGAGGTGCCTCTCACACACAGCTGCAGGAACATCTGGAGGGGGGACCCACAGCACCCGCTCTGCTTTCACCACCCTCTGTCACTGCGCTGTCACCCTGGCAGAGGCAGTGGGGGAAAAGCCCAGGGAAGTGCCAGGAGGGGAATATCACAGCCTGCCTCCTGCAAACCGCTCTCTCTCTGGCAAAGGAGCTGCGGGACGGCAGGCAGGAGAAGCGATCTGGCATGCGTGGCAGGCAGCCACCTGGCAGGCATCCCCCTGTGGCATCCCTGCCTGCTTTGCATTCATTCCCAGCCCTCTTCGCTTCTCCCAGCTGCATCCTCCCTCCCTCCTGCTGCCAGAGCCTCCAGTCCAGAGCTGTACGGTCTGATCGGCTGGTGACGACACGTGAGAATCGGAAAAGCCACCTTAGGAATGATTCAACCTCCCCCTGCTTCTCCTCCTTCCCAAGCTCTACAACCTGGGGCTGTACCCACACGAGGGGAGGGTGTGAGTCACTCATGCGGAGCTCAGACAGGCAGGGTGTGAGAATGCAGATAGGTTTAACGTACCTGCAGAGGAGGAAAAGTGAGGAGTGGAGAAAGACAGGCCCTGAGCGGGGAGCACACAGGCCCTCGGGTTTGGGAGGGGAGGCGGGGAACCTGGGCTGCTGGGGAGAGGCTGTGAGGGGTGAAGAGAGCAGAGGGAGGGATGCTGGAGGCTGGGGAGTGGGGTATGGTGTCCCAGGCAGGTGACAGTGCAGAGATGGGCACGGAGGGGAGCAGGAGGGAGGATCCGGAGGAAGCAAGAGTTTAGTGGACTCCCGAATACATGGACGGTCTGCAAATAAAAATATAACCATGAATAAACCAAACAGTTACAAACACGAAGCAGCAGCCAAGGGAACGGCTCTCCCCTGTGGGCTTTATCTCCAGAGAGACTCCTGCTCCTCGGGAGGCCTTCCCCTCCACCCCACACCTGCCCTAGTCCTTCCCTGCTGCTAGCTGCGAGTTCTCACCAGACAGGTGGACGAGTCTACGCTTGGGGGGTTATTTCTATCATTGTCCTCAAGGATTTGCTGCACCTTTCTCCTCTGCTTCTCCTTCTGCCTCTGCCTCCTCCTCCACCTCCTGCTCTTCCTCCTCCAGGTCCTCCTCTGTGCTCTGCGGCCCAGCATGCAGGACAAAGGGAAGAAAGAGTGGAGACACTTGCAAGATGAGCCATGGCAGTTCTGACACACAAGGGCATAGAGCTATGGTCACAGTTCTGGGATAAAAAGGGACCATTCCCCACAGACAAGATAGCTCTGGGTTGGGAAGAAAAAAAAAAAAGACTTTTCTTCTGGAGAATTATGTCAGGGCTATCTAACACCCTTATAAATGCTACAGTCCCGCTGCCCAGCAGCTGCCACCAGCCACTAGCACTCCTTCCCACATCCTAGGTGTCTGCAGGATGCCATGCACTGCCACACGTTCCTGTCCTTCCCTCAAAAGCAGAGCAGGTGAACTCCTCAGGCCCTTAGGCTGGGACTCAGCAAAAAAAATAAAATAAATAAATAAATAAATAAATAAATAAAAGAGAATGCTGTGAAACCTTTCAGGAAATCACAGCCTAATGGCAGTGACACGCAGAGCATGGGCATGAGGAGGCATGAGGGGGATGTCAAAGTAGCATGAGAAATGCCAGGGTCATTTGGTAAAGCCATTTGCCACACGCACCCAGACGCCACCACTCACAGCACACACATTCCTTCTTTTGGGCCACACGTGTAATCCCGTGGTGCTGAACACCGGGAGAAGCCCCTGCACTTCACCACTGAGGTGCCCCACGCTCATGGTGGAGAGAGGAAGGAAGAGGGAGTGAACAAGTGCAAATGGTCTCATAGGGAACAGGAGCAAGGCCCCGGTGAAGCTGGTCTCACCTTGGCTTTGTGGCTAGGCTCGGAGCTCAGGCCGTTGGGGGAGTTGTACAGCTCCTTGGAGACCACGCACAGGAACTCGGACTGATCCTCATTGCCATAGCTGTAGGACGAGCCAATGTTCACAAGCTAGAGAAGACGAGAGCAATGATAACAAGCACATGTTGCTGCAAGCTTCCACTTCAGCTGGGGAGCAAGGGAGAAAGCCCACCATGGCCCACCATGCAGCACGGACTCCATACCCCCAGTAGAAAGGCCTCATAACTGAGGCAGCACAGAGAAAAAGGAGGGGAGTCAGACAGGACGCAAAACAGCTTAACGTCACACAGCATCCCCTAAGCTTCTACAGAAGAGGTGAGACAGAAATTGTGACAGCACCATCAGTGACTGACTCAATATTCTCAGACAGAGAAGTCTGCAGACTGCATGGTATCTGTGGTCCTTACTCCAGAAGGTAACTGCTTGCCCCTCTCCTCTGCCCTCTCCATACCTGTTCAAAGCGCCATCCATCCGACATAGTGGAAACCATCTGAGTGAGCTCCTCTTCCTGGCACTGCAGCACGCGGTAGACATGTTTAGGAGGCACCTGACAGCAAAATCGTGGAGAAGCATGTTGAGAGAGGACAAATGCTAAAGGCTGCTGCCCACCTGCAGAAGGAAGTGGCAGCAACCCTCTTTTACAGAGCTGTCCTCCTCCTCACATCCCAGGTTAAAGAGGGAGCTGGAAACCACTGCGATGTGGTTGCTGTTTTGGGAAGCAAGAATAATGGTATCACTTTTGGAGAAGAGGGACTGAGCTGAGTTTCCTGCAGTGTCCTCAGAAGATACTGGGCTTGTTCTGACAGGGAGGTTGCGTTTGTCATTACACATGCCACAAATGCCGATGGGGCTTTGCGAGCACAAAGCGATTGCGTTGCTGGAGGCTCACAACCTGAGGCAGACACGATGAATAGCGAGACGTCAGTCAACACTCCCAGAAGACAGTTTTAAAAAGGCTATTGGCCAAGGCAGGGTATGATTGCGCCGCAGGATTGATTCCTTCTGCCTCGTTTTCTGTGTTTAACTCTTCCACAGACATCCCTCCACCTGCTCCCTCAGATTTTGTACGTATCCTCACACTCTTCACTGTGATTACACTCTCAGGACTCCCTGCAACTAGCTGGCTTCTTCCAGGAGCTAGAGGAGCCAATTTAGTTTCAGGGACCACACCCAGCTTTACCTCTGGAGCTGTAAAACAAGCCTGTAACTCGTTTATTGCGACTAAATTGGTGTTAGCCAGTCCCCAAGCAAGGTTTTGCTATGCAGAGATTAGCACATAAACACTTAATTAGTTGCTTCTTTCCTTGCTGCCTCTCCCAAGCCTGCTCTCCTGTTTAACTTGCTTTTCCCTTTCAGCATCTCCCCCTTCACCTACTATCCATTCACCTACTACTTGCCAATTCCTGCCGTACCTGAGTCACTGTGTAGTCCTTCTCCTCCAGTCGATCCTTAATCATTCGGATTAAAGGGCCAATGTTATAGAACTCTGCTTCTTCGAGCACCCCTAAGAAAGAGCGATAGAGAAACGATTAAGAAATCTAACAGCCAGTCTTTTTGGCTGGCTAAAGATCAACTCTTGGGATGCTTCCCAAGTTCATGTCCCTTGAAAGAATTGACACTCCAGCCTCACTCAGGAGTTCAACAAGTTCCTGTTGATTGAAACCTTTACTGCAGAGAACTGAGCACTGGCTCTCTGCATTGTGCTCCTGCTGCTCACCCCAATTTCTCTGCACTGTCTGCTATGACAGAAACAGGCATTGCCAATGAGGGTTGGTGCCAAGGCCTGGTAATACATTTCCAGGAAAGGAAAGGCTTTCCCTGGGAGTCCAAAATCCATCTACTGGCCAAGAATAACCGTAGACTCCAACTTCTTTCAATGACCTCTAGTTATCACCTTGTTTAGGCCCTCTTTGGAAGGCAGAGAAACAGAGAGCTTATCAGCAAAAGATCCTAGAAAATCCCATCTTTCCACCCCCTGACCAGTTAGAGTTGCACCCACCTTGCAGCTCCATAAGACTTCAGACAATCTTTGGCTCTCTCACCTGTGCTTCATCTTAAAGCAGGTAAACAGAGAATCGTTTTGTTTTGTTTTCTGCACAGTGCCTGCAGCCATCACCTCTCCCGAGACTCTCCTGTTTGCTAACAAGCCGTCAGAGAAAGGGAGGTGGGGTCCCAGTGGGTCAGTGAGGAGAAGGAGGCTAGGAACCAACATTTACATGACTCCAAACCAACATGCAGACAATGCAGGTGGAGGGATTGAACCTTCTCTGAGCACTCAGACCCCTTCAGAGTTACCTCATTCAGCCATGAACCCTCTCATGGGTTAGTTTTATACCAGCCTGTCTGAGCAGGAACAAAAGGCAACGTTAAGCTGTGAACAAGACTCCTGTTAACACTTCAGATCTGGTGCTAAAAGCTGTGGCTGAACTCTGTCTGACCTGAGGATTACAAGCAGGAAACATCTCTGAATCACGTTGATTACAATTCTGTACCATTGCTTATAAAAATTTTCTTTTTGAATTATAACTCATGAAATGATTCTGAAGAAAACATTCCTTGGTAAAAATACGTAAGAGAGAGGGACAAGAAGGCTAACGAACCTGCAGAAACTGTGGTTGGCAAGGGATGGACAGCACAGCCTGCCTTTGAAATTGGCTGCTTGTTAGACCCCAACATCCAAAAAAATAACGAGGCATTGGGGATCATTGGCTCGTAACACCATGACGATGTTACTGAGTTATCCTATTGGACTCCCTGTCAACATTACATGAGGGATTGGTTTGTCTGGCTTGCTCCGCTGGAGCTGCTGCAGTCCACAACCCAACAGAGCACTAGCAGCATGCATCACATATCGCTGATGAATGATGGTTTTTATTAGCCAGTAGAAGAGACAAGCTTGGTCTGTTTGGTCTTCTGGGTTTTCGATCCAAATTAGAAACAGGCATTAACAGAAAGCTCAGTCACAAAGCCTGATCAGGAAAGTCTACAAGGAATAGGCAATAAAACCGTTTATTGATGCTGGTAAACCTTGCCTACTTCTGTCTCACTGACACCTCTCCTCAACTAACAGTCACAAAGCTGCAACACCTGCAGGATGCTCCAAACCCCTTTAGTCAAGGAATTACTGGTGTGTTTTCCAAGAGCTGCAGTGAAGGCCTGCTCAAGTCCCCCACACCAACCTTCAGAAGGACAACGAGAGGCAAGAAGGCCAAGTCCAGTGCTCTGGCTGCCTCCGCCACGTTAAGTGGGAAGTTTCTGAGCTCCAAGACTCACCCTCTTCTGCCATATCTTTATCCAGGACCAGCTTCCCATGACGGAGGAAATTCAGGATGGGTCCAAAGTAAGTGGGGTCCCGGTCTATTAGGTATGCACCAGTCTCATCCTAGCAACAGAGATAGACCATGCGGTGAAAAAAATGGATGGTAAATGTGTCACCAAACCTCTAATGCTCCAGACTAGAATTAAATACACAGCCAGGTAAAAATGTTAACTTTTCTAAAACTCCTTGGAAACCATGGGCCCTCAGTTTAGCTCCTCTCTGGTATGATCAGTTAGAGAGTGCGCATAGCAAAGTTCTCCAGGTGAAGCAGATACCATCCCGTTGTGAGATGATCCAAAGCATAAGGATCCCAAAGCACATACACACAGAAGCGTTTGCATAGGACAACAGCCAGGCACCGTGCAAAGCCACAGCCAGGCAGGGGGACACATCCTGTCCTGCACCCACAGGTGAAGGGGAGAGCAAGTTCACCACAGCACCACAAGGTTTGGGGGAATGAGCCACAGATTTTTAAGTTTTGGTGGATCTCTGACTTTCTAAAGGTTTTATCCCCGTGGTATATCGCATGGACATCTGCAATCCACTCTCCTGAGATATACAATGGAGAGACCATAGTCAAGTCATCCCTTCTTGGACCTTAACTCCTGCATTATGCTGCCCAGCATATTTATTTCAACATGGACCAACCCAGCTGAGAATGCCAAAAAAAAACAGACCTCAGGCTCCTCCTGTAGCTGTGTGTGAGGCCTGGTGTGAGGGAGCAGAGAGGCCCCTTACAGGGCACGAGGCTGAGTCAGGCAGGTGTAGCTGGGAGGTAAACCCAGAGGATTGGGGTGATAGAGCAGCAGGGGAGCAGGGCTGGAGCAGAGATGGCCTCGCTTTTCGCCAGGCAGGGAAGCGGGGTGCTGTGCTACGGGTAAGGCATTTGGAAAGGGTTACTCCTGCTGCTGTCGGGGTCTGGCTCCATCCCTGCCTCCAGCCAGCCAGCCCTCCTGCCCTCCCCGTGCTCGGTGCAGGGGCACGGTGCAGGAGGCGACCCAGCTGCCTTACCCGGTCCGACTGCAGCTCCTCGCCCTGGCACAAGCGACAGAGGAAAGATTTCTGCTCCCGGCACAGGGTCTGCCTGGTGGTGAGGAAGACGGTGCCCCCCACATTGAGCCTCACCCACTTGGCCTGAGTGCCAGCTGGGGCTGGGATGTCCCAGCTGCAGCGCAGCCCCACGGCGCCCTGCATTTCTTCCCCGCCTTCCATCCTCATCCTCAACCCCCTCCAGGCACGCAGGGACTGCTGCAGGTACTGCCTGCCAGGGGATGCTGGGATCTGTAGTTTGTCTGCCTCTCCTTCCACTGCTGCCGTGGTTCCCTAGGGGCCAGGATGCTCCCTGGGACCACCAAAGAGGGTCCAGAAGGGATGAAGGATCCTCCGTGCAGGAGGATTTGGCTGCAGCTATTAGAGGTGAGCAAAAGCACAGCTCCGATGCTCCCTGGTTTCCCCCTCTTCCTGGTTCCACAGAGCATTATGCAAAATTCCTCGGCATGTATTTCCATGTCCACCCTCTCCAGCTCGTGAAAAAGGTTCTGGGACCTGTAGTTCACAAGGATGCGCACAAAAGGGTGCTGGGAACTGTAGTTTTCCCAGCCCGCCCTCCCTGCACGAGAGGATGTTGGAAGGAAGGGGGCTGCCATACGTGGCCCCCGCCTTGCAGCCAGCAGTTTTGCCTGCCTCCAGCCCTGGGTCTTGCAGGGAAGCTTCCCTGGAGTCGGAGAGAAGAACCTGCCCTCTGGCAGGCAGCAGATTAAGCCCGTCAGCACTGTGCTCCACGGCTTTCCCTCCAGGAGATATATTACCCCAGGCTCGCAGCTCGGCGCTGCATCAGTCACCACACTCTTCTTGCTGCAAAATGTGCAGACAGCTGCCTTCTTGCTAACATATGTAGCGACACTTCTGGGAACTCTGTCTTGGAGCTGCATGAAGTGCTGGCAGGGGGCAGGAATAATTTTTCTTCTGGCTCGGAGGAGCCGCTGATTCAGCAGATGTCCCCCCACGCTGTCCTAGCAGCACGAACCACGCCAGACAGAGCCCCCTGTCTCCTTCCCCTGCGCTCCTGTCACCCAAAATGCTGTTTGGGCAGCAGAGAGCTCTGATTTTTACTCAGTTCTGCACGGTTTTACCTCTGCCCCAGGCACGTGTCGCCTGCTGAGGCCAGTCCCTCCTTGCGGAGTCCATTCCTGCCTCGGCCACCCCTCCTGCCAGACCGAGCCTGGAGCTCGGCAGCTCATACCCACGGGACTCTGTTCAAATGCAGTCCTTGGCATGGACACAACCTGAGCGAGAGCTCTCTCCAGCAGCTCCGCTTTTCCCACTCCCACCTAAAGACAGCCAGGCTTGCCAGCAGCTCAAGCACATTGGGGATGGGAAGGAAAGGCTGATGTTTCGCCTGAACGTGGCCCAAAGTCTTCCTTCACCCAAAGCTGCTCTGTGGCTCTTCCTTGCCAGGGCAATGCAGCACTGCAGACTGTGGTACCTTACTGACACGTTCTTGCACCTAGATCCTGGGTCTTTTGAGGTGAGACTTTACTAGGGAAGAGAAAGATGACATTTTACTCACATTCCTTCCTTGTCTTTTCTTCCTTCCCTCTTTCCTTTTGCTTAAAAATCACTCGCATTTATCCTCATGGCACACAAAAGCAGTGTTACCCTTCCCCCAAACCACACAGGACCTTCCTGACAAAGACAGTGTAACTGTGTGTGTACTTTGCTCCTTGCATGGAGGAGTGCAAAGGGGAGGAAGGGAAGAGAGGGCAACACGGAAAAGGTTTTGAGATTGCTGACCTCCAGCTAATTTAAGCACGGGAACAATTTAGCTGCTGCAGGGTGTAAATTCAAATAACTCTGGATCTCCTTTAATTTATACCAGAAGCTTGGCAGCACTGTAGTGCCCATTAATAGGGAAGAGGATGAAAAACTATTTTTTCTCCTACCTGTATGAAGCGTTAAATTAGTCCTGCATTATTAAATTAGTCCCCAGCCCTGAGACCACTCTCCACTGAGCAGAGGACATCAAGGATGCTCAGACTAACACTGGCCTGAGCTGAAGCATCACACAGAGCAGCACGCTGTGGGACTGCTGCCTTTCTACTTCTGGCTCTGAGTCAACCCACGGCACATTCGAGAGCTCTGCCCTGCACCCTAGTGTGTAAGGGGTACAGGACCCTGCCACAGCTCCAGCAGAGACACAGAGGGAGGACTGTGGCTCCCTGATATGAATGCAGCAGTTGAAGGTGGCAGCCTATAGCCCCTTATCTTCCCCTCCAAGAAATCTGCCCTGCCTTTGTTTTCTCTCTTCTTCTATCAAGGGTTTAACTTGCCTCCCTTTCCTTCAACCCTGTTTCACAGCCTCTCAGCCTCTCTCTCCATTTTAGGTCCAGTCTCTTGGTTTTGATGCCTTCTTCCCTCACCTCCTCTGTGCCAATACTGCTTACAGTTCAGGGACAGCCTGTATTCAGAGCACACCTTATTTCGTCAACTCCAGCCTCCACCCGTGGCCAACTCTTCAAGTCCTGCTCACCCCAGGAAAATGGGATTAAAGGCAAGTTGGTAAATATGAAGAAATATCCTGCAAGTAAGAAAAGAGGTCAAAGTACACCACTCCCACTCCCCAGAGACTTGTTTTTGTTTTTTTGTTTTTTTTTTTTTTGCAACATACAGCACCAGCTTTACTGGAAACCCCCCAGGTCAGGGAGTTTCCCATAGTAAGTAAAAATCATCTTTAGGAAGAAGCCAGTCCAAGGTGAGTTACCATCCTGCTTAGCTGGGCTAAATAAGAGCCTGATTTGCACATCGTCACCAGACGTAGCTCTGAGATGCCCTTGTTAAGGACCATTAAAATTACGCAATCGAACAGGGGAGAAATAAATTTCAATAATAAATGCCTGTTCTTCCTGCTTTGATGATAACTATATATAAAACACTTGCACAGAAACAGCGAGACAGCAGCAAGCAAGAGCTGCCACAGGACAGCGTGACTGTGTATTGCCACACAGCCCCAGTGATTACCCAGCTGATTAAAGGGACGGGGCTAATTGCACGCACAGGCCAGGGCTTGGAAAGCTGGGCAGCCACCTGGTAGATAGGTGGTGGGGCTGAACAGAGAAGAAATATGGGGAGGGGTAAATGGAGAGCTCTTTGTTCAGCAGCCAGCAGGCCTGCTGCGTAAAGCTGCAGAAAGCTGCAGACACTGCAGCATTCGGCACGTACATCGCAGCCTGAAGAGCCCAGCTGGGTACATGGCGTGCAGCGTGCCACTGACGTTGCGGAGCTGCTCGTAGGGAGCTGCTGAATTTTGGAGCATCAGTGGGAGCAGGAATGACCACGTGTTGGCAATGTCACCGCTCTGGCAGGCTGGGAACACGTGCCTGTGTGTGGTCATTTAGTTAATGAACATACAGTGACATGGGGCACTAGAGAAGAAACTGGCTCCTCTCTCTTTTCTACAGGAAGGGAAGGACAAGGTAATGCGCTGATATTTGCCACTAAGCCCACAGGGAACTGGGCAAAGAAAACTCCCTACATGGGACACGGTGTTGGCAGTAGGACAGCTCCTGGGTAGCCAACCACCACCACAGCCCTGCAGGTGAGGGATGCTCACACTCTTAAAGCTGAGCTGTGCTCTGGAAGAGGCACAGAGTTGCCCAGTGACCAGACTGCTTTCATAAAGCCCCAAACTGCTTTTACTATCTCTAAAATGTAAGTACCAATAAAGCAATGAAGAGTTTACGTGTTGACTCGGGACTCTCAAATTTATATGGAGCTGGAAAAGCTCCAGTCTCAGTTTAGCCACAGGTCAATACGACCTTCCCACATCCGGACTGTTTTTTAGGCTACTTCTCATCCACCATGAGACCTATCCCACTCAAGATGCTATTTCCTAGTGGCAAATTCTCCACGGGAGAGTCGTGAACATCAGCGATTTGCACACACATCCACTTCTCCCCTTCCTCGTTTGCAGTTCCCATAGGAAACCCACCCACTGAGTCAGAGACATACAGATCTGCAGACCATTTATAGTCCTGGTGCAAGTCCCCTCAGCTGTTCCATATGTCCAGTAGCATCTGTTGTGGCTCAAAATAGGCTTTTGCAGTCTTCAGGCTTTGAAAACATTGTCTCAGTCCCCTCAGTGTTCCCAGTGCTTTGCCTGCAGCGTGTGAACAGATCTCAGCTGAAGGGAAGTAGAACATCAGAAGGCTGTCTCTCGGACAGATTTTTGATACATAACAGGGCATACACCACAAAGACAAAACACCTTGGCATGGGGAAATCAAGGCAAAGCTAAGTGCCTTGGAAAAGACTTGCTGAAAGCTGGGAAACCAAAGAACTGCTGGGAAGATTCTGTGATTCAAAAGGCAGCAGGGAAAAGGGTAGTTGAGTACTGCCAGCCTTAGCACACACAGCACAGAAGGGAAGGGCCCTGCTGGATGCCGTCGAGTCACACAGTAAAAAAAAACACAGGGAGAAGGAAGTCTTTTTATTTTGCCATTCCCAGGTGGCTCGCTGGGCCGCACCAGATACCTTCCCCTGACACACGTGACAAAGAAAAGCAGCTCAGCCTCGAGAAGAAGCAGAGAGATTCCTACTAACCCCAAGGACTGCTGTGTCCTAAAAAGAAGCAGTGCTTAGGCAGCACTGCAGTGTGCCAGATTCTCTGGGAGGACGAAAGCCCAAGCCAGCCCTCCTGCATCCACTGGAAATGATGAATGAAGTCTGAAAGAATGTGTCCATTTTCACTAATAACTAAATCTTCCTGGAGAAATGGGGCAGGCACAGCATTCCTATTTGTCCATTTGTAAATATTGACAAAATCTGCCTCACCTCCCCACCACACCCAGGGTGTTAAGCCTCAGTGACCTACCACACGTAAGCCTCTCAGCTTGCGTGGTGGTGGGAGAAGCTAGAAATCCTGAACTGAAAAGATGTCACAGGTCAGATCCTGTTATAGGATCCCATACCAGCCAACACTGTCTGTAAAAGTGTCTTAAAAAGCAAGGCCCTGGTTGCTCACATTGGGAGTCCCCTCCACAGAGGGTTTAGAACCAGCTGCTGATCCCCACCTGGGTTTATCCTTTTATTTTCACACCACCAAACTTCAGCTAAAGAAGCATTTTTTAAGTGCCTTCAGTCACAGACCTCAATCAGATGTCCTACGTGAAACGTCGAGCAGTTCCTCCCTTTCTACTGCAGGAAAGGCTTGTTAAAAAACCATCACACTTGGAATAAAGCAAGGTGTTGCTACCAGTCTTTACAACGCAGCAATTAGATGGGTGGGGAAAAGTCATAAAGCACGGGACTAGAAAATCTTTCCCTAGCCGGAAGAATAAAATCAATTAAACAGCCAATTACATCAGAAGCTGATCCAGAACGGAAAGCCTCCACAATTTGCAGGGTGTGATATAACCTGTTAAAAGAAGAGCTTTGGGGAAGTTTAATCCCAAAGAGCTAAATGGAAGCTGGCAAAGATAAAGCATTGTTATTTTACCCAGATCCGTGTCCTGCACTGTCTACTAAAGGGTCACTCAATTAAGAGTGCACTTCTGTATGCCAGAATCACAGATGCAGGGAATAAACCCTCTCCAATGGGATAAGATCCAGCCCTTGTAGGGGAACCTACAAATCTCTGATAGTAAGCATCCCCTAGAAAGGATGACTGCATCACCCCCTGATGTCCACAGGTACGTGTTGCTGCATGCCCAAGAACAAAAGCTGTCTCATTAACTTTCTAAGTTACCAATGAGCCAAAATAGGTGCAGGCATTCTTTTTTCCAAAGGAGAAAATCCTGGAGAAAACAAACAGTTGAACATTGGCAGGGATACCTAGGGAGATTTCAACTCTGAAATAGAGGATGATGGTCTCAGGGAAAAAAATCTTGCCATTTTGGGCTATTCCTCTTTATGTTTCAGTTCCCCTGCTTTCATTTTAAGGTTAAAGGGTAAGTCTCAAGGACAGAATGGGAACACCCATACAGTCCAAGTTTCACCATGTGAACTGACATCTGCTCTTTGAAGAACAGAGCTGACACTGCCTAACACGGAGTTTTAAACCAAAAAGCAAACAGGCAAGGACTAAAAGTAGGAATACAGTGAAAAGTCCCAAGAGAGAGGCATGCCATTGTCTTTCGTCAGCTGAAGAACTCGTTGAAGGTAAGAGAAGTAGTTCTGCTCATGAAAGAAGACTTCTCATTTGAATCATCTAGACAAATTGATCCCATAAAAATTGATTTCCTGGAAAGGACTCGCCCAAGCAACATTCACACAAGCTCCATTTAGCAGAAAGACCTTGAAACAAATGTTTATTTATTTCTTTTTACTTCCAGAATCTTTTTGTTTTTATTTTAAGGGGGGATTTGGTGTCATGGGGGTACAAAATTGGCTAAGCACACATTGCAGTTAAGAGTCCAAGTGCAAGAAGAAATGCAAACTAAATCTCTAAACCCACAAAGTGCCAACCTCAAAGCTGTATCTCCTTCATTAAGTGCTATATTTTTTCCTTGGATTTTGCACCCAAAATAGCCCTAGTGTGCGTGGCTGGCTTCTAGGATAGAGGCAGAATAAGACCATGAGGCACAGTTATACAAGTATGACCATCCTGTGACTAAACATGGTGGAATGTCCTGAGTCATAAGCCTGGCTTGACTCAGTTAACATCTCCACAGTGCCGCCAGCACTCTCCCTTCCATCTGACACTGTAAAATGGTCACAGAATCGCAGAACAGTTGAAGTTGGAAGGGAACTCTGGAGGTCATTTGTTCCAACCCACCTGCTCATGCATGGTCACCTAGAGCAGGCTGCCCAGGTCGTCTTTATGCTCCTGAGCAGCAGGGGTTGAGGAAGGAGAAGGTGCTGAAGCACTATGTGCCCATACTTGCTACCCAGCACCTTCACCTCATGACACTTGCCCAGGAACATTAAACCCATCTTTTCCAAACTCTGTTTCAAGGCAAATTATCTGTACGACTGGAAGATGAAGCAGCTCATTACATAGTCTTCCCCTTTCCATCAGAAACAATATTTTCAGGATCTGCCCGCATGTACCATTCCACCCAGGCCCCATCATACACGGCGACATCTGGTTTGCCACAGAGGTATGCCCCCAGAGCCACGTGGCAGGCAGTGACCCCAGAGCCACACGTAGCTACCAGAGGCTTTGAGAGGTCCACTTTCTTCTCATGGAACAGACTTTTGATCTGCTCAGGGGTCTTCTCTAAGCCGGACTCTGTGAGGAAACTGGTGAAGGGAATGTTCACGGAGCCAGGGATATGACCAGGCTCAATTCCTGAAAGAAAAGCAGTACAGATAGGAATTAACCTCTACTGTCTAGGATGAATCCATCACAAAACCCGTTATCTGTTTCTCTAGGAGGGGTATTTACTGTTTAGCGTATTTTGTTAAAACATATGCATTTATTTCTGTTAAAGCTTACTTTACTAGATTACTGATTACTCAGGAAGGATGGCTGTAGCCTTCAGGTTATTACATGCACAGAAAATCCTGTTATTAAGCTCTATTCTTCCTCCCCGTTCCCTCCACCAGAGCAACCCACTCTGCAGAGTTGCTCATTGAAGCACTTCCACGGGTTCTTCTGATGGAAGAGAAGCCAGTACATGGAGAGATTAATACACGTCGTTGAGGTGTATGAAAGCTACTTACCTCACCCCAGCCCTTCATAAGAAAAAAATACACAGTTTTCCCACCCCTGAGTTTTCAAAGGAGCACTAGGCAGTCAGTGGGATATATTGTACAGGTGGATATATTGTATTAAGTTCCATCCCATAAAGGGCAACTATATATCCCATCACTACTTCCACAGGAGTCAAACTTACAGACAGGTTACATATAAGCCCTTGTAACTACCCCAATATCTCAGCAGGCACATTACCATCTCGGGGCTCTGGCTCTATACCCTGGAACCGTCCTGCAGCACGCGCATCCACTACTTGGAAGCGGTGGGAATCCAGGTTATCTAAGATGTCCTCATAGGTTTTCACCATGCCCTTGTCCAAGGTGGCGTGGAACTCAGAGTGAGCTACTGGGTTTTTCCCAGAGCTCAGCGGAAGTCCCTCTCGCAGCCAGTTCTTCAGGCCACCATCTAGTAGGGAAACTGCTTCATGTCCAAAGATCCTGAACATCCACCAAACTCGAGGTGCTGAGAAGAGGCCTTGGTCGCTGCCATCATACACCACAACATGGGAATCATTCCCTACACCCAGCTTCCCCACGTACTCAGCAAAGTCACTGGCTTTAGGCAGCATATGATCGTAAGGTGAAGTACGATCGCTGCACTGGTCAATATCGAAGAAAACAGCACCGGGGATGTGGCGTTCTTCAAATTCCTGCTTCGGGTCACGCTTCATCTTCGGCAAATACCAAGATGCGTCCACGACTTTCAAGGCCTGTCCAGGTTGCTGGGACTTGATGGCTTCTGAAAGCCATTTGGCAGACACCAGAGCACGGTAGAGGAGCTGTTGCGACATCGCTCCTGAATCCTGGCCAAGATTACCTGATCGCCGGGGTTTGCTTCAATCCACCTGTCTGCAAAAGGGAAGAAAGTCAGGAATTAGAGACCAGCCTCACAATAAGTGACCAGACAAAGATGTGTTTTGGAACCAAAGCCCTGTGCCCACACTGAAATGAGAACTTAAAGCCTAGAGTGAGGGGTTTGCCGTGCAAATAGGGAATAGGGATTTAATGGAGCTCAGCCTAAACCCTGCATGGAGAGGGGCAGCTATGGCAGAGCTCCACCCTACACCCAGCCACCACAGCCCACCAGCCCTTCCACACCCAGCACTGCCAGCAACACGAGGACAGCAGGACAGCCTTGGGACCCCCAAAAATGAGGATTGGAGCACCCTGCCGCTCCCACACCCCCCTACAGCCCACCTCCAGCCGAGGCCGCACCCGGCCACCACCGCACGCCCCAGACACCCCCCACCCCATGCAGGGGAAGGGAGGGGAAAGCCAGGGGGCCCCGTACCTCAGTGCCGAGCAGCACCAAGCCTCAGTCCCCTCCAGCCGGGCCCTACACCGCCTTCGGGGCCCTCCCAGCGGGCCGGTCCCGGGCGGTGCCGCCCGCCCCCGCACCGCCCCTCGCCACCCCGGGTCCCCCCGCTGAGGCGCGGGGCCGCCATTTTGTGTGTGTGTACAGGGTATTGGGGGGGGGCAGCCCACTTTCGGCTGTCCCGCGGCTTCCCCTCGCTATCAAGGGGGGATTTGGGGATCTCAGCCCCTTCTCCTCCGCCCACCTCGGCAGCCCGAGGGGCCGGCACCGGCCTGCCCCGCCCGTACGGGCTGATTGGCCGTGTCCCGGCTCCGCCACCGCCTCGGGTCTCTCTGGCTTCCGAGATGGCGGCGCAGGTGCTGGGCAAGGCGCTGGTGTCCTCCAAATGGCTGGCCGAGGCCGTGAAAGCCGGGCGGGTCGGGGCCGGCTTGCGGGTGCTCGATGCCTCCTGGTACCCTCCGCAGGAGCGAAACGCTCGGCAGGAGTTCAGGGAGAGCCACATCCCCGGGGCGTCTTTCTTTGACATCGAGGAGTGCCGGGACAAGTCGTCCCCGTACGACTTCATGCTGCCCAGCGAGGCTGGCTTCGCCGACTACGTGGGGCAGCTGGGGATCAGCAACGACACCCACGTCGTGGTGTACGACGGGGATAAGCTGGGCACTTTCTACGCCCCCCGTGCCTGGTGGATGTTTCGGGTCTTCGGGCACCGGCAGGTGTCGGTGCTGAATGGTGGCTTCAAGAATTGGGTGAAGGAGGGCCACCCCGTGACGGCGGAGGTCAGCCAGCCCACACCGGCGGTCTTTAAGGCCAAGCTGGACAAGAGCCTGCTGAAGACCTTCGAGGAGATGATGGAGAACGTGGGGTCCAAGCGGTTCCAGGTGGTGGATTCCCGCCCCGAGGGCCGGTTTCGGGGGACTGAGCTGGACCAAGGTAAAGAAGGGGGAACAGCACCCGACCCCTGCGCTGGAGTAGGATGAGTGTTGATAGTCCGAGCATAATAACACCTTGCAGCCAGTGGGCATGCATCAGCCTAACTCATGGATTTACCTTAAGGCATATGCAGCTGAGCAGTTGGATCCCAGCGCCCTCATGGGATGCTTTTCGTGTAATTCATTGTAAAGCTGCAGGAGAAAATAGCAGACAAAGGAGCAGGAACACCTGGAGGCCTGCAGTCAGTTGGCTCCAGGATCCTCTGTCCCACATCCTACAGAATTTAATCAGACAGAATGCAAACATGGGATATGAGAGCTTCCAGGGGGTTCTTTAGGGCCCAGTCTAATAGTAACAGGCACATACAAGCGGTATTAATACAGGCACCTCTCACAGAAATGAACACACCAGCAAAAGCCGAGGTTGTTTTACATAGTGCTGTAACCCAAGAAACATTTGCCTTTTTGCTCTGGTTCCCAACAAATAGAGAACTTGCTGGTCCTGATCAAAGGTCATTTGCTCTCTGCCGTAAATCAAGCAGGCTTAAATAAGGAAAGCCCCAAACCTTTCCCAAACGTTTGTGCTGTCACCCTGTCTCTTCTTGCACGTAAAAGGAATAAAAATTGATTTAGTTACCTCAGTCCCATGCTGGATATGCAAACAACAGAGGTGGGAGAAATACACATGCAGTGGGGACAGCTGGTACGGGAATGTGATTCAAATGAAATTCAAGTTGGTTGCTAAAGGAGGCCCATAGTGTGTAATTTAAGCTTTGGTATATTGCAGAATGTCTTCCCCTCCAAATCGGTATCAGAAATGGCTTTAAAAATTTGGACATTTAAAAACAATATGAAAAACTCAATAACAGGCTTGTCTTGAGTTATGATCCGTTCCATCAGAGTGGGTGTGCAGCAGGTTTCTGTGGTCCTGGGGCTGTGCTGTGCCTCTGCGTTGCAGGTGCGCTGTTACTCTGTCCTGAACGTTTCATTATGTGCGTGCTGCTTCACAGCCATCAAGTGGGACACTGCGCCCCAAGCTCTGAGAAACCAATCCTGAAATAAATTCCCCCTGCCAAACCTCAGGACTGTTTGGCTGTAATGGCTTCGTGCACGTGGTTTGCCTATGTGTCTGTGGTGCACCCTAAATACTTGACCTGTGCTTGATGCTGCAGAAGGTGGGAGTGGATGAGAGTGATAGCAGATATTGTTGCAGGGAGAGAGCGGAGTTAGGCTTATCACTCGTTCTGTTTCTTCCCCTATTGCAGCCCATCAAAGTGAAGGTGGAATTTTAATCTTAAGACATGAATAAAGCCCTCCTTGCTGATAGAGCTGACGGATTTCACATTCTCTTTTCCAAAGTGGAGTTATCACCGGGTGACAAATACCGCAGCCCCTGACATCATCTTGAAAACAGATTTCTCCTTTGAAATGAGTCAGCATGGAACAGTTTATTTGTGGTGGTCCAGTTTTGCTTCCCACAGCAGATCCAGCAGGGTAAGCACTCCAGCTGCAGCTGCTCGTTCTGCAAGAGCTCGACAGCTTTCTGAGCCAGGCCAGCCAATAGCTGTGCTACAGCCAGTGGTGGGTAAAAGGCAGTGCTTACACCTAAAAGAACAATTTGAAATCAATGCTGATTAATTACAGGGGTCATTCCATCAGGGAGGAGAAACATAGCCTGCAATTTAGAAAAGAAGAATGGTCTTGAGGTTAAGGAACTTAATATGTTCTCAGGTGATTTCAGTTTAATTATTGCCTCAGCTCTTGACTTCTTAATTAAGTCCATTAATCTCTCCAGTTCCATGAACTCCATCACCAGAAGAGGCTAATTTCAGCTGATGCTTTTGTCTGCTTAGTTTTTCAGCTCCTTATGGTAGGAATTAGCTGCCCCTGCTTTATTTTTATGCAGCAGTCACCTTGCTGGTGACTTAGATCTTGTAATATTTAATACAAGTCACGATACATACTTCATTTTCAGTTGCTGGTAGATATCTACACACGTTGACAGGGTGGAGAAAGGCAGATGTGGTGTCTTCACGCTGGGTCTCAGAGGTCTAAAATACAGTTATGTCTTTGGATGAAAAAGAAGCTCTGATGGTAGTGCTTGGTGTGCATCCCTGACCTGTGCACAGAGTGGGTAAAGTTATCCCTCCAGAGTGCTGTGTCCCTGGAGGAGCTGGCAACTCAGGACTAGCTTGGCTCATGAGCTGTTTTCAGCAGCAGCCAAACCAGCATATTCACACAGGTGCTGCAGGGTACAGGTCTGGGGAACCAGCCTGAACAGAGGCCATCCAGGGACAGATGATAAAAATAATTGCAAGGTGGTTGCCAGTGCTGATTCTCTCAGAGTATTTTTCACAAAAAGAAATGAGGAACAGGAATTGTGGCTGAACAGAAGTATATAAAAAGAAGGGAAACTTGCCAGACAACAAAATCTGTTCTCTAAAAAAGAAAGTAAACCCTAAGCTGCTTAATGAACATCCAGCCATTTTTATTTCTCATTCTCAGACCTTGGGTAGTCCCTGTCTCCCTTGCTCCCATCTTCCGAGCTCTTATTGTGACCAGCTCCACACAAAAAGCTTTTGCTCAGCTTGAATGATCAGTAGCAGCAGGAGGGAGAATGAAATGTCGCTGCTCCTTCCTCTAAGTGGAGTCTGCAGCTTGGAGCAGACTGCCTGTATGTTGTCCGTGAAGTAATACTCAAGGCACAACATAGAGAGTGTGACTTTCAAAGTCTGTTTCATCCCTCGGGAGCTTACAGTCAGAGCTGTCCATCTTTGTGACAAGGTTGACAAACAGAAGATGCCAGGCTGGAGGTCGTGCCAGTTCTTAGAGTTGACTCTTCTGGCCACATACACACGCAGTATTTTGACATTGGTGGCAAAGGCTTATTGATCTGAAAATGAAGATCTGTCAGGCCTGGATGGAGCTTAAAGTGTTCTTCCAATGAGTTCACAGTAGGTCAGATGAGATCTTTAATGGTCTGCTTGAAGACATACAGTTTTAATGAAAGAGAGAGGGAAAAAAGGCAACAGAGGAGGATTTGGGAGAGAACCGCTATTTGCAGTCAGCAAACTCCAAGACCACAGGGAGTTAAATGTGAACAAGGCACATCTTTTATCTTTTTGCCCTTAAGAAATTCCATTTGGAGCTTTTGTCACAAAGGGAAAGGCTGGAGAAAAGAAACTGTAGTCTTAGCTAGACAAATAGCCAATGAAAAAAAAAAAAAAGATGTTTAAGCAGAGAACCTAACAGATGTGGAAAAGGGGATTAAACAGTGAAGAAGATAACATATTACAGGTTACAGAGTGTGAGGGAGGATTGCCAGAAGCCCAGCTGAGTGAGATTTGGCAAAGGAAATTAAAACAAATAACAAAAACTGCTGGAACAAAGTGTAAAAAGCGAACAAGGAGAGCAGGAATGAATAAGGTCGCTATGGAGTTAGCAGGGGTTCTGGATGAAAGATCGTGTGCAGCCTCCGAATTGCAGCGAGTCAGTGCTGCTGGCTTTTTGTTTTTCCTGGGGATAAAGTCTTACAGAGTGAGGTGTAGCAACAGGAAGGGGAAAGAGAAGGAAATGATCATTTCTAAACAGGGAGTGTAACCAAAAGCTATCTGTGTGCTCAGATCTGTGAGGCAGAAGATCTCTATCCCAAATACGTGTCAAAAATCAATTGTGACATTGCAACTCCACGAAGCAAGACATTTACTAAGTAGATCACGTCAGAGCATGGTTTTATAGGACCGAGACACTAGCAAAGCTGTGTTTTTAATTTAGGATAGGAGGTACAACATAACCCATGTGATTTTGATCTATTAGCATAACATCAATAGATTGGAAGGCTTTCCAAAGACTTTTCAAGAAAAAGTATTTGAATTGAGGGTGATATTGAATTAAATACCTTGATAAACTTGCACTGCAGCTAAGGACTCTGTTTCTTTGACAACAGAATTGATTTGCCAGATAAGAAGAAAGGGAACATTCATGCCTGGATGTTGTGTCTGTTTACTTCCTTCCAGCTATTGGAAGCAGCCACAAAGTAGATTTAATCCATTTGAACTTTGACCCACGCTCAAAAGCAACAGAAGAGGATGGCAAGAACCTCAGATGTAGCTTGGCCTTGACAGCAGCAGTTATTAACCTCCTGTTTATCAGTCGAGATGCTAGGAAATGACACTTTCTTATCTAGTAGACAAGGGAACCTATAAAGTAATTCTTGTAGTAGCTGGGGGTCAAACTCTGTGATCGTAGGGTCCCTTCCTTGAGTTACAAGGGTGACTGCATGATTCTGGTGTGGAGTATGGCTTTGTGTCATCTGAGGCTCAAGTGGATGTATCTTCTCTTCTTCAGATCCTGCTCTGTCCAGCTTTGCCTTCTAGTGCTGATAAAACTTCCTCAGCCACTCACGAGCACGTCTTAGGCAGTCCAAGGAGCTGTGGTTGTGCAGTGTCAGCTAGTTCTTTCCGCTCAACACCCACATACATGAGTAAATGCTGTTTCTACAGAATTCCCTGTCTTGAGCACTGGTCTCTCTGACAAACTTCAGAATGTCTGGAGCAAGGAAATCTCGCTCTAGGTGAAAACCAAAATACTCAAATGAGACTGTTCTTTTCCGAGGCTGTTCTTCTCCTAATTAAAGATTCATTTAAGGGTGGTAAGTGTAGAACATGGAGGGATACAAAGCTGAGTATTGTGGACAATCGTGACCATGGGGCCTGGAACAGCTAAGAATTGAATCAGCGACCTGGCAAGCTTCTTCGAGCAAGAGCTGGCTCCTCTTGTTCAGCCCCCAGGACTTCTTGCGCTCAGTAGACTTCCCCAGTGTCCCCCTCCACTCAGGATGAATTAAGAGACAAAGATAATCCGTCTCAAACAGAGAAGGATTTTGTGAAGCAGACTAGGGGCAGCTTTGCATGTCACTTTTGCCCAGTTGAGCAAAAATCCCCTCCTCAGCACCCCCCTGAAATCCTGTTTTCCCCTCGTGGCATGTCTCATCACATCATGACATCACTCTGCATGAGCTATGAAACTGCATTATCATCACGACGATGCCAATCTCTGACCAAGTGTTACTTTAATCATTTGGCCCTGACAAAGGCTTCCTGCCCCGATCTTTCCCCATCTCTTGGGATCAGCTACCCTGATGACTGAGGGAATTGGAAAGCTATAAATGAAACATTACCGTTTCTGTAACTTTCCTAGGGCTGACTTGTTAGAAATTCAAACCTAGCAAAGAGCCGTTCCCTGAAATGCATTTTCAATGTAATATTTAATATTTCCTGCTCCGATGGGGCTCGATCTAAAGCCTATCAAAGTCAGTGGAAAAACTCCAGTTGAGTGTAATGGATTTCAATTAAGCCTGTAGTGACAGAGATTGAATTTCAAGGATGTGATGAAAGTCTCATTCATCGTATCTTTATATCTGCATCTCTCTAGAGACCTTGTTCGTGAGATGTAACTTTCAACTTAGCTGAAGTGGTCAGCTGTACCGGTAGAAAAACAGGACCCATGCTGAGTTTATCCCTGGAGTGGATAAGAAGTGTTACAGAATCTAAATTCTCACTCCCCTGACCCTATTGCCCTGGTGTGGCTGCCTCAGCAGTAATGCGCATGACGTTAAGGTCGCTGTACTTTCCTGAAGCGTGGTTTTAATGTGGCACAGGAATGAGCTGTGAACAGAAAGCTACTTTCACAAATTTCACCTACAAGCCACAGCTCTTGCTTCTGAAAGCTGTCACTACACGCTGCTGGCATAGGTGGGTAAGGTCAGAAACACGCTGCTATATTTCTCTTCACACAGATCCCCTTAATGCCTTTGCTAGGATCCGTCCTGTGGTGGCTCTTTGATTCTTGTCACATCCAGGGCTGCCAAAGCCTTCGGATTCCTACCTCCTATTGCTTTCGGGGCGGTAATAGCTTGCTTAAAAATCCTGGAAGTTTTGACTTTAGCAAAGTTGAATAATCATTGTCCTCCTCTTTTTAGCCCCCTGTTGCTTTGCATCATCGTCGTATCCTGAAACAAATGAGTATCCTGGAGAGACTGGGAGTGTCTGCGGCGATGTCTCTGCAGTATCTCTTTTTGTAGGTGTCTTTCATCACCTTCATTAATATCTCCCTGCTAAAACTTTCTTTTCTTGTTCCCTCTTGCAGGGCTGGAATCTGGTCACATCCCCGGTGCTGTGAACATACCCTTCCAATCATTCCTAACAGAAACTGGCCACGAGAAGAGTGTCGAGGAGATTCAACAGATGTTCCGCGAGAAGAAAGTGGATCTCTCAAAGCCGCTGACGATCACGTGCCGTAAAGGCGTCACGGCGTGTCACATTGCCTTGGCTGCCTACCTGTGCGGCAAGCCTGACGTGTCCATTTATGATGGTTCTTGGTCGGAGTGGTTCCACCGTGCCCCACCTGAGTACAAGGTCTCTGAGATGAAGCGCAACAAGGCCTAGAGGGAGCCTTGTTTCTTGGGCAGCGAGATCCAGCAGCTATCTCCAGCCCAGGCTAGGGGGGAAGTGGAAATAAAGAAAAATCATGCTGATTTGTATTTTGGCAATTTTTCTAAGAATAATTTTTATCACTTCTTACACTTTCTCACAATGAAATAAAATTTACTTCAAAGATGATGCGTTTATGAACACCTCTAATTATTCTCAGCTTCCCGTGACCTCTTTGTACTGGGTGGGGGAAACAGTTTTGCAGGATGAGGGAGAGTTGCACACTTCCCTTGGTGAGAGCTCAGGTTCATGGTACGGTGCAACAGATGAAAAGTCTGGAGCTAAAACACAGCACTGGGTGCTGAACGCAGGAGGGCCAGGCTTTGGTTCAGCCAACCATCTCCGTTTTCTGTTGTGGAAAATGGGTGCACCTCTGATGGGGGTCAATGAGAGAATGTGAAACATTTGCAGATGCTAGGAGGTCCCATTCTGTTGAAATGCAGTCTTGTTGATTATCGTTGTGTTATGGAAGTGTCCGAGAACTCATACACATGTGATGAGGACTTATGGACACAGGCACTTCATGAGATGTGAGCCTTTTACTCTCTTTCCTGTTTCTTTTTTCTTTTTTTTTTTTTTTTTTCTTTTGATGAAGGATGACCCTGATCTCTGCCATGTTTCTTCTGGTTCCCATGGTGACTATAGCTCATAGAGGGAGGGATGTTCCCTAGCAACTGTCCCTGCCGTTCAGCCTTCACACCACCTCCGTTCCTGGACTTCAGCAGGACCTGTCTGCTTGTAAGAATCACTGTGGCATCGCGTCAGGGGCCATGGAGCAGGTGAGAGAGGTGGTTATGGAAGAGGCTCACGCTGAATCCTGGATCTTTTCTATATGAAAGAAAAAAAGAGAAAATTTCATTTTAACCCAATCCATTTCATTTTAACCCAAAGGGGCTTCTCAGATCTGGAAAGTCATTGAAATATTCATATATTTTGGAGGTCCCATCAGATGTGGAAGGCATATGAGACCATTATTGATCGCATCTGGTGCCTGTGGCATACTAATCTGTACACCTGTCTCTCCTCCGTGGCTGGTTGTCAGGAAAGTCAAGAGTGCTAGGGCTGTAGAAACACTTTGTTGGTGGTGTTTTTCAGAAAGAGGTATCAAGTTTAATCGTTTTTAGCTGTTTGATCAAGATAATGTCATTTCTGGTGTGTCATATGTTGTCCCTTACAGAATTGGCTTAACAAAGGAGTAAGTAGGCATTGTTCTACAGCGTTTGTTACCCAGGAGGATGGTACAAAGATCTTTGAGTCCTTCTTTGTATTAAGATCCAGGCATCTCAGGGTGGAACTTTGGCTGGCTGAAAAGTGAAATGAACAATAAGCACTAGCAATAACATCAAATCCAATTACAACCTAGAAAGTAGGGACAGTGGCAGGACTTCAGCGTCATTTTGTCCAGCATGAATTGGGGAAATGAAGGTTGTCATTGAATGGGATTTGGGAAATGAGCACGTTGCCTCTGTACGCAGAAATTCTTCTATATTGAGAGATGGGCATTGAGATGGGAAGGGAGGAGTCCAACAGCGGACTGCAAAGATGGTGTAAAACAAGCTGCTGGCTTAAATCAGCCCTGTTGGTTCTCACGAGCTAACTTTGAAGCTGTAGGCTCCCTGCCCCCTCAGCTGATGTCTGTATTCCAATAACCAGCCTTCAGAGCAGAACCTAAGCACATAAATCATAGGCTGAGCTAATATGACAGATGTAGACGTATTTCCCTACCTGATCCAGATCACATTTGTGTTGCTGCTGGTGCCAGCGGGCTCACAAGTAACACATTCACCAGCACGTGTCGTGGCTTGAACCTGCCACAGGTTTCACTTGGGCTCAGCCTGCAGGGCCGCGTGAGGATGAGGAACAGACCAGCAGCGTGCCCAGCTGAGGGTTACACTGTCCTTCCCTGTGCAGGAAACGCATGAGCTCCCTCCTAGTGGAGGAGGCAGGTTTCAGAGGCTGTGTTTCAGATCACCTCATCAGCCGGAATAGCAAAGCAAACCAGGGAAGAGTCTGGGCCAGAATTAGGGAAGAAACCCCTTCCTCAGCCCATCTCCTGACAGACCTGACATCTCTGGATGCCTCAGAATAAATTACGATGTTTTCACTGTGGTGTTGAAGATCATGAGTTGTAGGACCGACCATCCAGTCAGGCACGGAAAGCTCTGCCACGACCTGGGGAGGTTTATTTGCTTGAGAAAAGTCTATGTCAATAGAAAGATGAGCAGGTGAGCAAGGCCACTGTCCCCTTCATTCGCTTCTCTGGGCCTGACACAGCATTTGTTTCTCTTCCAAGGGGGTGCTAGAGGTCCCACCATCCCCCGCACCTGATGTGGCAGAAAGTGACCCTGTGCTGGCCAGCAATACAGCAGGTAAGCAGGATGGCAGAGAAGCTGTCCCTCCTTCAGAGCTTGCTTTGCAGTACAGCTTGTGATGCAGTGGGTGGTTCCCTCCCTCCTTCCTGAGAGAGCCGATGGGTTAAAATCCCCTTGGGTGTGTTTTGCCCCCACTGGAGGACCTGTCTCACCACCTCGCTGCACAACTGCAGGGAGCCAGCACCAATTCTGTAAACTCACCAGCAAATAGCAGCGAGCCACAGAGGCTCTAATTGCATCTTCATGAGTGTGACGATGCTCAGGGGTTGGAGGGGCCACCCACACACAGGAAAACACAGACCTTTGTGTGCATGTTTGACCACAAAATTTTTACTTGCACATTTCTGTGCCTGTTCATGTGGCAGAGGCATGTAAGACTGCTTAGGAACTTTCATCTGGTCCTATAGGAAATATGGCATAAAGCTACAGGGTTGTTGTTCTTTACTGCTTTCTTTCCCACTTTGAGACTTTAATTCTTCTTTTGTTGTCTGCCAACAACACAGTGACCTGTCTGGTTGTTCCCAGCTCCGTTGAAGGTACCGCCTATCAATCATCCAGACAGTATCGAAATCATTGAGCTGTTCTTTTTGTCTTTAAGTGAAACCCGAGGAAGAAAAAAAGGAGCATCTTCCAGCAGGCTTATGTCCCAGCAGACAGAGAACATCCCAAAGGAGCTCCAGCAGAGCCTCTTGGAAGACCTGCAAGAGCCCAGCAGCTCAGGGAACAGCAAAGACCTCCACATCTATTAAATGCCGGGCATCTCTTTCCGCAAAGTGTATCCAGACGAAAAGACAGAGCAAACAGAATCTCCATGCCAAAACTCCCCCCGCTCAGGGCCATCATTCAAGAAAACTTGAAGAGGAAAGAGAAGATGGCTCTGCCACCAAAGACCCCAAAGCAGGGCATGAGCCAGCAAGGAGGACCAGCACTAACTGCCTGTGTGCAATACCCAGGCAGAGGGAGTCGGAGGACACCAAACCCATTTCAAATGCCACAGAACCAGTAGCGAGCCAGCACCAAATGCCGGGCACTAGAGTGCCTGGATCTCCCCAGAAGACCACCAAAGCTAGCTGTGAAAAAGCCAAGGAGACCTCCAGCAGATTGATTACCAAAGGGTCCTTATCATCACTCGGGCCAGATATGAAAGCAGAGTGGAAGCTGCTTCTGCAGAAGAGAAACAGCTTGATCCATGAAAACAGCAAATATAAATTTTCCAGTGCAGATGAACTTGCCAGCAGTGAAGAGGTATTGGAGGAAGCTGTTTCACGTCTCCTTTGTGGCAGATTGAAGGATGTTTTCATGGTGTAGCGGGGGGCTGAATGGGTGGGATATTAGCCCACAGACAGCCTTTCCCATCTCTTTTCAGTTTGATTTTCCATCCCCCTTCCTTTTGTAAGGTTCCTGTAGCTAGGCAGAGTCTAGCTCAGCGAGGCAAAATGTGCAACCTGGACCTAATCCAGGGCACGACACCATCGTCCCTTTCTGATTTGCACCCTTTTTTACCAGTCCCAGTTGTTCTACACAATAAGAATGACTGCAGGACCTGCTGGGGGAGACTCAAGGACAGACCCAGTCCCCAGGGGCTAGTCGTAGCTCAAAGGTCTCTGCAGGGATGGAAATACCAGCAGTTTGCTGCACTCGGAGAGCACTGAATGAGAGTGGTTCCTTCTTGTTCATGTTTTCAGGAACGGCGGGCTCTGTGCAAGGCAGCGCTAATCATAGGACAGAAAAGACTCAGCGACCGCACCGAGATGCTAAAAAACCCCCTGGAGTCTTCGACATTTGCTGATTACAATGAGCTGGGTTTTAACCTGAGGTCAAACATCTTCCAAGGTGAGGGGATGCACGTGCCTGTACCTGACCTTCAAGATGGTTCTATCTGTGCTGTGCCTGGGCTCCCAGCAGCCACCTTAGCTTGGATAGAGCTCTGACTGTGGGTTACCCTCACTTCTCTTCTTACTCCTCCATCCACAGTCGCTCCCAGGCTGTGGTGTTCGAGGAGGTGAAAGCCAGAGCCTCCCTTCCTACATGTGCTATCCCTTTCTCTTCTCTTCTTTCACTATTTTCTCTGAAACATGAAAAGCAAAGGTGTATCGTGACCCCTATCCTCCATGTGCAGAGCTGTCTAAATAGACACCATTTGGAATTCAGTGTCCCCTGTCATAGCCAGTCCCAAATTACCCCCAGGTCCAATACTGGCATTATTTCTCGTTAAGCCATTTAGAGATGCGGGCCTCTCAAATTTCTTCCCAAACCTCTATCAGGCATTGAAGATTGCGTTGTCCTGGTCTTTGTCACACAGAAAAGAGGGACATCTTAACCCAGGGAGCTCAAAATCATTATTATCAAGGAGAAGGTACAATAAAAAGGAAGGTGAGGAGAAAAGGATGAGAGATGAAAATAAAGCCCCCCCCCCCAAAATGGCTAGAAGTCAAGAGGGAATAAACAGAAAAGTCCCAGCTGGGAGCTAATTGTAAGTATCATGGCAGAGAAGAAGTTCAAGAAGGCCTGGAGTGGTAAGATGGTGCTTCTTGTGGAGCCGTACTGTTGAGTAGGAGGTTACTCAGATGGATGAGGAGATTCAAGGGGGCATCAAGTGAGCACATGAATAAAGGAAGGGCACTGGGACACAAATAAAGGTGATACCCTTGCTGTACCCTTTACGTATGTCTCATGCTTGGGAATGAAAAGCAGATAAATTGGCAAACGAGCTCCCTCCTGGGTGATGATGAAGCTATTATTCAGCACCTAGCCACACACCTGATCAAAGGTATCGCGGTCAACGCATGACTTTTCCCGTGCCCTTGAAATTGCTGGTGGTGCTCCCTGCTTCAGTTCCAGGACTGCAGTAGGGTGATTTCTGCATGCATTTTCTCATTCCCTCTTCCTTTCAGGTGGCCCACTGGAGACCAGGAGCTTGATGAAAGATTCCTACACCCCCGATGTAATTCAGAAGGCGATCAGGGATCCCAAAAATTGGCATGGAAGGAGGACTGATGAGCTAGGTATGGCATCTGCTGGGAAAAGTATATTGCTGAATTCCTGAGAAAGATGCTGCTTCTGCCAAGGATAACGGATGAATCTGGACAAAGCGGGGGGAGGAGGAGGTGCTACAACTTGGCGTTTTCACAGGAGAGGAGCTGTACAGCTAGAAAAATCCCTGAGGGATAATAGTTTTAGAAGTGAGGCTGATGATTTTCTATGAACTTCTTTACAGGGAAATGGCATCAGAAAAATGCCCTAAATCTCAACTTGCAGAAAGCGTTGGAGGAGAAGTACGGGAAGAAAAAAGGCAAGCTTTAGAAGATGAAGGATAGGAACTGGAGTGCATTCAGCCGGGGATCTTCTTCCTCCGCCATCTAATAAACCTCCGTGTAGAGCACCAGCTCATTGCTGTTGTCAACGACAGATTTGTTGCTGGTGCGCTGTTCCCCGCTCAATTAGGGTATCTTTGGGGAGAGCAGTGCAAGATAAATCTGAATGCAAGAAAAGAAAAATCACTCTGTTGGTCACTGGTAAGATGGGCCTGCCTGGGGTGTGGAGCACACACCCTTGCTGAGGGTAGAAAATCATGGTGGTGAGAGGAGGCCGTATAAGCACAGAAGGGGATTCCTGATGTGTTTTTCTCACTGTATATAATGGTCCCTATTGCAGGATCCTGCCTTCCAGCTCCATGAAGTGTACCAGTTTGGTGCAGCAACCATAAAGTACGTGTCTGGGAGCAGCAATGCCCTGAGCCTTCCCCCCTGGTCCCAAGCTTTCATAGTTTTAAAAGACTGATGCTTTTCTCAGTGATATGAAATGTTTAGAGGCAGAATTAGGATTGTTACTCCACCCTTCATTGGTTGGGGGTTAGGTAACAATATGCTGACTTCATAAAAGCAGTGAAGGATGTTAAAATATAACTGGCAGTAATCAAGTGATTATTTTCCACCAGCAATAATTAACCATTCGGAATTCAGATATTGCCAGGCACACGCTCAAGTCTTTCAATTATGGAGAATGGCCAAATGGCAGCTTGTAGAAATCTCCCTGTAGGATTTTTCCTTGTGCATCAGTACCAAGAGGCTCCTGCCTGAGCACACACTACTCAACTGCAGCTGAACATCACGGCCCTGCAGGAACACCCTGTTCTGCTGCTGCTTCCAGCACTGATGACAAACATGTCTCCAGGTACATAATAAGTGCTGTCTTCTGAAACTGTGGCAAATCCTAATCCAGAAAACACGGAGGTGAACAAAAACCTACTGATACTGTTTGGCATACTGAAAGCAGGCAGTTCAGGGCACAGTTAGCTAATATATACACCACATAACGTGGGCTGAATCAGCATCAGATTCACAGGTCTCTTTCTAATGTCTGGGCAGACAGACTGCAGAATTATGGTAAAGCTTGAAGCAAATGCCCTTTGCTACCCATGAGAGGCTAATGAAGAGACTAGATCAGAAGGGAAACAAACAGACTGTCAGGTCTTGCACCACTACACCCTGCCACAAACCATGTTTTTGCCTTCTGCAGTGAAGAGCCGTAAGGTCATTTTGCACATTTTTTACAAATTGAAATGCTTATAAGCACTTAAATAATACAAAGCAGATTGAATTGTGTAATAGCCTCAAATGAGTGACAGCCCATTGATGACAAATGAACGCATACACGTGCAATCCCCCTTCATCTTCCTTTCTGCTATGCCAAATGACAGAGCACAGCCAGGGGCAAACGCTTTCTGATGGGTGGTACATTGAAAGCTGCAGAAATAACTGAGATAGCTTTCAAGGAGATGGCTCAGCTTCTGGAACTGATCAATACCTGAAGTCTCTGAGTGCTGAACAGACTAATTTAGACAGAACCTTGGCTAGGAACACCAACAAGTGGCACTCCATGATGACTTTGAGTATCCAAACATGCATATTTAAAGCCAGCTTTGAAATCTCCAAATAGCATGTCAGATACAGGTAGGCATGAACTGGGCTGAAATGAGCACAAAATGCAGCTGGAAGTCTCCCTTCTGCTCATTCTTTTCCTCTCAGCTGTTTTTCGTTCCTGTTTGCTTACTTACCTGCTCACACTGAAATGATTCAACTTGATAAATCAGCAGAAAATCAATAAAGAAGAAAAAAGCAAAGTTAACAGGTTAAAAAATGTCATTTGTTAAGTAAAAGACCTTTCTACAGGCAAGGCAATGAGTGGTTGGCCCTGCAGATGCTGGGGAAGGGGACTACAAAAGGAGTGAAGAGGGAAATATCCTTTCACTGCCTTTTTCTTTTTTTTGTGCAGTGAGAAATTAGTTGCTCTCTTCTAAATAGTCTCACTGAACTCAGCACTTTGCAATGAAGGTAGGCTGTATTTAAGTGATTTTGCCTGTTCTTATCATTGGGTGGCAGCTCTGAGCCAATGTTTTATCTAGCACACAAGAATTCAGAAAAGGAAAAAAAAAATAGGTTCTTCTCTGGCTTAGATAAATCGTTCACTAAAATAGCTATTTAAGAGCTGTTTCAGTCATCTATAAACAGGTAATGTGCTTGAAATATAGATAATCATATGTGGTGGTTTTACCTAGCTGGGCAGCTGAGCTCCACCGCAACTGCTCTCTCACTCCCCCTCCTCAAAGGGAAAGAGGGAGAAAATATGATGAAAACGCCTCAAGGGTTGAGGTGAGGACAGGGAGATCACTCAGCAATTATTGTCACGGGCAAAACAGACTTAGCATAAGGAGATTAATGAAATTTATTACCTATTACTAACAGGCTAGAGCAGTGAGAAACAGAAGCAAACCAAAAACACCTTCCCCCCATGCAGTCTTCCATGTCCTCCCCCTGAGCATTGCAGGGGAACAGGGAATGAGGGTTGTGGTCAGTCCTAACACTTTGTCTCCACTGCTCCCTCATGATCCCTCTCTGCCCCTGCTCCCTGCGGGGTCCCTCCCATGGGATTCTGGCACCCTCAGGCCCTGCTCCTGCATGGGCTCCTCTCCATGGGCTGCAGCTCCGGCCCAGGGCCTGCTCCTGCGGGGGCTCTCCATGGGCCGCAGCCTCCTCCAGGCCACATCCACCTGCTCCACCGGGGGCTCCTCCACCCATGGGGGGGCTGCAGCATGGAGATCTGCTCCATGGGGGACCCATGGGCTGCAGGGGGACAGCCTGCTCCACCAGGGGCCTCTCCACAGGCCACAGGGGCACTGCTGCTGCATGCCTGGAGCACCTCCTGCCCTCCTGCTGCATGACCTTGGGGGCTGCAGGGCTGCTTCTCACTCTACACTGTGCTATGGTTCTCACTATACATCATACTATGGCAATTCAATACAGAAGAGACCAATTGCATCTAAGTTTCTAAAACCCTCTCCTCCTATCTTTTAGTTTTTCCTGCAGTGAAGGATATTTCCTGGATTAGGTTTATGCATCCCTGTAATTGAGAAACAGATTATTCTGCAGGGTATCACTGTTAAGAAAGATTTCCTGTTCTCCAGCCAACCTGTTTTTCTTTTCATTTAGCCCTCTGACTTCTGCCTATTCTGTGCTATCCTGAATGATTCCAATCTCTGATATCTCCACTGCAAGCGATTTTGAACGGCTCACTAAAGGAATGGTAACTGTAAGAACAGGAGATAGTGCAAAAACTCTTATCAAAGTCTTCAGCCTGCTATTAAATTCATTCCTTTATGCAGTAAAGCCTGCACTACAATAAAAGTTAAATTCAGAGCTACATCTATCCTGAGGTAAGCCCAAAATTCCTGAAAGAATGGAGTACTTATTGCTGATCCCGCTTATAATGGGATAAAAGGGAAATCCAGAGCTGTTTGAAGTGACTTGAGATCACAACAAAGAGGGTGCAAGTGCAGTGCCTTCAGTGGATTTCAGTCTTTTGCACTGAGACTGAAATGCAATTGTGTCCGAAAGGTATTTAAAACACTAGTATCCAGTAGGAGAGAATGGTCTTTTGAGCATTAGGAATTGCCTGTGTTGTTGATACTGGTAGAACAAAAGAGCTATGAAGTAAGAAATTTAAAAAAAATAACAATAAAAAATAAATTCTCAGGGTTGTCTTTGGGGTTTGTTTGCAACTGGCTCCTTTCTGAGTATTTGAAATGCTGAGGTGGCAGTGTGGGGACTGCAGGCAGAACCAAGGTTTCTTGGGCTAAAGCTGCTAAAAGCAGTGGCCCAGCATCAGGGGTGGAAACACAGCACTTGGGAACAGTGAAGAGAGGTTTGGGAGCAACATTTTCCAATGTTTCCTTACACATCAACAATGAATGGACTCTCAAATCCATGTAAAATGTGGGAGTGGGCTACATCACCATGACTTTTTCAGGTTATACAGCTGACTTTAGTAAATAGGCCTCCCAGTGCTTATTCTGAGTTGCCATTTCATCCTTTTTAATAACATTCCTTTTCTTTTAAACACTTGAGTTCATTGCTCTTGAGCAGGAAAACTGATTATCCATGCTTATTATGTGCCCAAGCAAAATCACTTTCTTTTCCTATATCCTGAGACGCTTGAGCTGAAATTGATTACCTATTTTTAGAAAGGAGCCCTAGCTAAATCTGGCTTCTTGCCCTGCCAATCATATCTATCAGTGGAATGCGAAGCAAGCCTATATAAATGCAGGTACATGAGAATTATGGCCTGCCCCTTTTACCAAAAGCAGTAATGTAACTAAGAAAGGGGTAGGCTCACCTGGGATCTTTCACCATGCTGGACTAGAAGCTGCAGAGAAGTAACATTTGTGGAAAGAAAATGGGATTAAACAATATAATTTTTGAAAACTTTGTCTTAGCTGTCAAAGACCCCTGCAACTCCAGCAGGCTTTTCTGAATCTCAAAGCTGGCTGCTTTCATTTCTGTAACACCTTCAGTTTTCTGAAGATCTGGATGACCTCGATACTCTGTACATTTTAGTCCTTGCCGCTGATGGATCCTCCACCGTGTATAAATTATCTGATACTTAAAATGAATTTCTAACACTTATTTACTACGGGATCATTCTGGCTCGTTTGCACCTTCTCGTTAGATTTTAGGCAGGGAACAAGGCAGCAGTTTCCCACAGTGGAAGAAAACTGTCATGGTAGTGCCAGGATTCAGCATGATTATGTTGTTCTCCAACACAGGCTCTTCAGAAAAATTGGTTCCTTTTCAAGAAATAAGTAAGGACACTTTTGTGGGTTCTTTTGTGGGTGGCAAGTGGCAGCTGTGTGGAGTCACTGGCTGATGGCAGTAAGAGGCTGTCTGTGGCGATATACTCTGAGGGGCACTGCTGAAGGGATGTGGCACAGGCAAGAGCCTTTGGAGATTTCTGCTTTTCTGGTTTCACATTCGTGCCTTGCCCACCAGCTGGGGGGAGTGGTGAGACTTCTTTCTCATTATTGAGGTGCTGCATCATTTCCTGCTAATCTGGGAGCAGGAAAGGCTGCTGAGGACCTGCTCTTCTTGCCTGCATGGTGTCTGGGAGCAGACTCATGCCCCTGAAGGGACACTGATTTCTCTTGGTTTCCCACCGGGTCCACTTGAAGAATTTGATGCATCTCAGGCTGGGAGGACATCACTGGGCTGTACAAGTAGGGACCATTGAAAGCGAAGGAAGTGGTTGCTGTCTGGGAAGCAGTACTTGCATCAGCAGCGCTCTTGCACGGAAGCCTGGCCACCAGGCCGGACACTGCTGCACTCTGCTTCAGTGGGCTGACAAGGGCAGCTGTTAGAAGTGAGGTTTTATGTGGCACTTCAGAAGTCTGACAGATTTGTGGATTCAGTGTACCGTGGGAAACGTTCTCTGTTGCAGACTTAGCTCCATGAAGCTCTGGTGAACTGTTCTTAATCATCCTGTTGTGGTGAAAAGCACAGGATTTAGCTGCTACTGACAGCTGTCTAAATGACAGCTCTCTAATGTGATCTCTGCATACAAACAGGAGCTGCTGTACGGGGGTGCACTGTATTCCAGGAAGGTAGTAGGAATCTTTGGCCACATCTCTTGTATCTTCCTCAGAAGATGCAAGCCTCAGCCTTTCCTGTGCCACAGCAAGACACCAACTATCTGCTGCCAACTCCAGCTCAATTACAAGCCATGCAAGCAGCAATTAGCTTTTGAGAAAGGCTGTGCTTTTACTGTAAGTAAAACAGAGCCAAGGACCATTCTTTGGCCCTCAGGTTAAATGATGTAGGCTGGCTGCATCCACACTGTACAGCCCTGGTTGTCTTGCAGGTCTCCCCCAGTGTCCCTGCAGTCTAAAACACAGCTAAGTTTTGTTGCTGTTTGTTTGTTTGTTTTTTCATTTCAGTGTACACAACGTAATGTGAGTGCTGTGTTACAGCTGTATTCATAGTATGAAACTGAGGATTTGTAGTATGAAACTGCAGGGCCTGGGTGCAAAACTTGCTAGAATACTGTTGAGGGACACCGAACCTGATACAGGCATTTCTGTGTTGCCCACTGGGAATGATTACTGCCCTGTGCTATTGCAAACTGTGCCAGGATGTTGCCTTGGAGAGCACTAGTTGGCACAGGCCAAACCATGGCCAGGAGAGTGCTGACAACAAAGCAGTGTGAGCAGTTACAAGACAGAGCTCGATAGTACATCTTGGCCCTGATTTATTTAGCAGTATAGACTCAGGCAGAGTGACTGCTAGCATCAGCATTTATGCAGCTCTAGACCTCTCAGTGATATTTTACAGTTACTTCTTCAAAATAAGGGGCCTCTGTCTCAAGGATCTTACAAGCACTGAATGGGAAGTTAGATTAAGGGAGAAGGCAAGGTAAGATTTCAAAGAAGTAACAAACATAAGCCATCTTCCCCTAACATGACTCACAAAAGTATTTATTAGAAAAAGCTGACCCTCTCTTCTAAGAAGCAGATAGTCACAAAACCCAAGAGCCTGTTTAATTTTTGTCAGCTTCCCCCTGACTTCCATGAAACCTAGGATAATTCCTTGAACAGAGCACTATGGTCACTTCTCCATCTTTGAAGACCTGGCACAAATTTGTATGGACAATTTGGAGCTATTTCCGATCAGCCTCACACAGGCCAGGACCACTGTAAACAGCTTTTTGTTTATCCTCCACTTTCAAAGTCAGGCTTTGCTTCAAGGAGAAGCAAATACGTCATTTCTAGAGGATGAAGAGGCAGGAGAATATGCATATCTGCATATTTCATTGCAATTTCTGTAGATGTTTGGAAGGTGTGTGCCAACTTACAAAATATATAGGTGAAAATTCTTTGTTCTCTCTTTCTCAGCAAGTGAATCTATGCACAGTCTGCTCTTCCCCAAGATTAGTAAGGAACCTTTCAAGAAAGGAGTCAGGAGTGGGCTGCTTACTTACCCATCCAGCATTTGAAGGCAGTTAATCTCCTCCACCCCCTCAGAAGTGTTCTGCCCACTGAAGCCCACCTGGCTGGCTGGCAGTTGGCTGACAGCTTCCTGGGGAAAGAAAAAAAAGAACATGAAAATTTAAACACTTCTGAGGAAAAAGAGATCACTCTAAGGCTGGGAAGAGACAGGCACCATGGGCACAAGCATGCTAGTAGCACATCTGTGATGGACATTTATGATAAGAATGAGTTTCCAGGCACTTACCCCATATAATCAGTTTTAACAGTTTATCAACCCATACCTCAAAAGTAGCCTTTTCAAACTTTTGTTGAAACGACCTTGGTGTTCTCATTTTAAGGGCTGTGCTGTTTCCCCATCTAAACAGAGCAGTAACATTGCTACAGGCCATCTGTAATAGATTGACACAGGCTTAAAAGCTGCCAGTCTGAATGTATTCCTGGCACCTTCGTACCTCCTCAATTCGTTTTAACATTTTCTATCAGCTTTTCCCTCCTTCGTTCTTGCTCCAATCTGCAGATCCTCTTCACATTTCAACTTTCATTCTCTAGTCAAAACAAGCTGAGATCTGTTTGTCTCTGATCTTCAAGTCACAAAAGATGGTAATGCAGAAGCAGTCCCACTGCTGTGGTTACAAAGTATGTTCTGTCCTCCAGAAGACTGTTCCTTAACTTCCATGTTGTCTACTCCTGAGCTGTCTTTATGTAGCATAACAGTCAGGGGCTGCTGCACCTACAGGTTTTCTGTTCAGAAACAGAATTGCTGGGATGCTTACAAAATTTAAGATAAGGTAATTCACTACAGGGATGGAAACTCTCAAAACCATGAGACAAAGAGCAGACAGCACTTGTGGATGGACAGCTGGGTATGAAATGCATAACAAAGCTACTGTGATGCCCTTTAGCACGTGGGATGGCCTTGTACCAGTGTTGATTATTGTGTGGACAGGAAAAGAATTTGATTAAGTCTGCCAATAGCCAAATTAATCAAAAGGAACTTTAGAATGATAAATGATCTGCAAGGGGGGATTTATCAGGGCCTGCAAAACATGCAGCTATGCATCATGTGAAGAAGTCTGGCCTACCACACTTCCCCTGTATCAGCTGCTGACTGGATGCATGCCTGAGATACACTGCTTGATGACTGAATAAGGGGCAGAGAATGACTGAGTGTCACAGAGTTAGCTGAGGGCCATGACAGCCCACCATGTGGTCTCAAAAGCAATGCCAAGACCAAGCATTGCACTGACGGAGAAACTATAAAGTGGGACAGAAGGACTTGAAAGGTAGGGGGTGAGGCTGATAGAGATGATAGGGGTAGAAAGTAAAAATGTTGTGATTGGAGAGGTAAACGAGAAGTTAATCTTTGTAAAGACCACTCTTCCCTGGAGATCTGCATCACTGACTTACACTGCAGGGAGTCAGAGATGAGGTGGAAGTCAATTAGCTTAAGCAGAAGATAATACAAAGTGGCAAAAATAGCACGAGCTCTGTCTGTGGAACGGAGATTAGCAGCATTGCCTTGGGGAGATAGAGACATTACAGATGTGAGATCAAATACAAATCCATCAGTTTCAGGGGGGACTCACAGATAGATAAGGCTGTGGAATTGTGATAGTGGGAAACTGAAACATGCAAGAGTCAGCTCCAGGAAGGAACCCAGTCACTATTTTCGTAAAACTTGAAGTGTGCTTCATGCCATGCCTCTTTTGGTGATATCCACCTACTGGGATATCACTTGTTTGGATCACAAGATTTGCATAGGCTTCTCAGATGAAATCAAGAAATGGGCGAGGGAGAGAGATGGAGGAAAATGAAGCCATCTACTTTTAAAAGTGCTCCAAAGATAAGACTGTGTCAACTGCACACTTCTCTTTGCCCTCTCCTTTCCCACATGGAAGAAAATGTCCATGTCCAGGAAGAGTACGATGTGGGAGGAAATACATCTCTCACAGTATGAAGTCAACTTGCAGCAACTGCAGGAGAGTATAGAGGGAGGTAATCATGCAGTGACTATAGAAGAGGGGCAGGCAACACTGAAAAGAGTCAGGAGACAACCTAACTAGTAACAGAGAAAGGCCAAGTCAATTTAGAGACAACAGATTTCATGCATGAGGAATATGGGAGGCATTTTGGAGGCAGGTGATGACAAGCCTTACCAGATGCATCAAAGGGGAGAGATGGCTTTACTTGTCAACTCTCACACCTTGGCTACCAAAGCTGGAAAATAGGCACAAGATCAAAGGCTGTAGTGAAGGCTTTCGTGAGGTTCACCCAGACCCTGTACTCCTCCTGAACAGGATAGCAGCCTGTTCAGTGACAGCCCAGACCCTGGTCTGGAAGCTCCCCCTCAATAAGTCATCCCACTACATCCTTCCCTTCTTTCTTCTCACCTTAGAATACCTCCTTGTTGTACTTGCAGAGGCACCCTGCAAGGTACAGGTCCCTCTTGCCCCCAGGTAGCTCTGGATCAGCAGACTCTTTCCAGGATTTGGAATCTTTTCCTCCCACAATTTCTTCTGCCTGTAACGACGGCAACACAGAGTTTTCAAGATTTGCCTCACAGCAAAGATTTGCCTGCCAAGACCTGGCAGGCCACCACCCAACTCTCACCTGCACACAGACACTCACCAGGCTGCCCATTGCACACCAAGGCTCATCTCTCACAGACCACTTGCACAAGCAATGCCTCACAACCTTATTCCACTCACATGGCCAACACCCTGCTGAATCTTCTCCTCACGATGCAAACCTACCTGAGGAAATACTTATAGCTGTAATAAGCAACTATTAGCAAAATGACGGTGAGAGCTGTCAGCATCACTGGTAGAAGCGCTGGTGATGGAACTGAAAGAGAAAAAAGAGAAATCAGGAGGCATCAACAGAGGGGCTGCTTCCCATAACAGGTTTTGCGTTTCGGACTCTCTCCATGCAAGCACATCAGGGAAATGCAAGCAGCACAGCACAGGATGTGAACATGAGGCCTTCTAACTGCTGAGATCCCCTACCAAGTGGGAGAGACCAAATGTGGCCTGAATATCATACTTACATCTTTCCCTCAGTAATTCCTTTTTTTTTTTTTTTTTTTTTTTTTTTTTTTCCTGCTACAACAGTTTCCTCTCCAACAGAGCTCAGTCTGCTAGAGTTCCTGAGTACATGCATAAACAGCCCTACCTCTGATCTGATCCACAAGCTTATCTGACTTTGCACTGGCCCCCTTTTCATCCTCATAGCGTTTAAGATACAGTATACCTCATGCTTGAGATACCCAGATCATGTATGCGCACGTATGTGCATGTGTACACATTTCTGTGTGCCCAGGAAGATTAAAACCAAATGACCCACCACAAATTTTTTCTAAATCTTGAAGCCAAAACTATTATCAGACATTTTGAAAGTGAAATATCTTTTTATTTCTAATCCAGCCTGTGATAGCTCCTCTATTGTCAGCTTTCTCACACACTCCCAGGCCCTGATCCTAACACTGATCTAATGAAGTTTTGCTTTCTGTCTTCCCATGGTTTTGAGGACATAAGACCAGACACAGCCAACAAGAAGGCTAAGAGGAAACCTGGCTTCGTTGTGCCTCTGAATACTTTGTCTTGCACTTCACCCCCACCTGACAGGACTCTTTTCCTAAGCATCAGATTGCTTTTCCTGCCACTCCCTTACAATCTTGCACAGGAGGGAATACAAACTGAACTGTACCACTGTCAGTTTTCCAGGTGAACTCCTCACTCCATTCGCTCCAAAGCCCTTCATATTCTCGCACCTTTGCACGCATTTTTATGGTGTAAGATGTTGATGGCTCCAGATTCCGCAGTAGGTGGTAAGGATCATCATTGATAGACTTTCTGGTAACCTGAGGAATACAAAGAAGAAAACATGGAAGAAGCAATAACTTTCCCATCCATACTGCCCACAGGATGCCCCCGGTCCCATGTGTTACATCACCTACCGTTTCCATTTGGCTGGTTTTCCAGTACTCCAGTTCATAACACTGTTCCCTACGTGTATGTTTTATCCATCTCAGCTCATACTCTCCATCTTTATTCATTGTCACTGTTAAATTTGTTGGGGGTAGCACCTTGACTGGAAGAAACAGTTTTGATATCAGGCATCACCTTCCTGAATACTCCTTTCCTTCCTATGGATCTTTTTCCTTTTCCTACACTAGGTTGTTCAGTAATCTCTAAAATTCAAAAGATGCAGGTGTGCTTCAACTACTACCTCACAGAATGTTTTTTTTCCTGACATTAGTTTGCTAAGCAAGCATAATAGCCAGCTTCACTGAGCTCTTGAGAAAGCTACTCTTTTTCATATCTGCTATCATCAGCCAAATCTAACAACCCTGCAACATAACTGAAGTATTAGCACTATTTCAGATATCTTGAAAATATACTAACAAGTACAAGAAAGGATTTATGAACTGGGGACAGTCCTGGAGGAGCGCACAAAGATGTTCAGAAGGGGAACGACCACATGACATATGAGGAGAGGCAGAGGGAACTGGGCTTGTTTAGCCCAATAAAGGAAACACATTAAGGAATATCAGCTTAATTTCAACTAACTAATAGTAGAATTGTAGAGAAGAATAGTAGAAATGGTAGAGATGATGGAGCAAGGCTCCTCTCAGAGGTACTTAGTGAAGGACTGGAGACAATGGATATAAGTTGCAACTCAAGATAATATGGGGGAAAATATTACCATGGGAGTGGTCAAACACTGATACAGAGACCCACGGAGGGAGTGAAATCCCTGTCCTTGGAGGTACTCAGAACTTAACTGAACAAGGCTGTGAGCAACCCAGTCTAAATGATCTGCTTTGAGCATGTGCCTGGACTAAATGTTCTCCGTTCTGTGGATGCCTGATTTATGAGTCTGTGAAAAAAGCTGTGAAAAAGCCATATATAATCCGTGTCCTCAGAACTTCTTTAAGGTATCACCATCTCTCTACACAGACTGCAGCCCTCTCCTGGATCATTTTAGTGTGACTTCTGTATGGATGCTGACTTCTTCAGTACCTGTGGCGTACGCGACGAAGGACATACTGCATGGCTTTCAAGTATCTAGGTGGGTTTTTCTGTTGTTTTGTTTTGTTTCAGCAGTAGTTGCTTGACAGTTTCCTGCAGACTCCACATTGATTTATGTTTTTTTTTTACAAAAACTTTGTCAGCATGCGTGCTTGATGCCTTTATTTCTAGGCATGTGCTTGGTCATACTGTACCGTCACAGTCTTTCAAAAAGAAACCATAGGCATGAGATCATCAATGGAAGGATCAGTAAAACTGCTATAGGGAAACAATTACAGTGTCTTTTAACATAGAAAGCATTAGAAAGGTTACTCTGTATGAGTGAAACACATAAGAGGCAAGACTGGTGGGTGCTAAATAGTCCTGTGCAATGAGGGCTAAGTGCTTCTGAGAGACTTTTCAACCTGGCAACAAATATGGTCTTCACAGTGTGGATGTGATTTGCCTGAGAACTTGTTGGCCATGAGCAGTGAAGGCATAGTCACTTCACCACCAGTTGTTACAAATTTCCAAGATCTTCTTTCCAAGATCTGGAGTTTAAAAACTGATTTGTTCATCTTTTGATATTCATCTGTTGCTTCCGAAAAGTTGCTGAAGTATAGTGTTACGGTCACTGTCTTTGTTCAACATCTAGATAACCTACTCAGGCATGTAAATTCCACTAATTCTCTAGATGTTTTTTCAGTTCTTATGCATACTCTTGGTAAGTTTCCTACAACGTGATCATTTCCAAGGGCATGTATGTGGTCTTAAGCGCAGTGTTTTCTGTTTCAAATTTCTACTCTTGTTGCACTATAGAAAGTCTGCAGGCACACTTTCAGAGCACTACTCAGACTCCCTCAACTTCGAGATACAGAAGCGTCCTCTGTATTTTTTGTTTGTTTGTTTGTTTGTTTTTATTACAGAACTTCATAAATGATCAGCTTTCTGTGCTATGCTTCTTTGTAAGAATAACTAACTGAATAGATTCCTATTTTATATTACTCTAACAGGTTACAATAACTGCTTTGAAAACTCCAAGATGGCACCATGTACTACACTGAATCCATGAAATCCACAGCAGTTTCCACTACTGCCACCATCCTGAGAGCAGCAAGAGACACTGAGAAACTGCACACCTGCAAGCCACATCTCCCAGACCTTTGCCCTGTCACAGCATCCAGACTCTCTCTTCACCAGCTCAGCTTTTATCCTTCTCACCCGCTTTTTCTCACCACCACTTCCCCACACAGCCACCCCTCCCAGAAAACTCCCAGCAGAAGCGAGACACAACACAGCAGCTCACTGTTCTTGTGGGCTTCAATCAGTTTCTCCTCCGTCTTGGTCCGGACAGACACATGGTACCGGCTCTGACTGCTGATGTTGCTAACAGGGATCGCACAGCTCTGTACCACATAGGGGATGTGGGGCAAGACCTTCTCATACACGGGAGAGCACTCCTCTTCCCTTGGGGGGAGAAAGGAGGCTGTGCTGAGATCAGTGGGAACGGGACAGAGCAGAAGCTCAATGGGAGAGGCGTGGGCACTCTGCCATTGGCAGATCACATACGCGGATGCTGGAGTGGCCCTGAAGAACAAGCCAAAGATGACAGAGGTGGTGATCACTTTCTTCACTTCCCAGCTGCACGTAAGAAGATTTGCACTACTGAAAATACAGCGAAGGTTCCTGGGCTGAATGGGTTCCTGACCTACACAGAAGATCAGAGTAAGCTAAGTGACAGAAAAAGCACAGTGACAGCCTTTGTCTGGGTCTGCATGAACAAGGTCTGTCCAATGGGATGGAAATGCCAAACACTCTGGAAGAGGCAAGATGGAGTATCCCAGTTCTGGGGCTTTCCAAGAGACACCAATGACTAGAAACAGCCACCCCATACGCTCTTCCTGCATCGTGCCTACATCCCCCAGCCCTGGCTACTCTACAAGCCCTCCCATCCCTGCACGGACCCACTCCAACCCACGCTACCTTCAGGGGTCTCCCAGGACACATCCGTGCTCCACTCGCTGAATGGCCCAGAGAAGCCTTTGGCCTGCTGCGCTCTGGCTCGCACTCGGGCAACGTATCGGCTCCCCATCATGAGGTGGCTGAGGTGGCAACGTGTGGTGTTGGAGAGCAAGCGCAATGCGTCCTTCTGGTAGCAGGGAGGACAAATGGGGAACAGAGAAGAGGTGGAGGGAAGGCAGGGAAAGAGCATGAGGCAGCTCCAGCCCAGCAGATGGACCAGCTCCTGCAGCTTGCAGAGCTTTGACTGACTCCAGCACCAGCTGCACAAGAGTCACAGCACTGCCCAGCTCAGAACTGTGTGGAGTCTGCCCAAGACACTTGCCGTGGTTTCAAATGTATTTTGCCTTTCTCCCACATGAGCCCTTCCATGGACTATGCATGAAACGTGCTTTACTTTCATTTGGGAGGGGTTCAGGGTAAAATAAATTCCAACTCAAAGCCCAAGTGCAGTGCTTTTTTCAGTGGAGTGCAGATTTTTGCATTGAAGTCAGGACAAATGGTATTTCACCAGGAAGGTCACTTGCAAACAGAAACGGGGCCCCTTCCACCTGACCTGAAACAGCATTTGTTGTGTTTCTTTCGAGTACCTGAGCATGGAAAGGCCACTTGTTTGCACAGCTTTTACCACAAGCCCTCAACTGTTCCAAAGTTGGAGTCAGGACAGCCCAGCTTGTCCACTCTTACCTCCCAGGACTCCCACTCCCGCTTGTAAGTGACTTCATACTCCAGTGCATTGCCCAGTCCTTGGCTTCCTTCAGCTGCTGTCCAGGTCAGGAAGAAGTCTCCTGAACTATTTTGAACTTCGAGGTTTTGTGGTGGAAGGGGCTGAACTAGAAGTTGAAGGTGCAACGCACGAGATAGTGAGTGCAGGAACATGAATAGGGGAAGAAAACAACTAGCTGACCTCTGAATGATAGGATCTGGACATTTAACAATTTTCTTTCAGCTCTGCAAATAATCCATGACTAGTTTTCAGCACAAAAGGGAAACTGTACTAGACCCAGGTAGTATATTCCTGAACAGAATAGGAAAGTAGGGAAAGCAGTGTTCCTGTGCAGCTCCACAATAGCTTTTTGTGGGAGGATACTTTAGAGAGCATAGCGCTAAAACTGAAGGCTTTTTTGATATCTCCCCCCTGCCCTGATTAAGACATTGGTAAACTGAAAGGTCTAGCCCCATTTTTCTATTGTAGCCAGGTGCAGTCTTTTCTGTCTACCCAAAATGTACAGAATCCAGTACTTACTCTACTTAAACTTCATGCAGTTGGTGGTTGCTCAGCCTTCTAGTTTGACCAAGACCTCTCCACAAGGCCTCTCTACCTTCAAGGGAGTCAACAGCTCCTCCTAATTTAGTATCATCTGCAAACTTAGTAGGCATTTGAGTCCTGTGTCCATATTGCTTATTAAAACATTGAAGAGAAGTGGTGCCAAAATGGAGCCCTGGGGAACCCCACCAGTGACTGGTCACCAGCTTTATTTAACCCCATTAATTACAACCGTTTGAGCCTTACCAATTAGCTGACTATTCACCCATACATAGTATTATGTTCTTGTATCTTTTTAGGATTAGATATTCAAAACATAAATGACATCTTCATCTAATAAAACTTCTAAATACTCCAGAATAGAGACAAGACTTAGAGGCTCATGCTTACCATTCTGAAACAAGTAGACATTTAGCTCTGCCTGCAGGTTCAGGTCAGGTTTAAACTTGTACCTTTCTATATTACTTGCTCTCAGATGGCTTTGACACACCCAGTGCATTGTGAAGTTCTGGCACTTAGCGTGGTTTTCCCCTTTGTGGAATGCGCAGGTCATTTCTTTGTTCCTGGTTACACAGAATAAAAAGCAGGAGTATTTTAATAGGATGCTGATAGATGGTCTAAATTATGGGTTTCTTCTCTAATATCAAGCACATCTAGTTTGTTCTCCCTTCCTTTCCTAAGGGGACGATGCATTCACAATAACTGTCTTGGGTTAGTAGTTGTCTGAGCCCTGAGCACATCTTTCCCCTCCAGGGATTTGGTTCCGTATGGTCAAGACCAGCTTTGATGCTAAATTGGAATTGGCCTGACTGAGGACTTCCCCACTTTCACTCAGAAGCTGCTTTTAAGCTCCTCAGGGCCCTGCCTGAGTTATGACACAGTCATATCTGTGCCTGATGATATATGCTGCTGATTATGAGCTTGGCTCCTGGCTACGGACTTCCCTGGGGATATGGACGGCTGATCCCGGTCACTCTCAGTATTCTTACTTACACTAGAGAAAACAAAGAAAGTAAGGCAAAGACATGCAGCTAGCAGTTGGAACAGAATATTTGAGAGGTTTATGGGACTTCAGTCATCCTACCAAAAAAAAAAATCTCCAGGCAGACTTCTGGAGTCCATTGTGCTACAGGAACACTTCTGAGGTTTGTAGATTTCAATGCAGAGAAAATTGCTCAAATATCCAATGGGATTCAATACTCTATAGACTGTAAGGGAACTATGTCCCTTACATATGTTCCTTGCATATGTCCCTTACATATGTCCCTTACATATACAAATCAGGCTTTGCCAGATTTCGGGTCAATTCATGAATAAATCCAACAGCCCTTTCTCAAAAATAAAACGAAGACAACTTCTCCTCATTCTCATTTCACGTTTTCTTAACACCCTCCAATCTATCTGCTGTTGACCCTCCATCCCTGCTTCTGTTGTCTATTCTTTTTCTTTTTCCTCTATATCTTCCTCTTTCTCCGACCCTTCCTCTCCCTCATAATCTCATGTTTGATGGTTCTGTCTGTTCTTGAAAGGAAGCAGAAGCATTAAAAAGATAATGACAGATGCAACCCAGTATCTCTGAGAGGAAACCCAGTGAAATAAACACATAGAACTTCTGTTTTTGTCACAGCTCGTTCTGCAGAAATTATTTCAAAATAACTATTTCTTACCAACAGAAGGAGAAGGAGCCTTCTATGGCATACTAACTAGGTGTTATCACCATTGCATCTAGTGTTACCTTCACTCAGGTGCAATAATTAACATGTCTTGCACTTGTGGTCTCACAGCAAAAGCAGGGGAGAATGATTGAAAAGATCATGAAAACAACTCGATTACCATGCTTTGCTTCCTTCCTGTTCTTCCTTATCCTGTACAGATCCAACTTTCTCCCCAGCCTGGACATAACACTGGTGTCTGCATGCTGAATACTGCACTGGCTGCAAGCTCAGACCATTGCCCAATTGCCCTGCTCCATCTCTTAGTTTCAGCAGCCAAGTCCCTTTGAACTCTTCAGAGAACACCAGCCAGTCACTTACTTTCCATGGCTGTGGTTAAAGTTCAAAGTCATATTCAGGAACTGATGGGCCTCTGAGCATTCCATCCATGTGCAAGTTGTAAGAGAGTTGTAGTCAGGATAGCAGTGTAGAGTCTGCATCGGGATGCTCTCTGAAAAGAGAAAACAGATGAAGCATAAAGAAGGCAGTAGGAAATGGTAAAATGAACACAAATTCTGCTACTGTGCTTCAGAAGGCAGAGAAGTGAAAATATTCCCTACGTAGTTCAGCTCACACTGCACAGATTTCACAAATAAAATTTAGTCCTTCATAGGACAGCCTGAATGCAAGAAGTCTCCAACAGCAGCTGCTGCTCTGAGAGTAGGGCTGACTCGTATTACATTGCCATTTATCTGAATTTTATTGTGAGTCTTAGGACTGAGAAAGTCTCAGATTTTTGACTCTGCCTGTCGCCTGCAAATCAAAATGGTTATGCAATAAAAATAAGAATTTGGTCTACAAGCTCTGAAGAAAAGATGGAGTTTTTTTGTAGCTAGTAAAATTAATTTTACCAGCAATTACCAGGCAAGAGATGGCAAGGAATGATTTTGCCATTTCTAGCAGGCCTGGGGCAGCTGATGCCTAGTCTTGCAAGAAAGGCCTGTGGCCAAGCCAGGCCACTTTCACATCCAAATTGTGGAACATGATTAAACAAAAAAGTTGTTTCAGTCTTCATGGAGACAAAGCTTAGAGAGCAGAGAGCCCATGGTATTTAGTACTGCGAATTACATGTATGGCAAGACAGCATAATTCTCCCAAGTACCAGATATGTGTCTCTCTGTGGAAAGATAGGTGTGCAAAAGGTATGTTTTTCAAGATCTTTTATTTAATTCAATCTCAGGACTTCTAACACTTGGATGAAATGAATAATTTCTTCACTTAACAGGTGTGCTGTGGGACAGCCTCTGCTCTGCCAGCTGTGCTACCAACAGGCTCTCAGTTCTCTGTCCCTTAGGGTGCAGCCAGCCCTCACTGTAACTCTAAAGAAAAGGAGAGTATCACCTGGAGGCAGGACAAGTCAATAGACATAACAAAGAGCCATTGGGGGAAAATGGCAGGTTGGAAAAGAATCTTTCTGGTATAAACAAAAAAGGTATCTAATTATGGGATAGGCAAAGTCACAGTTCACGAAGGTAATAGTCAGGCCTAGTCAGATGTGAAACTTCATGACTATTCAATTTAAATAATATTAATAGACTTTGAACATCGTTTGACCCATGCAGTTTGGAGTCTTGCCTAAATACCATTCACAACTTTGCCATTGATATACAGCTGGAGTACTTGTTATAGTCCTGGTAACCATGCGTGTACACTCATAAAGTCTCCTCTTCCTGTCACCAACATGAAAGTAGAAAATAAAGGGAGGGTGGAGAAATGTCAGACTAAAAGAAAAAAAAAAAAAGAAGGAAAAAAAAAATAAAGGGAAAGATTCTGAAACTCACCTTGCATTGTTCCAGCCCCCCAGACCAAACATGGAGCCAGAAGAAGACTGATGAACTCTGGCATCTTCACATCTTTGCACACAAGCATGATACTACATCAAGCAACAGCTCCCTGTGTCACTGGCTGTTCTTCCTCAAATGCATGCTTAACAGCTACTGTACTTCCTTCTTTGTCATCTGTTATAGCTGGAAGCAAAACTCATTAGCTGGAAAAGTCTTGGGCCTTCTCTTGGCCACAAACTACCTCTTCATCAACACTGAAGTGATCTTTCAGAGTAGCTTGATATGGAGATAATTTATTAAGGAGAAAAGTTTCCACCTCTCCACCAGAGAACAAAGACAAAGGTTGTTGTTTGGAAATAATGACAAGATTTTCAACCTCCTTCCTTCACCTCAAAAGAAACAATCCCTGTGTTATGAGAAGGAATTAATTATCCATGTTGATTCACCCTTCCAATCCATTCAAAGCACACCCTCTGTTCCACTGAATAATTAAGATAACACAAAGGAAATACTTCCTTATCTTTCTTATTACTCCCACTAACAACAATATACTTCTGGCGATCTGAGAGATCCAGTCCCTCTATTTCTTCACTTTACAACTTTATTCACAGGGATTTTAATCCTTTGTTTGTTTGAGGGGAGAGGGTTCATTGCCAATTCCTTCTCTGCAGTAATACACTTGCCTTACCTGAATACTGAGTAGTCTTCAAGGCAGGTACTTCAGAGAAAGTGGATTTTTCATTTATCACTCACAGGAAGCTGGTGCAAATGCAACTGCTAGTGGGACACCCACAGTCTTAGCCCTCCAAATAAGCCTGTGCTCTGTTTTTCTCACAGTTGTGTTGTTACAATCTTTAGTGTGAGAGACACGTGTGTGACTTGCTATCTGTGACTTTCCCATTTATAGCATAAGTTAAACAACTAGGCACCTGATCAGACATCATGCAGTTAAGAGGAAGAGGGAAGGAAGTACTTTTCATTGTTACATTTTGCTTAAACACTTTCCAAGAAATGACACCAATTTTTCAGCAAATAAGATACGATGATCTCTTCAATAGATTCTGAACTTTGCTGTTTGTTCTGTCTTCTGCTGAGCTGTACTCGAAACCTCTCCTTTAAATCACCATTCTCGAGGAAAGGCAAGGAAAATTCATTGCCATCAAATCAAACAGTAATTAAATAAAATAGTTTACGTTGTGAATATAGTCTTAACGATGCATTGCTGCTGCTAAGCCTGACCTGCGTAAAGCTTTCTCCATCCAAATAATAGCATGAGAAGTGTGAATTATGTTTAAATGAAAACCACAGTTAAGGAATTAAAATTCAAGCCATGCTCTGCTTGCATACTGTAATTTAAGTGATAATATCATACTGCATCAGTAGAAGTGAAGAAAATACACTCATATGGAGACAATGTAGTTTAACATATATTTAGATCTTTTTGATCTTATGAAGAAGAGTTGTAGCATCTAAAGAAGTGGAAGGGAGGGAAGTTTTTTATTGCTTTCTCTTAGCTAGACTGTGCAGTCTCCGGGAAGGGAAAGTTTTTCACATTACCTTTATCCACTGAAAGTATCAAAGTTCAGGCAATTTTAGATTATGTACTCAGCAGCATATACAATTTCTTATGAATCAGTGGCAGCTGAAAGCACATTAAAATACAAAACTAAAAAAGAGATAGGGAAAAACACAACACAAGCAAATAAACAAACAGAAAAACACAAAACAAAACAGAGTAAGCCAAAGAGAAGCAGAAACTACATGGCAGTAATTTTCAGGATATGCTGAAAAGGTGAACATTGCACACAGTCTATATGCATGAACTTGAGACTGGAGATGTTTTATCTTTGCAGTCCCACATGTACTCTACTTCCCTTTATGGTCTTTTTACAGATGAAAAAGAGATGTAACCTTATTCCTTCATGTTTTTTTCTTAGTGGGTAGAAGAATTATCCCACTTATGTGCAGAAACTTCAGTGGAGAAAAATAAGGATTGATAATGAATGCCCATGGACTATGTCTCTTGATGTTCTGGTCATTCACAAGTAATTGCTTTTTTTATTATTTTCATGCTTTTTATTCACACTGTGTGTGATTCCAAGCAATACTTCATTATTCCTCTCACTTAATTTACTCCAAATTAGATTTTGGCCTCCCTAGGCATGAAGGATCTCCCCGTCAAATGGATGCCTATCATGGCTTCTGCAATGCTTGGTGACGTTGAGAATGAAAGAAAATATTTTAATTAATTCTTTCGGAAAACGCAAGACCATGAACTATTAAGACACCAAAAGGACATTTGCTAGTCAGTTAAAACCTTTTAACCCAAAATAAGATATACCTTGACTGATTGGATAGCCAAGTCAAGGCCTTTCAGCTCCAAGTCAGGACATGGGAAAGAAACCAGATCATCCTTTAGATACTGCATGGGTCTTGTCATATCTCTGTAGGTCCTCCATAGCTTACCTTGCACTCAAGGGAAGTCCTGTCTGGCATGTGATATCACAGGCAGGGCAGTAGCCAGATATCCCTGGGTGCGCAGAGTGGACCTAACCCACTGGAACTGGTCTTCACCTGCAGGAAACAGGTCTCTATCAAAAAGTGATTCTGTTGGATATGAGTGCTAGCCACAGGTTACCCAACAGGTATCATGGTGCGGAGGTTGATGGGTGTCTTTACTTAGAAGGGCTCCCTTCCGTGGGAGAAAAAGGAAAATATCTCCTTCATTGCTAACAAATTTAAGCAGGATCATGACAAAGTAAATTAAAAACGTGAACAAACAATTTACTTAGGAAAAAGTCTACACAGTTGAAAAGATGGCACTTATCATGAGGAATTTAGACATTTTCTGTGCTGAGAAAAAAGCAATGGTTATGGCCCAAATCCACTCTAGCAACAGAGGATGAGCAGGTGAGAGGTCCTGAAAGCAAAGCTTAAATCAAGAGTCTAAAAATGCAGACCTACAAAGGAGCATTTTTCAAAACGGTCCTAGTCACATAGACTGTGTCAGACAGCAGGGGCTCAATGCATGATTGATTAAACTGTGTAGGGAAAAGGGAATTATATTTACTAGTATCTGGTAGATTTTTGAAATAGATTGAGCTTATGGAAGATGGGTTCCATCCAATCAAGATAGAATCAGTGCTGCTGACATTTAAGATTAAAAATGCTAGGAGAAAATTTTAAACTGAGAACCAAGAAAAACATGTTAGATGTGAAAAGTAAATTGTTCATATGAACAAAACAGAGTGTAATGGGTAAAAAACACACATACACACACACACACACAAAATAAAACAGCTAATATACCAGGTAAGCAGAGCATATAAAAACAAACAACTGGATCGAGACAAATGTCCAAATACCTTCATACAGATGTTTCAATTTTAAAGTATGGTTTAAATGGCAGAACCATTGGGGAATACCCATTTTTAGTTTTAAAACAAAACTTTGATTGTGGAAGTTTGATAGACGGAAGACATTCAATCAAACATTAATACAAGAAAATACACTTTGTACAAGAAGACTCATTTTAATTTACACACAAATGCTAAAGAAAACACTGTGTCTAATAGAATAGATGTCTACAGTTGTGTGTTCTACTACAGAACTTCAATGTCTGTGGAATTTCATTCCACAGTAAAAGGAACAGTATGCTATCAGTCACCTGACCAAAATGAGATAAGTGAAATGCCAAAGACAAAGAGCTTGAAGGACAGACCAGCAATAGCAATGGACAACGCAATCATACAAGACTAGGTAAATATCATAGTGCACCATGGCACAGGCTTTGTCTGCACTGGTTGACTAAGCCTGGTCAAGGCAAAGGCTTGAGCTCTGGAATGAGATCACAGGCTCCACTCAGTTGTCAAACCCTTTAGTACCTCTTTTATCCATGTCAGTGAGCAAGTCAAGGATAGTTTTCACACATGGTGTGGAAAAGGTCACCTCCTACTACAAGAGAAAAGAGGCTGTATACATTGATGTCCCATGACTACTCCATGTCATTTGCCCTTATGACCAGAAATCAGCCTTATCACAGTTTATTTCCAAGAATGGATGTAGGCACAGATCAGCCACTATAAATGATTGCTTCCTGAACAATATACAAGACCTAGTACAAGTTGAAACAAAAAATGACATAAGTTTACTACAATCATATTTTGAGGGCATACGTGAGAATAATGGAACTGGCAAAAAATAGGCCCAGGAAGCTGTAAAACAGGTCAAACATTTGCAGTGACAAAGGATCTGTTAAAAGAATCATTTAAAAACTCAAAAATGAACTTAGGCCTTTTGAAAATCAAGCTACACTATAAAGGCGGGGTTATTGTAGCCTCAATCTTCTGAAAAGGTAAATGAGGCAAGACAGGTATAGAAAAATGATAACTTCAAGATTATTTCCAACTAAATATATTGGTTTAATAAGATATAATTACTTTCTTTACAAGCCTTGCATAACCTACAGTCCTACCAATTTGCTTTCTTATATTAAAATCTATAAGGAAATTTAAAATGAAATTGCTGAACAAGTAATTGCAGCAAAAAATCAAAGGCTTTAGTATCGTAATGGGTTTACATGTTAAGCTTTTGGTAGTGGGGGGCTGTAGAGCTGGTCTCTGTGAGAAGAGTCCAGCAGCTGCCCCTTACTAGATAAGGGCCCGTTTCAGCCAGCTCCAAAGGGACTACCACTGGCCAGAGCTGAGCCAGTGAGTGATGGTGTTTGCACCTCTGGGAGAACAGACTTAAGAAATGGAAAAAAAAAAACGCTGTGCAACAGCAGCTGGGAGAGTGAGAAACTGCCATGAAGGTCAAGTGGAGTAGGGGCAGAGAGTGACCGTGAAAGAGTGGCAGAGTTGAAGTGTCAGGGACTGACTGCAGCCCCCATTCCCCTGAGCCGCTCAGGGGGAGGACGTAGAAGAGGGTGGATGGTGGGAAGGTGTTTTCGGTTTGCTTTTTATTTCTCCCTGCTCTAGCCTGTTAGTAATAGGTAATAAATTTCATTAATCTCCTTATGCTGAGTCTGTTTTGCCCATGGCAATAATTGTTGAGTGATCTCCCTGTCCTTATCTCATCCCTTGAGGCATTTTCATCATATTTTCTTCCCCTTTCCCTTTGAGGAGGGGGAAAAAGAGATCAGTTGTGGTGGGGCTCATCTACCCAGCTGAGTAAAACCTCCAGAAGTAGGTCTCAGTATCAGAGAAAAAGAAGCACCAAATGAAAGTTTTTGAGAAGCACTCAGAGGTGAATCCAGGGAACTACTGACCAATCTGTCTAGATTTTGTACTGGATACCTGATATAAACCATGATATAAAATAGAAATAGTAGACAGAAATCATCTGGGAGGAGTTAACATGGTTTTTGTAGAGATGTTTCACAAAACTAGAAGAGCTCTTGGAAGAACTCCAGGAGCAAACAAACACAAGGTTATGCAGTTAGTATATTAGATTTCTAAAAAGCATCACAAAGGCCCTCAAAAATGCTGTTGCAAGAAACTAAGGGATAAAAGAAAGGCTCCCACATGGATTAAAGTCAAACAAAGACAGAAAACAAGTGAGATAAATTAATGGTTAGTTTTCATTTTGGAGAAAAGCTTTAAGTGAGTTCTTCCAGGAATTTATAATCTTCAGCATAATTATAAATGATCTGTAAGACAGGGTTACTGAAAGGTTTACTGAAAGCTTTATCTAGGGTACTCAAATATAATGATGATAGAGAAACTGAGTTACTAGGTATAAAAAGGGTATGAAATTCAGTGTTAATAAATGCATAGTAATTAATGTGACAGAAAAATAATTCTAACTTTACAAGATCAAAGAACATGTAAGAGCAGAGTAATAATAGTAATGAGAGAGTCCAATTATCATTGACTGGTTAAATAACATGTTTTTTGAATACCATACTCAGTTCTTGTCATCTCATCTCTGACAGAATATTGTAAAATACTCTGTAGAAACAGAAAAGGTGCAGAAGGGCAAGTAGTGTTATCAGGAATATGGGTTTAATATGAAGAAAGAATTACTCTGTAATTCTTTGGCTCGGAAAAAAAAAAGTGAAAGGTGATAAGACAGAAGGTTATACCATCACAAACAGGAGTGAGATAGTAAATAAGGAATGATCATTCACTGATTCTTATAGAACAAGAACAAAGGAACAATTTACCATGCAACTGGCACAAAATGAATCAAAAAGAACAAAAAAAAAAAAAAAAAAGAGGTTGTTGTTTTGTTTAAATGTTTTTATTTATAAAGAAATTGATGAAAGCTTTATGAATAGACATTATGAAGCCAAAAATTAAGTGGTTTTACAAAGTGGTTAGCTCAATCTCTAAAGGCCAGAGCCATAAGTACATACTATCTTCAACAGCTTAGATGTAACCTCCATCTCAAGAAGGTTCTGGGCCAGACAACAGGTAAAGATATCATTTAAGGATTTAATGATTTTCTGTATACTTTTCTGTGGCTACTATACCCTTGTGTTAAGCATCCACTGTAAACTATTGGCAAAGACAGACTACAGCAAGATGTAATGACTGTTTAGACCCAGTGTGTTCATCATTTGTTCCTATACTACAACCTTTGCTCCATGTAGAAGGAAAGAACCGAGTGTCTTTAGATGCTGAAACAGCATCATGAATCCATCATGAATCTCCAACGAGTCTTGGCCCTGGGCAAACTGATCTAGTGGGTGGCATCCCCGCCTATGGCAGGGGGGTTGGAACTAGGTGATCCTTAAGGTCCTTCCCAACCTGAGCCATTCTCGGATTCTATGATTCTGTGAATGAAATAAATTTGAAAATTTATTGATGTTCATCAACATCCAATGGACTTCTGAATGCAGAAGAAAGACAAACAGGTTAGAAGTACACTGCGGCAGATGCAGAAAGTACTCAGCTCAAAAAGTGCACATTACGGACGTAAAGCTGGAACATTTGTAAAAAGAACAATAGGAAGTAGTCAGCCAATTATTTCAGATAGTTTTACACCTACTTTTTTAAACAAAAAAAAATTTAGCCTTCAACAATGAGGACTGTACATTCCTCTATCAAAAAACTGTATAGGACACAAAGCTTTTGACCTAAACATGTCTCATGGGTAGCAAGTGTGCAGAGTTTGGGTCCACCCACTTAACCCCACGGTGAAGCATCCACAGTGTAATATGAGCAGAAGTTATGATTGAGGTTGGAGAATACCAAATCCTGCCAGCAACTAAGAAGGAGGTAAAAAGGGCCAAAAACATCACTGAAATCATTGTGCTAGATGTTCTCCAGTTACAGAACGTGACTCTGAAGATTTCTTTTCATGGAAATTTCCACTCTGTAGTGAGAACAGAGGGAGCATGTGGTGAGTGAGGAGAAGAGGAAGAGACTGCTCGTGGGAATTGTATAGGAATAAGACTGTGTGTACAAATGTGTTTGACAGTGTATGAATAAGAAACTATACAAGGATTGGTGGGATGGGTTGGATTTGTTTCCCATTACCCTGTAGAAATACAGGTTTCTCAGAAATTCTCTAGCTATTGTTCTTTGAGGCCATGAAGGGCTTTCCAGTGTAGTTTCCTTTTCTAGTAAACCATTCACCCTCATTTTCCTTCCTTACATAAAAGGCAACACCCAGACTAGCAGAAACAGAACAGACTAGTTCAGCATGGACCTTAGTTAGAACTATTGAGGTCACAATATACTTACTACCCTAATCTCATGCAAATACATGCGATTTGTAATACATTTCCAAGTAATACAAGTAATACATTTTCAGTTGACAAAGATTCTGAAAAAAAGGAATAATAAACTAATTACTTGAAAGCAACAAAGAGAAAATTGCCTGCTGTTAAAACACAGGCAGAATCTTTGATGCTTGAGCATACAGTAAGGAAAGGATGGCAATGATTTCGTGACTATATATTCAGTGTAAATAGTCAAAGAGTTGTAAAAGGTGATTTACAGTATTAATTGAGATGCTTACCTCTCCTTCTTTGGCTATATAAGAAACGTAAGTGAATTGCCTCTCAGATATACAGGGTGAGGAGCCCCTCTGGAACTTCTTAGTGGGAAACCCTGAACAGAGAAGCATGTTGTAATTGGCTCCTGAGTCATCAGAATGGTGATTCCTCTCCCTCATATCAGTACCTAGCATCACAGAAGGCAGCAGCAGCCTCCCATTGCACAGTAACTTTGTGGCCTCAGCTACTGATCAGGAAGTTTAAGACTGAGGACTCGCAACAGCTCCTAAACCACCAGGCAGCAGGATTGCAAAATGCTTTTTATCACTCTCACTGCAGCTAGGCCTTGTGCAGAAAGGAAATGTAAGATTCATATGATCAACAGCTAAAGTTTATGGAAGCTCTAATTCTGTAACCCAGTAATAAATGAACTCCCCTAGCACAGGGTAGCCATAGGTTCTGCTTCCGTTGGCTGTTACATATTTAATTTAATGGTGCTTAGGTGGATATTGCACGAAGAGTTCCTAAAGCAGAAATCCATTCTGTTCTAAATTAATCTTTATAGTTGCTGATGAAAAATACTGTTCAGCTCCCCTAGCCTGAAAATGGCATGTTACTCTACAAGTTCCAAGCTCCTGTAGTAATCTTCAGATCATAAATGTTGCTCTGTGGGGTCATGTTCTTGAATCTATAAATGTCCTTGTGTTTATAAATCCTGCCTCCAAGAGCAGCCTCTGGGAATGCCCAATGAAGTGCATAAGGACAGAAAGAACAGATAGCATTCAGAGTACTGATCACAGTGTAAATGAACTTCATCCAAAAGGTCTGAGCAGCGCAGAAGTTCTCCCACTGTCTATTGTTCTTGGTTATTAAAACCACAGCCATTCAAGGCCCAGCAAGGGGATGCATATCTGAGATCCAAACCCAGATACCAAACCTGCACAGAACATCTCTTTTTAGTGCCCTCCTATATAAAGCACAGTCATACGGCTTAGAAGAAATTGGTTTTGCTACTCATAAAAGGCCAAAGAGACTACCAAAAAAAATGAACACCCCTTAGGGTGCTCCTCAGTATTCTCTATCAGAGGCTGCAACTGTCTGCCTTCTGCCGTTAAGAATATCAAATTGAATTTGTGCATCTTTCAGATTTAGAATAGTATTTGTAAAGGTTTAAATTATGAAAAAATAATGCATTTCTCTGCAATTTCTGATCAGCATTGATCCATTAAACCAGCAGGAGGAATCAGCTGGCACAAAGAACCACCTCTCATTAGCTCTGTCAAATAACATAGCAAGGTCAGGAGGAAAACATCCTACCTCACAGGGGACATATCTGAACCAACAGAATTTTTGAAGGCCTGTTCAGATGAGCTAATAGTAATGATATTGTAAGCACAACATTCTTAAGGTATGAAAGGAAAAAAATAGTAGGAAGTAATACAGTTTTTTATTAGTTCAAGTTATATATTTGAGAAACAGATATATTTTTTGGAATGCAAGCCCACGTTAGTTCTGAAACTAAAGCCTTTTACCTATCACAGAGTGGCACTTCTGTGCCCCTATCATGCAACACTTACTGGAGAAAAAAAAAAGAAAAAAGAAGAAGAAAAAAAAAAGTCTCCTTTTTCTCAGTACGGTTTATTAGAAAAAAAAAAAAAGACATCACATAGTTAAGATTAATTATATCATGCATAAACAACAAATAAACTTACAAGAAAATAATACGTGTATAGTACTTTAACATTTAAAAATTGAAAAGCTGAATCAGACTCAAGCTTACAACTTTTCTCCACTGTCATTCTCTGTTATTGACTCACTCCCTTCCTTGCATTGTATTGTAGCATCCTGGGGTTTTCTCAAGTAATATATCTTCCCCATGATTCTCTAGAGCCATTTTAATGTATCTCAATAATGTCTCCTTCTTATTCTTAGAATACACTGCAATACATTGCACCTTAGCTTTAAGATAGTTTTCCTGGACTTCAACAATTTTTTCTCATTTTTTACTTACGCTTCTATTACTGTCCGTTGTTTTTTCATCTTGGATAATACTTATTCCATGCCACCAGTGGAAAGGTAGAGATAATGAAAGTTCCTTGATGACTTTTAGATCTATTTCACACAAAAGATAACAACATTGCTCGAAAGAATATAAGTTTTCTTTACAAAGTTTCCAGACCAATCTTAAGCTAATAGCATTTCATGCTGTAAAGTCTGCATTTCTTGCCATGAGTTTTGCTCCAGGTAATCTGGTATTATGGTAAAATGATTGTGACCTGTCACAGGACCAGGAGGAGGCTAATGTATTCATTGTGTATAAGCCAAAAAGTTCAAAAAACACCAACTATCTCAAAATGCAAATATCTGGGTTGTTTTTTGTGCCAAAACTGTGATGGACATTGAGAATGAGATCAAGCTGAAATTCACTGAAATGAATGAAAGTTATTTCCAACACATTGGATTGGAGGCTGGAAGAAATAATTGCTGTGTATTTGCTCCTAGCTTGGAGGGTTCCTTTTTATCAGATAGTTGCAATCTCTTTTAGTTGCATGTAGCCTTGGTATTTATTGATATTTGCTCCTTTAACAGATTTCTCTGATCCTCAGAGATTGTTGCCAGGAAAAGTAATCATCTGATTTCAGGCTTTTGAAAAGCTGAATAGCCTGCATTTTTGATACATCTTCCTTCTTGCCAGTGTTGGATTCATCACCAGATAGAGGTTTCCCGGGTGCTGTCCTGGCTTCATCAGTTTTCTTGACTTGGGGGTCTTCCTGGCTCATATGCACCTTCTCGCTGGATTTCAGGCTGTGGAAGCAATAGTCACCAACCTGGCAAAGGAAAACTGGCTCAGTGCTGTCAGGGTTTAACACCACCAAATTACCCTCCGACAAAGGCAGCTCATTAGGAAGAGTGCTTCCCTTCTGTAGGACAGGCAAAGAAATCTTTATGGGTTCTGAAGGTCCATGGGGACCTGAAGGGACAACAAGGTAGTCCCCAAATGCATTCGGGTGAGATTCAGGAAAAAAGACTGGGGCTTGACCTGAAACTGGGACCATGACACCAGATTTCCCAGGAGCAAACTCATGGCAAGAGCGGTCACTGGGGAGCTGGGGCTCCTGTGGGTCACAAGGCAACTTCCCAGCAGTGGCAAGTGGCAGCTGTGTGGAGTCACTGGCTGATGGCAGTAAGAGGCTGTCTGTAGCGATATACTCTGAGGGGCACTGCTGAAGGGATGTGGCACAGCCAAGAGCCTTTGGAGCTTTCTTCTCTTCTGGTTTCACATTCGTGCCTTGCCCACTGGCTGGGGGGAGTGGTGAGACTTCTTTCTTATCGTTGAGGTGCTGCATCGTTTCCTTCTGATCTGGGAGCTGGAAAGGCTGCTGAGGACCTGCTCCTGGCTGCTCTTGTCTTCGTGGAGCCTGGGGACAGACTTCATTTGGGAGGGTCACATACTGTAGCGACACTGATTTCTCTTGGTTTCCCACTGGATTCAGGGTCACATCCAGGGGCCGATGAATCTCAGGCTGGGAGGACATCACTGGGCTGTACAAGTATGGACCATTGAAAGCGAAGGAAGTGACTGCTGCCTGGGAAGCAGTACGTGCATCAGCACTGTTTCTCCTTGAAACAGGAAAGGAACGACCGGCAGTCCGATTTAGGCAGACAACTGGGGCACGCTCTGTCACATTTAAAGCATGGTATTGGTTCTGTACGTCCAGTGCAGTAGGTGAAACTTCTGTCTTTCCAGCCTGCCCCTCAGGAGACTCTGCCGAAGTCTTCATCTGCCTGAATGGGAGAGTTAAAAGTTTCTCATGAGAGATATTCCTGTGGTAAACATTAAATATAAACACAAGCTTAGTCAAAATTTTAAGTAGCTACACATATGGTTAGAATAATCTTTCTTGGTTGACTTGGCTTCTATCTTGACTAAACTAGATAGCAAAAAATGGTATCCCAAGCTCAAAAGCAACTGGCACAGGCTTTTTGATGACAGAACACTTAATTATATCTTCCCATGAATTAGAGAGCTCTTTGAGAGTCTCATTCACAGTGTCACTATAATGTGCTGTTCATTCACCTGTCCACAACTTGAAGGAAGCTAGGCTGATCCATCTTCTCTGCAAGGTTGTATTTGAAGTCCAGCTGGCTGTTTGTCACCCAGTTTCCTAGATTCACTTTCTGAAAAAAAGGAGAAAGCAGACATGAGGAAAAAGAAGTGTCTCACCAGCAGCTGAGTCAAGAAACATACAGTTCTCATGGACAACAAAAACAAGTAGCAGAGCCTACAGCATCTGGCAAGATGCTGTAATATGACTAGCAGGTGCTTTCTGTTTTCCAGAAGAATGTTGCTTAAAACCCACTTTGAAGGCCTTGCCACTGACTTAACTTTACATAGCTTAGGGGTATGAAGCTGTTCCCTTAAAGAACTCATAGAATGTCGCAGTTTCTCTCCACAATAAACATCAAAGCTATTGCTTTGCATAGTGTCTGCTCTACAGCATCATATGTGACACTCTGGGCAATATTTCACCTATACGGGTTTAGTGTCTGTCATCTGTATTAGCTGACCAGAGAAACAGAATAATTGAGATGTTTGCAAAATTTAGGATAAGGTGATTCAGTGCAGGGATGAAAAGTTTCAAAACTGTGAAACTAAGGCAGTGAGTGCTTGTAGATCAAGAAACAGGTAAGAAATAGAAGAAAAAACTATTTAGGTGCTTCATAGAGTGGGGGAAAAAAATCCATTTCTATTGAATTATCAGGCAAAAGAAATTAACACGAGACTTCAGCATAAACATATCCATTTTATCTGGATATATAAAAAGCATACACAGGAGCATCCACGTCAATTTTTTTCCCATCTGTTTGAAAATGATGTGTTGAACCATTATACTGCAATGATGTATTAGACCACTGCAATGTCTAATTCCATTTTATAGCAAAATAACAAATGTGCAATGTTTAACAAACACATGACTACTACTAATGATGTATGATCACACATGTTAAATAGGGTCTGAACTTCTCCTAAATAATGAAGAGACTAATCAAAGTATTTGTTCATTATAAGTGAGGAGACAAAGAAGAGCTCTTAAGATTACTGGGAGTCATGAATAAAAGAGAGAAATAGCAAACCTTTAAAGGTACGGGTCCCTCTTACCTCCAAGTAGCTCTGGATCAGCAGACTCTTGCTGGGGTTTGGAATCTTTTCCTCCCACAGTTTCTTCTGCCTGCAAGAAAAACAACAACACAGGTTTTCTCAATGTGACTGCAATGGGAAGAAACTGTGCCCCGTACAGCATGCTGCTCTGTTCAGCAAGGCACCACCAAGGGTCTGTGTATTCGGTTTGCATGGCAAGGTTTTGGCAGTGGGAGGCTGCAGGGGCTGGCCTCTCTGAGCAGAGCGGAGTGAGAAGCAGCCCTGCAGCCCCCAAGGTCATGCAGCAGGAGGGCAAGAGGTGCTCCAGGCACACAGCAGCAGTTCCCCCGCAGCCTGTGGAGAGGCCCCCGGTGGAGCAGGCTGTCCCCCTGCAGCCCATGGGTCCCCCATGGAGCAGATCTCCACGCTGCGGCCCGTGGAGGAGCTCCTAGTGGAGCAGGTGGATGTAGCCTGGAGGAGGCTGCGGCCCATGGAGAGCCCCCGCAGGAGCAGGCCCCGGGCCGGAGCCGCAGCCCGTGGAGAGGAGCCCACGCAGGAGCAGGGCCTGGGGGAGCTGCCGCCCACCCATGGAGGAGCAGCTTGCTCCTGGGGGATGGATGGACCCCGTGGTACGGAGTGGTACGGAGCCATGTGGGAGCAGTGCTTGAAGAGCTGCTGCCTGTGGGCAGCCCCCGCAGGCTCAGTTAGGGCCGCATCCCGTGGGAGGGACCCCATGGGGAACAGGGGCAGAGAGGGACCATGAAGGAGCAGCAGAGACAGTGTCAGGGACTGACCGCAGCCCTCAATCCCCATTCCTCTGCAACCCTCAGTGGGGAGGAGATGGAAAAGGGTGAATGGGGGGAAGGTGGTTTTAGTTATATATATATATATATTTAGTTTCTCACTGCTCTTGCTTGTTAGCAATAGGTAATAAATTTCATTAATCTCATTGTGCTGAGTCTGTTTTGCTCATGACAATTGTTGAGCAATCTCCCTGTCCTTATCTCAACCGTTGATGCATTTTCATCGTATTTTCTCCCCCTTTCCCTTTGAGGAGGGGGAGTGAGAGAGTGGTTGTGGTGGAGCTCAGCTGCCCAGCTGGGTAAAACCACCACACTCTGGCAGGCCACCACCCAATTCTCACCTGCACACAGACACTCATCAGGCTGCCCATTGCACACCAAGGCTCACCTCCACACAAACCACTCTCATGTCGCACAAGCAATGCCTCACAACTTTATTCCACTCACATGGCCAACACGCTGCTAAATCTCCTCCTCACGATGCAAACCTACCTGAGGAAATACTTATAGCTGAAGGAAGCAATGATTAGCAAAGTGATGATGAGAACTGGCAGCATCACTGGTAGAAGCACTGGTGACATAACTGAAAGAGAGGAAAGAGAAATAGGGAGCCACCAACAGAGGGGCTGCTTCCCATAACAGGTTTTGCATTTTGGTCAGTCTCCACACAAACACATCAGAGAAATGCAAGTGGCACAGCACAGGATGCAAACAGGCCTTTTAACTGTTGGGATCCCCTCACAGGTGGGAGAGACCAAATGTGGCCTGAACACCTTACTGATGACCACAGAAGTTCATTGTTTCCTTATTGATTCTATTTTATTTGTTACTGACATCTGAGAAAACAATTTATGCTAATAAAAAGCTAGTTAGGTACCTTACTGCACTATGAACAGTAGGCAGATCTTCAGACATCTTAGGTCTGCCTTATTGTGTTCAGTGCTGGAGAGATGGGAGTCTCAGATTCTCCTGAGCTTCCTCTGCTAATAGCTATAGCTGAACATCAACAAGACACCAATTTCTTCAAAAGTAGTAGACTTTGCCCCAGCTGCTTTCTTACTACTTCAAGCTTCATCAGGACAAAATACATAAGATCCTATAACTTGGGCACAAGACCATTCTGATAGCAGCCATCCTGCTTTTAAGTTGACAAACTACAAAAAACATGTTAAGGTCTGTATCTCCAGCACACTGTACTAGGTGTTTTACACAACCCCATATTCACTCTGTAAATAGAAAAGGCTGATGATTTTCGTCCCTCTGTCTTCTTGCAATTGCAGGCTCTTCAGTCCCTGATAGCAGAATGGACTATTGCAATCAAGAAACAAGGATGATCTTTTGTGCAGGATCTTTATTTGATTCTCAGTCTGGAAAACGTTACAGCTGGCTGTATTGGTTTTGTGAAGAGAAGTAGGAAAGATGATTACAAGGTCAATTCTGCTCACTGTGTTCATTAGCATTGCTGCTGTTCTGTAAGGCTGCACGCAGGAAAGCTATCTCGTTTAGCAAGCATACCTATTTCATGGCTGGGTCTAACTTCAACATCCACTGAGAGAATCATATATTTCTATAGAGACATTTCATCAACTATGAGTGCAGAAAACCTTACAAAACCAGGGCATATGAGAAGTACCATTCGCAGTTTCCCAACTGAACTCCTCACTCCATTCACTCCAACTGCTCTGGTAGTCTGCACTATTCACCATTGCACGCATTTTTCCCCTATATTTTGTAGATGGTGACAGCATCTGCAGGGTGAAGATGAAGGGAGGTTCATCATTGCTGATATTTAATGTCTGCAAGGTCTGGGGAGAAGAAAGAAACACAAATGACAGAGGTGAGAGGAACTGTCATTACCATTCATCCAGCAAGGAGAAATCCAGGACTACTGCACTTCCTGTGACTTACCTCATTATACTGGTTGTGTTTCCAGTACTGGACTTGGTATTTCTGTTTTATGAAGTTGTACTGAAAAGTGTGTTTTTTCCACCTTAGTTCATACTCGTGGTCCTCTGTCGCTTTCACAGACACATTTGTAGGTGGTAAGACCTTAACTGTAACACAGAAGAGATCTCAGAATACAAATCAACATCTAGATCCTGCACTCCCTTTCACCATTGTGAGTAGTATGCAGAGACTGAAAACCAGGTTGTGTCGTGGAATGCAATAAGTCTCAGCTTTCTAACACTTCTTAATTCCCCATAACTCCATTTTTAAGCCAAATATCATAAACCAGTGCATCCATTAAATAACAGAAGATCCATATCCATTAATGCTGACAGTAATCTCTAAATGTAGAAAAGCAGTGAAATGATATTTCAAAAGTCCATACTCATCCACCGTGTTCCCAGAGATTTTCAGCTCTCTTGGAGCTATTAACTGCTATCTTCAAACACTGCAGGGGCTCCCCCCAGTTCTGGTCTGTAAAGAACAGCACTGGTACCTCCAGATGCATGCAGGCAGAGATGATCACCTGGCACACCTCACTCAGCAGAGCAGCCCTACCTCATCCGGTGCTCCCGGGGACACTGCACCCCAGGAGCTCCACCAGCTTCTTGCAAAATCACACAGTGACACACTTCCACAAAACACCTCTCACTACAGCTCCCTCACACCTGGGACAATGGCAAAGGACAATGACATTGTGATTACAGGGAACTCAGTGTGGCAACGATTGTTCCCAGAAGAGCTCTGGGATTTCTGCACAGCAGTTTCTACTATCGCCACCGTCCTGAGAGCAGCAAGTGACACTGAGAAACTGCACACCTGCAAGCCACATCTCCCAGACCTTCTCTTCACCAGCTCAGCTCTTCTCCTTTCCTCACCACCACTTGCCCACACAGCCACCCCTCCCAGAAAACTCCCAGCAGAAGCAAGACACAACACAGCAGCTCACTGTTCTTGTAGGCTTCAATCAGTTTCTCCTCCGTCTTGGTCCGGACAGACACATGGTACCGGCTCTGACTGCTGATGTTGCTAACAGGGATCGCACAGCTCTGCACCACATAGGGGATGTGGGGAAAGGTCTTCTCGTACACGGGAGAGCACTCCTCTTCCCTGGGGGGAGAAAGGAGGCTGTGCTGAGATCAGTGAGAACGGGACAGAGCAGAAGCTCAATGGGAGAGGCATGGGCACTCTGCCATTGGCAGATCACATACGCGGATGCTGGAGTGGCCCTGAAGAACAAGCCAAAGATGACAGAGGTGGTGATCACTTTCTTCACTTCCCAGCTGCACGTCAGATTTACACCATTGAAGAGGCAGCGAAGGTTCCTGGGCTGAATGGGTTCCTGACCTACACAGAAGATCAGAGTAAGCTAAGTGACAGAAAAAGCGCAGTGACAGCCTTTGTCTGGGTCTGCGTGAACAAGGTCAGTCCAATGGGATGGAAATGCCAAACACTCTGGAAGAGGCCAAGATGGAGACTCGCTCTTATTTCCTTTTCAAAATTCTCCACAGTCTTCTGGAATAATACATGTATACATGTCCATCCAAGTAGAAACAGGACTGACACAACAGGAGACTATCAGGGGATATCTCCACAAACCAAAATACAAACCCAAAACACAATCAGTCCCCACAGAGAGCAGTAGACCCATGGAGGGGCACGGCCATTTCATTATCGCTAGGCAGAACCAATTGAAACAAATTTTGAGGCTTCCTGAAAGAAAGCAATGACTAGAAGGGACCACCCCTGTGACTTCTGGTGCCATTCCTATTCCTTGTAAGTAAGGTTAAACAAAGAACAGTCACAGAATGACAGAATACTCAAGTTTGAAGGGACCCACAAAGACCACAAGGCCCAACAAAAAGTCTCCTTTGCTGCTTACATGAATCATTTCACTGTTGCCAAGCTGACTTGAAGTGAACAAATTAAATGGACTGTAATGGGGGAAAAGATAAAACAAAGTACCATCTGCATCCTTCTCAGCAGATGCCTCAGTTCTCCTGGGCCCATACGCTCTTCCAGCATTGTGCAAAACTACGTTCCCCAGCCCTGGCTTCTCTGCCAGCCCTCCCATCCTTGCATGGTCCCACTCCACGCTACCTTCAGGAGTCTCCCAGGACACATCCGTGCTCCACTCGCTGAATGTCCCAGAGAAGCCTTTGGCCTGCTGCACTCTGGCTCGCACACGGGCAACATATCGGCTCCCCATCATGAGGTGGCTGAGGTGGCAACGTGTGGTGTTGGAGAGCAAGCGCAGTGCATCCTTCTGTTAGCAGGGAGGACAAATGGGGAACAGAGAAGAGGTGGAGGGAAGGCAGGGAAAGAGCGTGAGGCAGCTCCGGCCCAGCAGATGGACCAGCTCCTGCAGCTTGCAGAGCTTTGACTGACTCCAGCACCAGCTGCACAAGAGTCACAGCACTGCCCAGCTCAGAACTGTGTGGAGTCTGCCCAAGACACTTGTCGTGGTTTCAAATGTATTTTGCCTTTCTCCCACATGAGCCCTTCCATGGGCTACGCATGAAACACGCTTTACTTTCATTTGGGAGGGGTTCAGGGTAAAATAAATTCCAACTCATTTGCACAGCTTTTACCACAAGCCCTCAACTGCCCTGAAGGGTGCCACCCAAGTCAGGACAGCCCAGCTCATCTGCTCTTACCTCCCAGGACTCCCAGTCCCGCTTGTAAGTGACTTCATACTCCAGTGCATTGCCCAGCCATTGGCTTCCTTCAGCTGCTGTCCAGGTCAGGAAGAAGTCTCCTGAACTCTCTTGAACTTCAAGGTTTTGCGGCGGAAGGGGCTGAACTGGAAGGTGAAAGTGCAACATGTGAATTGAGACAGGGACATGAAGGGAGGAAGAAAACATCTAGATAAGCTTCCCCATTTTCACAGTATCTTATCATATTTTACAGCAAGTAGTTGCTTGTTGAGAGCCCCTTCCATGTCTGGCTGCTCCCAGAGTCTTGCCCTTTCCCCTCCCTGCCACATCCTCTCAATGTAGAACTGTTTGGCCGTTTTCACAGTCTAATTGCAATTCACTTCCTGACTGATCTGCAAAAACGTTCTCAAAGATCTCAAATATTCATTGGAAAATAGAACTTGGCATTAATTCCTTACCATTTTGGAAAAGATTAACATTTAGTTGTGTTTCAAGAGTCTTGTTATGTTTGAAGCTGTAAATATGGTTTATCCCTATTCCAAAATATTCTATATTTTTCCGACAAACCCAGAAGATGTAGGGGTCTGAAGTCTCAGGTAAGGCACGTTCTGGATCACGTACGCAAGGCATCTTGTTCTCACTGTGTAAAGAGGAAGTGATCTATGAAGATCTGATTTGGAAACATATTATTCATGCAAAATTAAATGTCTGAAACCAATTCCATCCCATTCTGTTGTTCTAATTTACTTAGACACTTATATCCTCATTATCACTGTATCTATTATTCTTGTTTTGCATCAATTAATATGACTAACATTTTTAACACCAGGATTTTTCTCAAATGCCTTCACATTTCAAAATATGTAGTAAAATCGTATATTTTGGTATGGGTCTACTTTTGTGGGGTTTTTAGCCTAACTCTTAATAATCTCATATTTTTACGTGAGAAATAATATGATGAAAAATAGTATCATGAAAATGCATTTTTACTTAGAATGAAATGTAATAAAGTTTCCAAAGATCCTTAGCTCCTTGAAGAAATTCATTCTGCAGTCCTTGAAAGACACATAATTTTTTTTCTACAACCAAAATGTACTTCTATATCCTGTTCAGTTTTGTCAAGGGACCTTATGCATTCGTTACAGATTTCATCCCGAATATTAGGTGTCAATTTAGATAGCCTTTTTTCAGGACAAGGAGCATCATAAAGATTAAAAACAATACTTTAAACTAGTCAGAAGAGGATAAGCTTTGTGTGCTTGCAATAAGCTGAGCTGCTGGAGAGATGTGTTGCTTCTCTTCATACCCTCTGGAATTTTGCTTGAGCCTATGGCTTCATATGCAGTATATTACATTGTTCCCATTCAGATGAGAAATATTGTGTATAACTGAGCTCAAATACTGTTTTGAAGGATAGGATGGAATCTCCTACACAACTATATGCCAACAAGGATTATCCAACAGTATTGATATCTTGAAAAGTTGGGTATTGGCAAGGAAACTAGGGATATTCCTGAAGTATGGATGGGATCAACCATACATGTCTGTCCCCTTAAACAAGAAAGTCAGCCCAAGGGATGTGAAGCCTTGATGATATTTCTATCTGCCCATCAGCACCAGCTTATAGTTTGAGATTTAGTCAACTACTGTTCATCTGTGAGTTGACCGTGTTTAATCATTGGCCGTTTTGATTTCAGCTGTCCACAATTAATAGCTGCTTATCTGATTAGTTCACTTCAGTCATGTTTCCTGTATGATCCACACAAAACATTCTATCATATAAGCATTACAGAGCATTTCCCAAAGGTACAAGAATGTTATATCATCTTTTTCTTTCAGAAATATTAGCTTCAAGGTCCTGTTCCAAAGCCTTCAACTGATTTCAGCTCTTTTAGGTATATGAATTCTCTCTTACTTACAACAAAATCAAGAGTTCTTTCCTTCCCATTTCCCTCCTGTATCCACAGATGCTAATTCATTTTCTTCTCAGCTTTCCATCTCTATCTTCCTCTCTTCCTTGACTATTCCTCCCTCTCTGTCCTTTCTTATCCTCACAATGGATTGAGTCTGGTGATTCAGTTCCCTTTTCATAAGGAAACAGATGTAGTAGAGAGATACTGTTATAAACAGACCAGTATCTCTGGGAGGAAGATTGATAGCACAGATGAACTTATCAGTTTTTGCTGTCTCACAAACACAGTCTATTCAAGTTCTTCAGAACTGATCAAAAATATACTCGGTGATGCTCCTAAGTAGGCAAAGCAACTGGGGAAATGTCTCCTCCCTGCTAGTTTCATGAACAACCCTCAAGCCCACTCTTGTTCTGATACGACCTTCCCCACCCCATGAATAGCAACATATACACCCCATCATATTTTCTATCCATGTTCCACAACAAAATAATGGAGAAATAATTGAAAATATGATAAAAATTGCTCTCCTATCACAACCTAATAATTTCTTCTCTTTTAGAAGACAACAGCAAGCACGACTTTTACTTCAACTCAATGACAGGAAGAGGTGAGGCCACTTTCCAAAAATCTGACTGCCAACCCCTGGGATTCCAAGTTGTGTCCGAGTTCTCACTGGACTTTTATCCAGCACAGTACATTTCAGGTACTTACTTCTGAATGCCATCATTTTGGTAAAGAGTTATACGAAGGAGGTCATGAGCCTCTTTATGCTCTTTCCATTTGCACGTCATGTGTGAGCTGTAGTCATTGTCGCAGCTCAAGCTCTTCATTGAGACACTACCTGAGAAAGGAATCCAGGAAAAAAAAATACCACTGATTACAAATAGAAATAGTGAGAGAAAGCAGGAAGTACCAGCAGTTCCACAGGAAGATCCAGTCTTTCGGATGTTGCTGTTGGTAGCCCATGCACCCACACCCTGTTCCTGCCCACTTGTGTCTATTCTCATTCTCTACCATCTGAACTATGTACCCTTATGTCACGGTCTAGTCCTCCTTCTTATTCACTCATTAAGCAACAAACTTGTTCATTTTCTCTGTTTGTTCAGCATTTCACCTGTTCATATCTCCAGCCACAATATAACCTATCTGTCTGCAGACTGTCTGCATTTGAGCAAGACACCTGTTCTCCTACAGCACACAAGACAGTAGCAGAAGCAAGTAGAAAATGAGGAACACTTTCAGCTGAAAGGAGACAGATATAAAAAGAGAGGGAATAAAAGCAGAATAAAAGAAAATATAAATTTGAAACTCACCAGTAACGGCTTGGTCACTGAAGACCAAAGACAGATTCAGCAAAATGATGAAAATCTCTTTCATGTTCATAATGTTCTTTGCACATAAGTTTGATCCTAATTCAGAATATAAGTGATTTAATTGCAAACTCTCTTTTTCAGCTTATTGTGGAGCTTCTCATTTTCATTTCATGTAAAGAGAAGTAAAACTGAATTAGGGAACTTTAGTCATTACGCTGTGCTGAAGTGACATTCAGAAAGAACTACAACACAGTTATTGTGAAAAAAAAAAAATCAGAAGGAGCTTTTTAAAGTCTTTACTTTAGGACAAAAACCTTGTCTTATTTTGTGAACCTGAAAAATGACCAGAGAATGAAATGGTAAATGTGCATTTCCAAGGAAGTGCAGGGATTCTTTCAGCTAAGACTATTAGCCAGAAACAGTCCTAATCTGTGAAAAGAACTCAGCCTTCAAATTCATTCATCCTGCTCTTCATGCTTAGAGCCTTCATAATGAACCCCAATGTTGCTCTGCTTTCTTACTTTTCTTTAAAAAAAAAAAAACATTTTCCAACTGCATACCACATATAGGAGTTGAAATTCCATATTAATTCACTTTCAGGTTTCTCTTCAGTATGCTACTGTTTCAGCTACTCCCCAAACAAGCTGCAAATTGTACAAATACATCAAAATAAGCTATTTCTCTTGCTTTGGTGATTGCCAAGATCCAGAGTAGATTGAGTGGTTGAAAGACCATGGACCACATTCTTTAATACTGAAATTTGAGCACTTTTGGCTGTCTCACATTGCTTTTTCAAAAGTATAATCAGCTCGCAAAGCTGACACTCTTGTACTCAGGGAACATGCAGTCCCTAGCTAATTTCTACTTTAGGGGAGCGTGGAGAGAGCTCCTTTTAAATTCTTACTGACTTTCAGATTCCTGAATGCTGCTTTTTGACACCAGAAACAGGTGGCTGAGCCCTTAAAGAATCATCACAGTTAAGAGACCCCTTAACATCTTCCAAGTCTTTGAATGAGAGCAGACCCTTCTATTTTGCTTTCCCCAGAAAGAAGGATAATTCCTTTACCTGGATCCGGAGCTGTCTGTTAGGCGATGATAAAACTTAATGGTAAGTCTCCCTGTCCAGCTTTCCCCAACAGCATCAGAATCTTCTGATGAAGAAATCAGCAAAAACACGCTTCCTTAGAATTGGAGACGGAAGCTATAAACAATTACAGGATTTTCCTGGCGAATACATCTTTAAAATAAGTGTTGTACCTTCTATACCTTCAAATGTCAGTTTTATAGAAGTAGACCACACCCTTTCAAGGAAAGGAGTTGCGTATGTAATTGCATAGCCTGTACTTCCTATTTTAACCCCACTCAGATAGGATGTTTAACTGGGAAGAAAGGGGAAGGAAGTATGCCATTGGTAATCTGCATGCTAACAATTAGCTGATCATGGTGCTAGTGTATTTTCAGAAAAAGGAGCTGGAAATGGGAAGATTGACTGAAACAGAAAGGAGAAAGAATAGCAAATATTTCCCTGTTTTTTACTCTAGTGTTTCTTGCTTTATTGTGGTCTAGACAATCTTCAAGGCTGGGATCATTTTGTACTTTTTGTTTGTATGCATATGTATAATTAGAGGGGGAGAGAATACCTTTATCTCTGTAATCTCCTAATTTGAGTAATATTTTAAAACCCTTTACGTTTTTACTGATTTCAACAATCAATACTTGATTATAATTTTATAGTACATAGAGGAAACAAAAGAAAACTCATGAGAAGAGTTGATCTGAAGTTATCCTATATCCAAAGCAGCTACACTGTTTTAAAACCAGCTTCAAAGCTTAAACCAGTAGCCTTTAATTATAAGTTCTATATGAAAGTTAGGTAGCCCTAAGGGAAAGTCCTGCACCTGGGGATAAACAGCCTGAGGAACCAGTACATGCTGGGGGCCACTCAACTGGAAAGCAGCTCTGCAGAAAAGGAACTGGGGATCCTGGTAGACACCAAGTTGAACATGACCCTGCAACGTGCCCTTGCAGCTAAGAAGGCTCATGGTGCTCTTGGCTACATTAGGCAAAATATCACCAGCAAGTCAAAAGAGGTGGTCCTCTGCTCTGCTCAGCATTGTTGAAGCCACACCTGGTACATGCATCCAGTTTGGGGCTCCCGAGAACAAGAGAGACTGCTACTAGAACTTCTCTAAATCCCCATACTAGAACTTCTCTAAATCCTTATATTACTGACCAAAACCATAGTTAGCACAGTTAGTTTCTCGCAAAAGCTACATCGATATAAAAAGGAAAGAAAAAAAAAAAAAAAAAAGAGTATTTTGTGAATAAGGAAAGCATTTATGGAGCAAGAAGGAGGATCTGGGAGTACCTGAGGAAACTATGTGTCATTGGGACTATCAGGAGGTGTGCATATAAAACCTGTAAACAAGGGGGTAAATACGTGAATTTACTGCATGAGCAGAATTTACTTTTCATTACAGTATAAGGGCAGACAAAAATTCTCCTGCTCCGACTTTAAAAGGCTAGTAAGTTTATATTTATTCTTCCTCCTTTTTTCCCAGCAAACATTTTCATTCCCTTTCCTTCTTCACCCAAACAGCTCCTCCATCTTACAAGAGACTTGCTAAGCTGCTGGTTCCATCAGAGGATCTAGCTGTCAGTGAAAATCTTCAGATGATAGTTGCTCTGTTGAACTCCAGGAAGAGGTGCCAGGCAATCCTGCACACCAGAAGCTTTGCGTGCATATGTGCCAATTAGTTTTCGGATGTACAGTGAGGTCTCCTGCATATCACATGATGCAAGATTACTAACATTATTATTGTGTTATTATCACATTGTTATCATATGTATAGACATATCATATGCGTATTAATATATCATTCTATCTCTATCCTAAAACATATTGCTAAAATGCTTTTAAAGTGGAAAGTTACATTTTATAACATTTAAGTAAAATAATGTCCACTAGAGCCTTCCATCATTGGAAAAAGGAAGACAACCTATGTCTCTCGTGAGTATACATTATCTAGCTTTGAAATTTAATATATGTGGATTATTCAGGCGGAACCTTTGTACCTGGAAAACAGATGTGTCCTGCAGCATGCTACAACTCTTTGAAGGAGCATTTTCTTATTCAAGTCTGTACAGTATTGGTATACTGCTAGAACTCTGCACTTAATGAAGTGTCAAGTCAGAAATGATTTATGGATCCTAGTATAGTAAATTATATGCTTATTTGTAAATATAAATTACTTCCATTATTACAAACACAAATATATGCATGAATACAGGACTACAGGTAATAGAATATTAAAGATTATGTATAATAAATAAGTTTATGCATATATATCAGGAAGAATAATAAAAAGAAAGGGAAAAAAAAAAAAGTAAGGGATAAGTCACCTTAAATGCTTCTGTTATCGGTGAAGATTTTGTTACCTTACAGCATTACAGGTAACATCTAAGAAAAGGAGAAAACATAATTTTGACAGTTTTTGGAGGGGTAGGTTGATTTTTCATATATGGTTATGTAACTGTTCACCAGTACTTCTGGATAATTACCAGTCTTACCTTTTGTCTGTACAAATTATAAGAGCAGTTCAAGGTCAAACATTTCTTTTAGAAGTGCAGTTTTATACCACAGAAACTAACATATTAATCCAAAGCGAAATATTTGAAAACCCTTTTTACTTCTTATTTTTTACTGATTGTATCTATACAGAATGATATCCTTTTACACCATGACTACATGGTGTTTTTAAAATAGAGTATTTTAGATTTCATACAATTTACATAAAATATATATGATTTGTAATTCTAACAAGCAGAGGTAAATTTGTTCAAAAAAAAAAAAAAAGTTAATTGCATGACCATTAAAGAAAAGGTGGAAAGGCTTTCTTTTTTTATTTCATTAATGAACCCCTGCTTAAGAAAATCTGAATAAGTAACATTTGAACTCTTCCAAATTCTCTCTCTTTCAAGGGAAAAAAAAAAAAAAAGAATTATTTCACATACACCCCCAAAAAACACTCTAATGAAAACTGATAAAATAAACACATACGCAACTTTATTTGTTGAAGAATTCAACACAGCAATTTCTTGTTCATTCTGTTTTGCAGTGAGGTGTTAGAAAGCAGGAGAAGAGAGACAGAGAATAAATTACTATTTGGATAGGGATCACAGAAATTATCCCAAAATATGGAAGCAAATAGACTGTACAATTACAAGAAGTCTGAGAAGTCTGTAAGTAGCACTGAAAATGTACTAGATTTGATTCACAGAATTCAAAATATTGGCCAGTGGAAAGAAGAAAGCAAAAGTGGGCTGTAATTTCTTCACTGAAATTAAAAACAAGTTTTCTTGATGCCTCCAAAACAAACTCTCTCTGTCCAGTCAGACTCTCATGAGACAGAAATAATTACTGCATTCATTAGCAATGGCACACAAATATTCATACCAGCAAGTGAAAAGAAAGTGATGGTGGTCTGAAGGAAAAAAAAAGAAAAGAAAAAAAAAAAGCTTATGAAGACATTCTAGGCAAGGAATTGGCTCTGGGAACAAGGATGGCTGAAAGATAATATACTACTGTTACTCTTTTCAAGCTCACTTCAAAGTCTTGCTAAAGGAAACTGTCTGCTGAGAAGAATTACTGAAGGACAACATAGCTACCTGCAGGAACTTCTACTCTACAGCAGTCATGTTGCTCTAACTGTGTGAATAGCACCCATTTCTGGACTTGTGTTGTAGACACTGAAGTCATCTTTGTGAGTGATGTGCAACTTCCAAGGGAACATATGCTTCTCAGAGGGCTTGTTCCTGCTCTGAGACACCATGAGCTCAATGTCCTGATCAGAGAGCAGCCGGATCAGATCGCCATCAAGGTCCCGGTAATTCAGAACAATGTCATCTTGGTCAAACTCCCGCCTGGTAGAAGAAAAATTCATTGATCCCAAAATCAAGGAATGCCTGGGAGGTGACGCCTGATGAACAATATACTGGCAATCTAATTAATTCTGCTAAAAGTCACATTAAGCCTTGGGTGTTTTGGCATTCTTGATACAGCTAGTACCAGAAATCATACAGCTGCATTCATGCTGTGTTGTATTTAAGCTAAGAAGCCTGTCAGAACTATCTTCAGTAACTCCATACACATAGCGTAATTACTCTGTATGATAAAATCCCCATGTATACAAGTTCACTATAGTTACTCCCCAATTTTGCCTACTTATGGTTGCCTTTTTTGAGGGGAGCGTAGGTTAAGAAATGGAAAAATACTGACACAGGTGTTCTATTACTACTATTTGATGTTCTAACGTTTTGATGTTCAACACTAGCTCAATCTAATTCAACACTAGTTTAACAGGTGTTATAAGATGCTGTCCTGCATCCTGAAGAAGTGTATTAGACAAAAGTTCCTTGCTTGGGAGCATGGTTCTGATCTTAGAACAAGAAATAGAAATTTCTATGCAGCACAACTGAGTTGGAAGTATATAGCATACGGTACTTGCTGACAATCCCAGACGGCTCTTGGCAAAGACAAATTACAAATTCTTTAGAACGCTTCAAAAGTGTTTCACATTCAAAACAGGGTGATGGCCAAGTAGAATGTACAAAAGCTAGGATTGAAAGGAACTTGAAAAATGTTTAAATGATATTAAATGTACAACTACCTGCTTGCACTTACCTTATCAATTCCATGAGATCGTTGAATAATGGAATGCTGCTCAGATCCTCTTCCACTGAGATATCCCTGTAACAAGAACAAATCTAATCATGGCATATCATGGATAGAGAACTACTGGCATGTCTTCAGCAGTAACCTGGAAGACTATTTTATTACCTGATAGTGCTTACTGTCTCATCATGGTAATAACAGCGTACTTTATTCACTGTGTCTTCCTGCTGTGGTAAATCTTTTATGATTTTCACAAAAGCACATGGGAAAATCCCAGTGGTATCATTAACTGCTCCCTGGAAAGACAGGAAGGGTTGGAATGAAGAATGCCACACCATTTTGGCCACAAATTATACGTTCTGGAATTCAATTAATTTCCATGGAAACAACAGTCTTTTTATTTATTTATTTTTGTTGTATGCAAGAATATAAAGGCTATGGAAGTGACCTGATGTCACCTCCATAGAAAGATTATACAATTGTGTAGCCAAATAAATACAAGGCATAGGAGTGAAACTGTGTGTAAAAAATGAAAGTCAGATGGTTACTAAGAAAGGCTGTGGTGTGTGAGCAAGCAGAGATATCATATCAGCAAACACACAGTATGTTTTCCTCATCCTTTTTCAGAACACTGCTGCATTTCCTATGCTCTCTGTAATCAGGCTGACGTGTGTTGTGGTATGAAGCATGAAGTATGCAGCAACTCACCCTGAGGCAAGAAACCAATTAATCACTGAAATGGAGTTTCCATCTCCTTTCTGAGGCTTTTTGTTTTTGTGTTCTAATCACTTCTAAAGAATTCAGAAACATTCCAGTGCAAGCAAATGCAAAAGAAAACTGAAGTCTAACAGGCAGGAAGTTTGTAAGCTAAAACCATCATGGAATGAAACAACTTCAAGTTTGGAGTCAAGGATTTATTCCTGACAGTGACACCTGATTGTGATACAGTCTCCTCTTGAAAGAAGGAGAAAGGTCCCAAGGATTAGGATAGCCCTTCCTGCTCATGTATTTCAAGGTATGTAAATAATTCAGTACCACTATCACAGTCTTACCTCCAACCAGTCTTTGTTTACTCTGCTGAGAAGATAGATCAAGTCTCCCTTCTTAAAGCTGAGCTCTAGTTTATTGGTTCCAGAAAAATCAAATAGTGCCTATGGAGAACAGCAACACAAATTATTAATTCATAGAATTATAAATGTGAATCTTTCTTTCTATTTTGTTCTTGAGATGCACGGAGTATAAACCAGCAAGATAATATGCACTTTGTCATCACAGATTTATTTCTGGGGTAAGGTCATATACATGACTGGAGTCTACAGTTCTCACAATTTCTTCTCCTACTCAGCACAAACAAAATTGCTTTGTGGTAGTAGTGAAAGCAGTAGGATAAGCATGGCTCTGAAAGGGCTACACCTAGTAGTGGCAAGACATAGAGCACCAGAGAAATAAAGACATTGAAAACATGTAAGAGCAAGTAAGCCAAGAGAGCTGAAGACAACTGGCAACTTGAAAACATGACAACTTGAACTCCTGAGAATTGAAAAAATGTGTATTATTTCTGGTTGCAGTGTTACAGCTTTCTGATTTGCTGCAAAATGCCACAAAGAGCCGCAAGTCTAACTGCTCTTTTTACATCTAGTGTTCAGGCCCGTGCGCTGAACTGAGCGCTTTGGGGAAGTCTGGGAAACTCGTGCGTAGTTAAAATGGAACTTAGGTGCCCCCTTCAGGAAAATAAATAAATAAATAAATAAATATTAATAATAATGAAATGGAGGTAAGCGCATACAACCACCTTAACAAGATGTTCTTGAAAAATTAAAATTGCTGAGTTATCAAAAACATTCCCCCCATTGTCCATCAGGAACACAGCAACCATTTGAATGCTCTTATAAAAGCAAAAATGAAAAGCTGTTCCTTATCGTTCTGTGTTGCGATGGCTCTTTTGGTCTTGTCAATGCCAAATTTCAGAGCCTAGTAGGGCTCTCTTTATAGCTCTCCTAGTTAAAAAAAAAAAAAAAAAAAAAAAAAAACAGCTATCAAGCAAGTAGTTCGTATGTCTATTTAATAGCCCTTTCAAAAACCTTTCTTTCATCTACAGAAAAGTTTTGGTGGGTAGATTAAATATTAACAAAAAAATACATAAAACCCAAGAGATATGCCTGATCCAAGAGCTGCTATCATCAGTGTAAAAACAAAACAACATCAAGGCAAATGCATGTTGTTTATTAACTTTACATGAAAATGTCACGTGTTCCAGAAAGTGAGCCTATGCTCAGACAAGTGTAGTGGTTACAAGGCAGTTCCACATGCTTAATAGAAATACAATTTACAGCAAAAGACAGGGTTATAGGCACTTTTCAGTAGAACCCTTATGTTACAGAAATTACTAAGATGCCTCACCTGCAGTGCTTTAATACATGTGCTAAAGTCAATGAGACTGAAGCTTCTGCTTGCTTTAAATTTACTTTATGGGTATCACTATGTATATGTGGACCATTTGGCAGTGAGTTGTACATGTCTTTCAATTTTGAACCTCCTGTCATTCTGACTTCACAATGACTCCTTCTTATTCATTTAAGGAGGAACAGAACACTTCTTTCCATCCCTTATTTCATTCCCTATTGTGAAAGACAATTAGTTTCCTGTGCTGATTTCACTTTCCCTTTCTTCCCCAAGCTCTAATTGGGAAAGACATCTTGATCAAAGAGATGCCAGAGCAAAACAGAATTTTCTCTCCTACCCTGTGACAGGTTGTGCAGAATACTCACCTCAGCCCGAGGAGTTGCCATCCGGTCCAAAACAGGCAGTTCGGGTAAAATGCTTTTACTAAAGACAAAGAAGACAACAGGGAGGTATATTTGTCTTTCTAGTCATCAGAAATACTACATGATCAGCATTCACGTTTTCATTATATACAAGGCAGGCAAGCCTCAGATCACTGGAGGATCACTGCATGAGTGTGTGCAGCCTTGAAGTAAATAGATATGGATGCAACAGCATTGCCCTAGTTCTCTGTTTCAGTGCAGAGCAGCAGCAATCTGATGATGTCTGCTGCTGAGAACAGATGCAATTTTCAATACAGCCAGTATGCCTCTTCCACAGCGTTGCTCAGTCCCTTTACTCTACCTTCTGGGCATTTCTGTTTCTAGCATTTATGGCGCTCTGTTCAAAATCTGCCATCATATATACACCCAGGAATGCATGCACACATGCAGGTTTTGCACAGCTTGTGATAACTGAAAAGGAATCATGTCCATCTTTGATGTGCTGAAAGGAGAATTAATTTCTCTGAAGGGTAATGAAGTAAAACATCTACTTAGCAGAGAGGTGCTAGTGCTGGTATGTAGGATAGGCCCTTGTTTACACAAAGGACAGGAACAAATTAAATATTCAGTTTCATTTAGTGTCTGAACCAGATCTCATTGATTCAGTGCCAAAACTCATGTTGACTTTAGTGGTGCAAGCCTGTGTCCTTAAGTTTGGCTTGCATATTCTTCAGATTATAATAGATATTACCATTCAAGGATTATCAATAGATAGAGTTAAAAAGCATTTTTTTTAAAAAAGCAGGCCATAATTCCTCAATTTGGAATTTTCCTTTTGATGCAAATACCAGCTACGCTTTAAAAATTTTAGATTTTTGTAAGCAAGAAATAGCATGTTTTCACTCTCCCCCAGAGATGCTCATATTAGGATTTCATGGATTCACTCGGGAAACACAGTAGTGATTGTCAGCTCTCTTTTCTCACAAAACTGGACAGCATCTCTTACATCAAGCAATGCTGAAAGAAAAAACATGTCAAGCGCTTACACTCGGCGTGTCCGTGGGCGAAGCCGTCTCAATCTTCTAGGCACCTGTTCACTATCAAAATCTGAGTGGTAGAAGAACAGCCGTACCTCTTCATCCATCAACACCCAAGCGGGTAGGCAGAGTAGGTTCTGTGCCAAGAGCAAGTAGGAAACAGAGTAATAACAGTGGGAAAGATCAATTCTCTATTTATTTACAAGTACCAAATATGCATCTTTGACCTACAGGATCATGAAGGATATTCATTACTGCCAGAAATCTCCCTCCTCTCCCTTCTCACTCAGCAGGACAAGGCTGAACAGCTGACAGTTTCTCCTGTTTACTCTTGGAGTTGGCCAATGTATCGCTTCACTCTTTGTGCGCCTGATTTACTGCAGGAGTAAATTATTCCTGGCGTTTCCCTTCAGAACATGAATGACTGTGGAAAGAGGGCAATCTTAAGTACTGGAAGACTTGACCTGTGCTTCAGACCATTACTGATTTAACATCAGGGTTTCAGTTAACCCCTGCACACAAATAATTTCTCTCCTTGATGTTGCTGGCTGTCTTCACCGTGGAGCAGGTAAATTCAGAAGTCCATCCTGCTTTGCTAGTCTCTTAGGTGCACTTTCCAAACTCCGTATTCCACATTTACTTAACTCCTTATTCACACAACACTCTAAGATTCACCATTTTCTCACACGTCTTGGTTTTGTTTGTTTGTAAGGCTATCTATCCGAACACGAAGGCAGGGAGTCAGCCTTTGTGAACGCTGTACTCCAGAAGATCCCTACAGTCTGAACAATCTGGCGACTAGGACTGCAGATTGTCCCACAGTGCGGACACTGTGTCTTCCAGAAAAATGGTACAGAGAGAAGCATGTACCTAGGACTACGTCAGTAATGTCTCTCTCAGCTGATTGCAAGGGGTGATTTTCTACAGTGCTCAGTGCAATCTCTACCCCCAGGAAGGAAGCTTTACCTTCATGTAGACATTTAGGATAGGAATCCTACTCTCTGCGATTTCTTTTTTGGCCCCAACATAAACCTTCCCTGGAAAACAAGTGAAAGTTATTAAAGAAAAAATAACTGAGGCTGTCACAGAAATGAGGCAATCAAGAGAAAGTAGGATCTCCAAGAAAATAGGTATTATCTAAAGGATTTTAGCTTTCTAAATGAATTTTACCACACATGGAGCTTGATTTCTCCAGCTTCCACTGCTGGGAACTAATTCCTGTCACAGCTAGAAATCCTGTGTACTTCCATACAATGCACTCCTCTTAAGGACAGCCTGGGACTGACAAAGCTATTAATCACATAGATTTGGTACTTGCAGCTTACCTGGCAATATGGGGAGTGTGCAGGTAAAAGGGCTGCTTTTGCTCTCTGCCCCATATCTCTCCTCTAGTTTGGTGTGCAGGGCATAGAACTGACGATAGCGTCGGAAAATCAGGTATCTGCCACCACTTTTAATCTTTACTTCGATGACAAACAACTGAAACAGAGAAGGGGGACTCAGGCTGACATTCAGACTTATAAATACTTACAAGACAAAAATGAGGCATACAGCAGGCACTGCTCCAGTGGTGGGAATGTTGTTTTAGGGGCAAAGTGAAGAGCAATGCTTCAGTTAAGCATCTGCACAGTCAAGTACTAGAAAATAACAAGTTAGCACCAGACAGTGTGGTATATGTATGGGTCCAGCTTTCCCACGGATCATGTCCCTGTGGCTGCTTTCTATTACCTGATCTTAAAAGAAAACCTGGAAGGACCAGATGTTACTTTGTGCTTACATACCTTCCCTCAGAGAGGCACAAAACATATTAAGGAGGTAAATATAAATACTGCCATTTGAAATAGAATGAAGACAGTAAAGAATCAAAGCCAATATTTTGTATAGTAAGATGCTTTGAACATCCAAATCTATTGACAGAAGTCTAAATGTCTTTTTTTTTTCAGATTTTCAGATGAGAAAGCGTTCATACTTCTCTTTGACTTTTAAGCACACAATTTCAGAAATTATGGTAAATGTAACCTGACCAAAAGTAAAACCATATTAGTAATAATAATAATAATAATAATAATAATAATAATAATAACAACATAGTCCTTTCACTTCTAATGATCTCCCTCCAACCCTGACAGTATTTGTTATCTCTCACCAAAATTGCTTGGCCCTAAAGTAGCCCCTGATTTCCAGGCACTGAACTCAGTCATGTTGCAGCCACATCCTTTGGAAACATAAAGGCAGAGTAACAAAACTTCACTACATTCCAAAGTAAAACCTGCATACTTCAGTGGGAAACGTTTATGAGCAAAGTCTCCAGCAAAAGAAGCACAGTCTGTAGAAGTTGGATTGAGCTGGGCTCATCCAAAACCCCTCTTCAGAAAATCTCATATTGCTTTTCCCTTCTATTCCCTTCCTGTGTGCTTTTCAATAACTCATTGTAAGATCTAAATATGATATCAAAGACACACTACCTTTTGTGGAAATGGCACCATCCTAACTTGACAGTACCATAGAAAAATTAAGCCAAGACCCTGCCCTTCTACCCTCTTTGAATTCATTTACCCACTCTCTTCACCAAGCTTATAGCTCTCTAACAGGAAATAAATCAGAAGTTAGTCAAGAATTTAGAAACCGAGCAATATTAGAGGACACCTCTGTCAGGTTTCACCAAGTAAAATAAATGTTTATACTAAGTTTGTGATAGACTAACCTCCATTTCAGAAAAGTTAAGCACTGAGAAGCTTTCAGCATGGAACTACTCATTACAAAAAGCAGCTGCACCAGTTTAACTGCATCTTGCTTCCCACAACCAAACCAGTTGAGAGCATATAAAGACAAGATAAGTCTCCTTTCTTACATAGTAATTAGTAAAGCCTTTCTTTTCTTCTATATCTGCAATGTTAGCTGAAACAGGTACATCATCTGGAAGCTGGTCAAAATCACTGTGAAGCAAAAACAAAAGATTTAAGTTACTCATACTGTTAGCCTTTGGAGGTATCTATGCCATACATAACAAAGGTTAGGTGGCAACATCACGTTATCTAGTGTCAAAACCAAGAGAAACCCGTGGTGTCCTCTTCCTTTGCAGGACGCTGAGTTCTGTAACTTCAGCACAAGTCAGCAAACTTCGTGGGAACTCAATGAGCCTGAAAAACAGCCCTACTGCTGCTGGGCTTGCTCGAGTAGCAGGACTACAAAACAAAAGCCTTTCCTGATATATGTGATCAACCATTTATGCATTCTTAATCCTTCCTACAGCATTTAATAGGCTTACAATTACAATTCAGCAGTACTGTTTTTTGTTCTTAAGATTTTTATATACCGTGAGTTATGCTGTTACTATTACTGCATTACATTAGGGAATAGAAAACAGATCTGAGAAAAGAGTTTGTTGTGTTACATGCTGTAGATACTGTCAGCATAAAGGCAATTCGTAAAAACATTATATTTTATGTGTAAAACGCATACAATATAGTTTGTAAATATAAAATAAGAAACAACAGAAGGATAAGCACAAACAGAAAAAAAATAAAAAATAAAAAGAAAGAAACAAAGATATAATACTGTTCTACATCATAACTAATGGTTCCTGCACCAGCTGTCAAAATGTTACCAAGTTTTCTTGTAAACTTCATGGTAAGGTAGACCTTAAAGTTGTTTTGGAAGAAGAAGGAATAGCCTAGCAAATATTTAAAAGTAGACCTTCCAGCCACAGTAGATAACCTGAAAGAAGCACAAAGATACAAGTTTGGAAACGTCAAAAGTGCTTGGAGAAACACATGAAAGTGAGCAGGCTTAGAATGAGCTTTTCAGATTCTTAAAAGTGAATATGAACAGATTGCATCTGAAGGAAAAGAGAAGGAAGGATCCCTGAAGGAACACTGAAAGAGTAGCCATATGACCAGGCTCTCGTATTTCTTGTCCATATCATCCATGCAATAAAACAGCACGGATTGGCAGATGCTGTTTCCTCTGGGACCTCCTCCTTGGCACAATTTCTTTGACAAACAGAAGACATTCACCTTTGCTTCAATCTTATGCCATGTTAGAGTGCTACTTAGATTAACATTTAAGTAAAAAGGATTAAGAATGAGATAGAGAGAAAAAGAAACTGCAAAAAGGATCCCCTAAGGAATGCCAAGCTGAAGTAACATTACATTTTTATGATCCTACAAAAAAACACAGCAGTTGGCTTAATTTATTCTGCTGTAAGAATATCCCAAGCAGGGGTTTCCACAAAGTGTAGCCTATCAGAAGGGCTGATGTAATGATATAAAGTCTTGCAATCACTTGCTCTAGGAGGAGAATAGCATGAATCAGCACCACCCACAATACCCTAAATACCACCACTTACAGTGAAGAGGGATGTGGTTATGGAGATCAAGAAATACAACTAGTCATATCACAAACACTCCTAGCAGCACCAAAAAAAAAAAACAGCAAGAGAGAATCTGTTGGCAGCCATAAAGAGGACAACGACTCATTATTGTCCTAGGTAGTAAATATTGCTCAGAAAAGATGAAAGAAAATCCACTCCAACTTAACAAATGTTCTGCTCCACACTAAGAAACCTAATAGTCTGGAAGCTATGATAAGAAGCAGCCTGTTAGAACCATCAAAATGAAATGCACAGATCGTAGCAGTTACATGGAGGCTTGTGGGAGGAGGGACAGACATATTACCTCTTTTCTCGCAGCTGTCGGGGAAGAGACATGCTTTTCAGCTTCCTAAATCCAGATGGCTAAGCTCTGTTCCTCTGCTTCTTAGGCAGTTCTTGACTGAATGGGATGAGCCTGGTCAAAGCATTTCTCCCTGTGTGAATCAAAACTCCTCTGCAAGGCCTCAGAGATCTTTTTTTCCGATCTTTCAGTGCCAGTTTCTTCTGTACTTCCCCTCCCCCAAGAAATTGAGGAAGTACTAAAGAAAAAAGTCATAGAGAAAGGCTGTTTTGTGATGTCTGTCATGTATCGGAACTGCCACAGTTGAGAAACCAAAAGTCCAACAAAAAGCAGAAACTGTGAGCCATTGTCTTCCCCTGCAGAGAAACACTTGCCTCTGGAAAGCCAGTATGAGTGGACTCAACAAATTCTGTTTTGCCGCAGCTTTAATGACTCCAAGTACACATCTACACTAACAGTGCTTGTAAGCTAGGATGAATACCTCTGATGCCTTCTTAAGCCTTTGTGATTCCCAAGGATCCTCCCTTCCATGGACCAAGAGTGAGGAGGTGAAGCTAAAGAATAAACTTTCATTAGGGAACAGAAAGGATGGTCAGGAAATTCAACCTTGTCAGTCACATGGGTACCAGGAAATCATGTACAAGAGGTTAAGAAGTGAGTTCTGAAGGATGTAACAATACAAGTAAAACATGAGTCCTTCAAAGAGCAGAGGTCTTCTCAGTTTCATATGCTCCAAACAATCCACATTTGCCACCCACAAAGACAAGGTAATGGTTCAGCCAAGGAGAATCCTAACTGCTCTGCCCTGTACTCAAAGGGTTGTGATATAGCACTTGTGTAACATCAGTTGAAAATCTTTCAAGAAGAATACAAAAGGGATAAAGTGACAAGAAAACCATCATTTCCTAACACTGTGGATAAGTTGCAGCATATCTCATCCGCTTTAGTCAAAAAGCTGTCATGTGCAGTATCTTTGCCTCCACATTTCCGTCTTTAACTCTCTTTCATTTTCATGTTTGGTACAGGTTTCATTCCTTCTCATCCTTCTGCTGTCAAGCACCAAAAAAAAAAAAAATCTTATCTGAATGAAGCAAAAGTCAACTAGCATCCTTCACCATTTCTATTGACAATTGTAATAATCAAACTTAAGAGTAAACTTCATTTTACTGCATTTTAATGAAGAAAATTCTTCACCTATCTTGTTCCTATGGAGAGTGGAAGGCATTACAGAATTTGAGAGGGGGTATAGTGTCTCTTGATCAAAGGGAACAGAAGTCACAAATTTCTGTACTGTATTTTCTGAGTGATTTGCTACCCTGTGCTATCCATGAAGATTTAGCAGAGTAGTTTCAAGATGGTGATGTTGGATATAAGTATTTCCCTAGATCTTCACACTCCACTGTGTTTTTCATTTTCTTGATGAGGCCTGCTAAATGGGCAGTTCTCATGTAACCTGAAGGCAGACTCATTATTCTCTTTCCTTTGCCTTGAATGAGTGTGACCATAACAAAGTTTTCTAACTGCAATCTTCTTGCTTTCTCTTGACGTTTGGAAAGAAATAATACAATATTATAAAAGATTCACCAGAACTCTTCATCACAAGATCAATATATATGTACTCATGAAAATTCAGAGGGGCCCTCCTGGTGTGCAAAAAGATTGTGAAGGCACAAGAACCAGGTAAACTTTAACAGAAGAGAAAGGTGGGATTGATGCTTTTAAGATCACTATTTATATTAGATGGATATCATAGTTTTGATAAGAAAATCATAAAAAGGATATCCTAATCTTTTCAAATCTCTTGGAAGATAACCTAGATATGATGCAGATACATCTTTTAAGAGACAGTGCAAAAATATTTTCCCACTGTTTATTTCTCTTTCCAAGACATGGTTTTCAAAGAGCAGGTTGATAGACAACCTCATAGATAAATTGTCTATGCAACTGCTTTGCTGTAGGCTGAGTAAAAGAAAAATTGAAGTTCTTCCATCACACTTCTGTTTACTAGAGACTGTAACCAGTAATAACACTGATCTGACAGAATAATGGTAAACTTGCTATGAAAGTTCCTGATTTTGCAAATATTTTCTTGTTTTGAACTAAAACAAGTCAAAGACCTTGTTTTCTGAATAAAGGCAGATTACCACCTCAGGAGACTGGATAGCTGATTTATCCATGTGTAAGAGGAAATATGTGCAAGAAATACTAATCAATTAATTAATTATGGGAGACTACTAAGAAAATCTTCAGATGACTGAATTACAAGCTTATGCTGACATCATTACATATATTTTTCCCAGTTCAGCACCTACTATATTATTTTGGCTGTGCATGTCTGTGAACTGTGGAATTGTGGTCTTCTGTCTGATGTACATGTTGTTAGAATATAATTCTGTAAGGATACATAAACACCTTGGAAATCCAAGATTATCACCCATAACCAAGCACCCAGAACAAGCATGGAATATGGGGAGGTAGTTCCAAATCACTAAAGATATGTGAACCACTAATCAAAGGAACATAGTAAAATTCCTCAGCTGAATTAATTCTGATGACAGCACTACATATCACGTCTATTAGAGCAGCAGCTACTGTATAATTTTGACTGTGCACACCAGTAAGCTCTAGAAAAATAACTTCTGTCTGATGTTCCCATTCCTAGAAAAGTACTGCATAATTACATTCAATCACTAGTCATAGAGTGAATTTGTTAAGTAACTGAATAAAATGAACAAGAATAATATTGCTAAAAGATGTCTAGTCTCATCACGTAACAATCTGTAAAGGAAAGTATATTGCACCAAACACTGCAAGGGAGCTGAACATCAAACAGAAACACAAGCAGCAGAGTTGGCTTGCACAACACTTTCATTAAACCTACTATTTTCAGAGGATATGTGGAATATTTGTTTCTATAGTACATGCAGCATTAGCTGTTGAATGTCTTTTCTTCTATGGTTGATTGATGCTGGGCTGTAACTGATCACACTGATTTGGGAAAAAGTGATTTGGAGTTATATTCCATTTTCCATTCATATTACACACCTGTACAGATTTTGCTTTTATGGCTACCATCAGCTGTACAGAAGGCTTTGATACACATTTACTACATTTTCAAATAGAGTCATGCTTAAACTCTGTATCATGATAGCACATTAATATTGAATTATGGCTCTACAAAACTTTTTTGTAAAAGTTACATAAAATAAGCTACTCGTGTCTGCCTTGTAATCTTCACTGCTCTTTTGCAAGTATTGCTCAATACATACCGGCTGAGTGCACAGATACTCTTCCTGTCACACTTTGAGTTGGGAGGGGAAAAAAAAGCACAGGATTATGGATAAGTAGAACTTTGAAAATTGTCCTTGATTTAAAGCTGGATGTAGTTTCTGTGACTACTTGTTAAGGGTGAAAAGTAACTGGTAGGAATTTGCAAAAAAAGGACTACGATTGTGTGCTGCTGACATAAACATGACTACACAATCTATCCTGAACTGGAAAAAAATTTAAAGGTCAGCATCTACCACTCTTCCTTGGCAGTGAACATAATCATGTCATTTATATAATAAATTAGTACTCAACATGAATAGGTTTTACAGAGCCAAAAATGAAAGAAACAGTAGCCTTCTTTTTAAATTGAATTTTTCTTGGAATAACAAATTAAATCCTATAATTAAATCTGTTCTTTGCACCTTAATTGCTTGAGTAAAACCACTCATGAAGGAATGAATATTGAAAGACAAAAAAATAACCCCCCCAAAATGAGTTTTTTGCTTAGTCTTTCTCAGCTAATTGCACTCAACAGTATCATTCTGTGTGTTGTTAGTTCGGGGTGCTATAGCCAGATCTTCACAGCTTTTCTTATGCAGAGCAGTATCACATGTAATATTATGGTCTTCCTCTCTATGGAAAACAATTATGCCTTTACTATAAATATTTAAAAAGATGCAAGATTTCTCTTGGATATAGCATGATCACTTGAGATAAGAAGAAATTGACTAAGTCTTACCATAACAATAGTAACTTCTTCCTGAGCAATGTTTTTTTTTTGTTCTTGCAGAGCTTAGGTGGATACTCATGCCCAAGACTAGGATAACTGAGAGAAATGGAAGCTCAGAAACAGCAACAGAACATTTCTTTAACCAGCTAGCATATGATTTCCAGGATAAAAGAGGCAAAGAAGGAAGAAAGAGGGCAGACACTGTCACTACTACTGTGTATGACAGTCGTGGGCTGGAGGTGGACCAATATGGAATAGTTAACTACCAACGTCAAAGCCTGGTAACCAGCTATTGCAGACACAGAAGCAGAATGGCTCCATTCGAGAAGCTCTGAAAGAATTACATGCCTACAGCCATTCCTCCAAAACCTTCAAACATAGTTCTAAGTGCACAGCAGCAGTGACCCTTTGTGGCAAGAGATTCTCTGTGTTTTAGACTCCTAATCTCTAGATAGTCAGAAATCTGTCAGTCACAGCTATTGCTATTCAAGGCAAAGAAATTTCTGCTTCATCTGTTTCACAAGTTCAAAGACCTGTCAAAATTACTCAAATTTTTTTTTTTCACTGAACTTTCCCAAATCTCAAAACAGGGTTAGGATTTGCTAAAATTTGTGCAGAGCTACATTCAAACCATCCTACACTGTTCCTAATAATTTCCCCATCCATTTGATTAAATCCTGTGACCAAATCTCTCTGACTTAATTTAGAAACCTCAGATAAGTGTTTTTAGTTAAGTGGAAGTTCTCTGAATAGACAATGAAGAGAGACTGGCACCTCTGGTCAGTAAATCAGGCCTCAAGTGGGCCAACTCCACCTCTAAAGGTTGTATCTGTCTCCTTGGACTATACGTAAATTATAAAGTAGCTACATTCCTGATTTGGTCACCTCAGGTTCCTAAAGCTAGGAATATAAATCTGTGCCTTGCTGTGGACCTAGTTATTACTGGTATAGAGGTGCCTTCCCATTAGGGACTCAGTTATATTTGGATATGCACTTTTACACTGGTATAATTGTCTTTACCCTAGGGGAGTTGTACTACTTTAGCAACACTGATATAGTCAAAGAAGCACAATTTTCTGGTGCAGACATATCCAGTTTGCTTATTACAGAGAGTTTAAGGCTCATTTACTAATGATTCATAAACTGGGACAATATCCCCTAATAAAACCGGGGGGTAAGGGGGTTAGAGATTAAGATAGAAAGGTGAGTGGAAAACGCAGAGGAAATAAATATGAAAATGCTGTGAATTTCAAAGTTCTGCTCTGCCAGTATTCCTCCTAGTGTACATTTACAGCTGCCTCACCTGCTGCCATTAACTCAGCCTTTATTCCTTGAAAGATAAACCCGCAGACTGAGCCCAGCAGTAACTGTACAAATAAGTAATCTGATCGCAAACCACCTGCCAGTCTGTCCATTTCTAGTGGGGAGTTTGTGTGTCTCACACCTCAACAGGCAGAAAGCTGCCTTGTAACATAAAGCTGGGTCTAAA